TAATCTATATAGATAGGTATATGAATACGTGTATGTACTAAAGTCGAGGTTACAAATATTGTATATTAATTAGATATGTATGTGACGTACAGAAGTACGTTACATATAAAAATATCTTAGGTATGCGCTTACTCTTATTAGACAACTTTTTTAAACCACCTGCTTTGCCGCTTACTATTATTAATGTTATAATACTTTCTTAGATTTACGCAAATATTTGACATTTTAAATAAAACTATCTTTTCGAATTTTTTCGCGGATTTATTTGGATTTTTGGTTCCCGACGTTTCGAATGCTTTACAGCATCCATGGTCACGGGAGAGACTGAGGTGTTACATGTCTTGAAGGTATAGTTGTTACAGACAGCCTACCCACAATTAACAAAATGGAAATTGCACCAATTACTTACCTTAAATTTTTTTTAAGTTAGAATGAATGATTTTTTTTAAATTAAAACAAAAATGTTTAAAGTTAAAAATATTGTATGTTATGGTATTATTATGGTATTGTGTAATATGTTGTGTGTATTCGAGACATCTAACACCTCAGTCTCTCCCTTGACCATGAATGCTGTAAAGCATTCGAAACGTCGGGAACCAAAAATCCAAATAAATCCGCGAAAAAATCCGAAAAGATAGTTTTATTTAAAATTATTAATGTTTATAATATAGAAAAACTATTTTTCTAATGGCGAAGGTGTTCTAAACTAACGGTCTACGTATTTATTAACAGGTTTACATGCAAAATAGGCCAAAATAGTAGGGTATGTTGACGATAACTTCTCCACGTAGAACCTTCTTAATTTTATTTTCATATATAGATTACAGAACTTTAGTTAGTTCAATTGGATATAATATTAAATTTTGTAGTTGAATAACTTAGTATATGTTTATATGATTTTAAGAAGCGCTATATAAATAATGAAATCTTGTTGTTGGAATTATATAGATAAACTAGCAGAGCGGCTTCGCTCGCGCTAAAATTACAAAAAAAAACTGAAACGGTAGTTTCATACAAACTTTCATCCCCTATTTTACCCCCTTATAGGATGAACCTCGAAAATGTTAAAACACGTATTTATTTAATTTTATTAAAGAGCATTAATACCAAGTTTCAAATCATTCTGATCTTAAATATTTTTTTGTATTGTATATTACAACGTGTTTTCCCGTGGGAAATGGACGATCTCCCGCGGTAAAAACCGCGCCTGTCACTCTCCAGCCCTCTAACTATTTCCACACAAAAAATCACGCCAATCCGTCACTCCGTTTCAACGTGAAAGAAGGACAAACAAACAAACACACTTTCACATTTATAATATTAAGTATGGATACATCCATGGTGGAGTTTAGGTTATTCGTTGGCGAATATATTTTTTTCTATTTTTTTAGTTCTTATGTAATGAGCTTGGTGAAAGTTTTATCAATCAAATCAACAAAGATATAAGTAGAAAACACATTTCAAGATATCACGCTCACAGCTCATCTGTCTCGACTCTCGGCTAGCTCTAATTAATATTTAATAAACATAATATTATGTAAAAAGGAACTAGCACTATTTAAACTTTATTAGGTAAAGGATATTTGTTTTTAAGACTTGGAATTTAAGAATATATAATGCCCACGAAATACATAAACAACTAGATTATAAAATGCGTTGGTTACGGTAAATATTTTCAATTCCGTAAAAAATAATCTTGCCACATTACCTTTTTATTAATGTCTAAAAATAGCGCTAGAGCGTTATCGCTAACGTTATCTCAAGGCGAGATCGCAGTTGCTGCTGGCCTGTATCGGAATATCCGCCTGATACCCGCCTCTCTACCATCACAAATCTACACCCTGGTTATAAAATCTACTAACTTACAAGCTAAACTTGAACTAAACCATAGTAAAATAATTAAAATAAATTAATTTAAAAGAACGGAATCTAAGAAATCATACTGCATTTATACCTATATTTCAAGTACAAGCTTATGTGCAGAAGTCTAGAACAAGTAAAATTTACTAGTGATGTTGCTACTTATAGAAATCTAGTCTATCCAGTCCCATTTACAAGTCGGAGAAATAATACGTGTTAAAATTTAAGAGTAAGGTATACTTTATAAAGGCAGTGGTAGCCCAGTGGTAACACGCACGCTTGGGAAACCGGGTGAAGCGGGTTCAAATACTGAGTCTCGCATCTCTTATTTTCATATGCGAATAATTTCCAACATGATTACCACATGCTTTCGTGAGGAAAACATAGTGAAGAAACCTGCGTGTCTGAAAGAACCTAGCAAGTTTTCGAAAGAGATTTATTATGTGGTCTGCCAAACTGCACTTGGCCAGTATGGTAGACTATGGCTTGATCCCCTCGTATTGAAGAAAGGCCTAACCCCAGCAGTGGGACGTTAAAAAGGGTTAAACACAAGGTATATATACTTTGTTTCATATGCTTTAGTATAGGTGAAACGCTCAATTTCATAAAACTGTCTTTACAAGAGTCATACTATTGTCAAAATAACATCACGTCAATTGGTTTAATCGGTCGCCGGCTGTGAGCCAATTACTTAGTTGACAGCAGGGAAGTAATTCTTACATTTGCAGACGGAAAACGTGCTACTGCAGGAAGCCTTCCTTTTGTTAAGTTACAGAAATAGATGCTGTTAATAATAATTATCACCATAGTTTTCATAGCACATTAATTATAAATATATTTTGTGACTCATATTTTTTTATTCTTAATAGTGTTTCTTCGGTATCTTTCATTTATTCTAAGACTAGCATAGTCCGCGGTTCCGCCCGCGTTCAGATGACCAAGAACTAAATTCTTAGGTTTTACATATTAGTATATTCTTACATTGCAGTTTTTGTATTTTTTTTTAATTCTAAAAACTATAGATTCGGCCTCTGCATCGATAATAATGTTTATTTCAATAAGATTTTCCAAATAATATCTAATGTACAGATTCGGCTTAGTTACAATTTTATTATAGATATTTTTATGTATAGATTTTATTATAATTACATTTGCATGCAAGGTACCACTAGTACCGTTTTGCAATAAATGCACTAGAAGGTACCTCGGATCTGAGAGCTCTGTTTAATAGATTAGTATACTGTCACTGTGACTGTACATAACACAAATAAATAAATAATGTCATACAAAAATAATATAATCTTCTGTACATATGGATACTATATTTAGTTATTGGTTATATATATCACCGGCAGATGCTAATTATAACGGTATTTTTATTTAATGCTCAATGTTTACAGTTTGATACTATTTATTTTCTTATTAACAACATACAAAGATAAATTACAAAAACAATATTTTATGAAATTTATAATATCTAAACTTAATTATCCTTTCGTTATGTTGAGGTACCTACTACAAATATTTTTTAAATTTAATAGACTAGCGGCTCACCCTCGCTTCAGTTCGTTTGTCCCTAGATGTAATTATAACATGTTTTCCCGTGGGAATGAGATATTCTCTGACGGTAAAAAGTAGCCTTTGGTCACTCTCCAGCCCCTCTTTCTCCACACAAAAGCACAATCAAAATCACGCTAATCCGTAATTACGTTTCGAGGTGAAAGAAGGACAAACTAACTCACTTTCACATTTATAATATTTCTAGCGACTCACGCTCGCTTCGCTCGGGTCCCTAGGTTGCTTCAAAAAGTATCCTATGTCCTTCACGGGGTCTCCAACTGTCTTCTTACCAAAGTTCATCTACATCTGTTCAGTAGTTTCGGGGCTTATTCGGTACAAATAAACAAAAAATCCATCGTCTTTATAATATTAGTATATATAGATAGAATGCATTACAAGTGAAATTATTTTTTTTTTGTCATTTGAGAACGACATACTGTAAATATAACTTGAGCATAATGCGAGGCATAACTTACATATACCTACAGATAAATAAAATTGAAGTGTCTGATTTTATATACGCTACATATAAGAAAAACACAATTTTTAAAATTTTTGTCTGTCTGTTCCGGCTAATCTCTGAAGCGGCTGGACTGAATTTGACGAGACTTCACTGGCTTAAGCTACTTTTATTTTAGAAAAAACGTACCTAGGGACGCACCCGTAAATAAAATTAATGTACTTATCAATAATTTATATCATTCACTTTTCAATTTTCGTAGTCATTCACAGCCAGTTGCTCAATTCGTATTTCTATACCTTATTTTTGTAGAAAATATAATAAATTGGAAATCCTTATTTAAATACCATTATTATATTTCGTTTAAATCTTTCCAAGGTTTTACTATCAGGCTTAAATAGGTATTTATTACATATAAATAGATCTCACGTTGCATTATAGTACCTACATTATTAAGTCATTTAGTTGATTTATATTTATCCCTATTCATATACATATACATATGTATCTGTAATCTGCAGCAAGTTTATTAATATTAAAAAAATATTAAGTTTTTAAATTAAACGAACTATCCTTAAGAACTATTGGTCCCATTTAAGAAAATGAACTTTTCTTGGATAATTATTAGTCAAAATAAGGGAATTCAAAGTTTTATTGCAATAAGTTTAGCTTATTCGTTAACTACCGACTCACCCACGCTTCGCTCGGGTTCGGGTACGTTTTAACGGTTAGTATGAAATACAAATCTTTGAATTTCTCGGCTTCTCTGTACTATAATATGCACGTTTCTATATATAAATTATAAATCTTTCTCTAGAATCTATCTATTAAAAAAACCGCATCAAAATCTGTTGCGTAGTTTTAAAGATCTAAGCATACATAGATACAGATAGACAGCGGGAAGCAACTTTGTTTTATACTATGTACAATACACCTCAATCTCCCAGTTCTAAGCGCCCTCACATAAAGCGGGCAGCCATTGACTCAGGTAGTCAGTGGCTATATAATAATACAATTACAAACGTGGGAGAAGCTCAGCACTTTTTAATATTGATTTATTTATATATTATGTAAATTATTTTTTTATTTTAGGTGGTAGTACCGCGGTGAAGGCGGCGGCATGTGGCACGGCGCGCGGGTGCTATTACTCGCGGCGCTGGGGCTACTGGCCGGGCCTTCGGTCGCCGCTAAGAAATACAACATTACTATCGGTTACCTACCCTCCATCAAAGGGGAACTCAGGGATAGACAGGGTCTTGCGATATCTGGGGCTCTATCCTTAGCACTTGAAGAGGTTTGTTTTGATTTTTGTTTTGTAAGTATTAACGAGGCTCACCAATTAAAGTATGTTTATAGTGTACCTTATTATATCAGATCTTTAAATTTAAGCCAAATGATTTATGTTGATGTTTATAGTTCCTTGGCATATATAATCTTTTTTATATTTATTACCTGCCTATATCATTTCTTAATCCCTCAACGACCGCGGACACGCCAGCGTTACAGTTAACAATAGATTTCACAGAAATTTAATCAATTTCTTAGAAATTTACCTGGAGGTGTTAAGACGGGATATATGAGATATAAAATCCAAGACGTATAATTTTCTCTCATCTACTACATGTAAAATGTACACTCACAATATATAAAGTAGATGTTCAAACACCCTTCAAATATTGACATTCCAATTTCGGGACACTAAATATTTACTCTTTTTCGTGCACGAATCGAGCAATGTTGTTATTCTACTTTCTTGATATTTACATGTGACTTTCATTAGTCATATTGTCAGTTAATGGTTTGAATCTTTCAACTCTACCTACTCTTAAATAAGAGTTTAAGCTTTGGGATACGAACTGTGGAATATGTTGATACTAAATATCTTTAACGCTAATGCTTGTTAGTACATATGTACTTAATAAAGTGACTTTTATTATATATATAATAGATAATATTCTTAACATTTAATGGAGATAAGAAAATTTGCAGATCAACAATAGCCCTGAATTATTGCCTGACGTGCATTTGTTGCTGGTGTGGAATGATACCAAGTGTGACACGGTGACAGCGACCAGGCTACTAACTGATATGAGCTGTTCAGGGGTCGTCGCGTTTTTCGGACCAGAAGGCCGCTGTCACACCGAAGCCATTATAGCTCAGTCTAGGAATCTGCCAATGATATCCTATGTAAGTTAAACATCTTTGTAGGAACTGATATGATGATACTGGTACATGCATAATTGCACACATAAATTTTCTATATGTTAAAAATAACCTTGATTTTTTTTTCTTACAGAAATGTTCCGATTACCAGACATCAACACTATCAAATTTTGCAAGACTGGAACCACCTGATACGCAGGTACGGTATATTTTTTTGTTTTTCTGCGACAATCTGTGGTATAATACTTTCCTTGTCCTACCTCCTTATAGGTATGGTATAGGCTTGACGTGACGTAAACTTTGTTTCAGGCGACAAAATCTGTGATATCACTGCTGCGATACTATAGATGGAACAAGTTTTCTATACTGTACGAGGAGTCTTGGGTGACGGTGGCGCTGACACTAGAGAACCACGCCAAAGAGAACAACATGACGGTGAACCACCAGCGGCCTGTCATCGACGGCTACAAGTGCTGCGAGGAGAAGATGACCTGCTGCGCCCCCGGCTTCTGGTACCAGTTCATTCAGGAGACTAAGAACAGAACTCGAAGTAATATATATTTAATATTAAACAAATAATAATATCAACATGTCATTTTGTAATCCAAATTGTGTCTGTAAAGGTCTGTATTCTGACTAAAAAAAAATCATACTACATATCAAGCAAATATGTGAAACAAGTAATAACGCATTAAATATGTAATATTATAATTATTTTTTGCAGTTTATGTGTTTTTGGGTTCGACTTCCGGCTTAATAGACATGATGACCGCTATGGAGTCGTTGCAATTGTTTGTGAAGGGAGAATACATGGTTATATTTGTCGATATGATGACTTACTCGCCTAAGGAGTCCTTGAAATATTTAATAAGTGAGTATTAAAATGTCAATTCACGCTGTCTGATGTGTAAAATTTTCCATTTTACTTTCCACAATTCTTAGATTTATAAGAATAGGGTCATCCCTAGCTTGCCTCCCAATACAAACTTTCGTCCCCATTTTCACCCCCTTAAGGGATGATTTCTGGGATAAAAAGTATCCTATGTCCTTCCCAGGGTCTTGAAACTATCTTCTTACCAAATTTCATCTGAATCGGTACAGCAGATCCAGAGATTACCCCCTACAACATTACCAACTCACAAACTTTACCTCTTTATAATATTAGTATAGATTAGATTTAAGACGTGTGAAGTCTGCTAACCCACACTTGGCCAGCGTGGCGGACTATGGCCTGATTCCCCTCGTACTGAAGGGAGGCCCGTGCCCAGCAGTGGGACGTTAAAAAGGGCTGAATGCATACATAAAAGATGGATGAAGCGTGGACGCCATGATGAATGGGATGGACGGTGTGTGCCCGCAGAGACGGAGGACCGCGCGTCGAAGCTGGTGTGTCCGCGCACGTCGGAGTTCCGCAAGCGCGCGCAGTCGCTGCTGGTGGTGGTGTCGTCGGAGCCCGAGGGCAGCTACGAGTACTTCACGAGCCGCGTACGCGACTACAACAGCATCAAGCCCTTCGAGTTCCCCCTGCCCGCTGTCTTTGAGAAAAGGTTCAATAAGGTCTCGCATCCACATCACTTCTGCTTTCTTCTTGTTCTTAGTTATTATTGTTTTATCTGTTGTGTGAGATTGGATTTTGTTTTTTTTTAATTGACTTCCAAAAAGGAGGAGGTTCTCAATTCGTCGGAATCTTTTTTTTTTACTTGAAGACGCCTGAACCGATTTGGATTTTTTTATGTTTCAAAGGGTATACTTCCCAGGTAGTCCCATATAAATTTTATCGAAATCGGTCGAGCGGTTTTTAAAAAAATCAAAAATAAATATTTTTTTTTTAAATAAATTGTTTAATCGAATATATTACTAAAAAACTTTCTTCTTACAAATTACTTGCTTATTACGTCTACACTAAAAATGGAAAAATTAAAACTTAAAAAAAAATAATTAAAACTGACTTCTGGTAACTAACTGTAAGTTTTCATTTAGAATAGATATCTAATCAGATATTTTCAAAGTCGGTGCCAGCCTACAATATTGTAAGATATGAATATCTAATAGGTAAATAATTGTACTTTACGTATCGAAATATATTAGATTTGCTTTGCATCGGCTGGTACCGACTTCGAAAATATCTGATTAGGTATCTCTTCTAAATGAAAACCTAGGCTTAGTTATTTTTTATATTTTAGTGTCTGGAAATCGGTTTTTTTAAGTTTTTATTTTATTAATTTCTTTTTGTTGAATTTATGTATGGTGTATCAAAGAGAATGAGGTTGAATACTAAGTAATATGAACACTTTTTTTTTTTAACATTGGGAAATGCATTTACGCACGAGGTGTGGGACTCACCGGCAAAACCAGTACTACCCACTAAAACCCAACAAAACCTTCCCCCGTCTTAATGGGGCGTCGCAGGATCGCTTACGCATTCAACTATGACGCCCCGACGGCAGGTCTGCCAAAGCAGACCACCACAACCATGGGGTTGCTCCAAGGTCCACTCTGCTATCAGAGAAGTACCAGGAGCAACCCGCAAGGTACACCGCCCCCCGAAGAGGGCCACCTCCCACCGCCCACCGAAGTGGGCAACCTCCCTGTGCGTTTCTTAGCTTCGCTACTACTACTGAGCCCCCCCACCACGACAAGGTGAACGCACGTTGGGGGGGAAGTAATATGAATACCTGCAAATGTTAACTGAATTAATGTTAATTCTGAAAAAGTGGTTTCATTGAGTGGCTGAAGTCTAAACATAGTGTATAAAAAGAGTCCCTGAAAAGATATGTCAATTCAAGGAATTGTGTTCTAATATTTATATAAATATTGTCTAAAATAAAACTTAATCCATAAAGTTCTAATTATACACATATATTTCTCGCTTAAGACTTATTGGAATATGTAATGTTTCAGTTTGTTTCCATCTATGCAGCATATTTGTATGACTCTGTGAAACTTTACGCGACAGCTCTACACAAACTCATTGAAGAGGAAACTGTATTAAAAAACGAAACACTCACCTATCAAAAGTTAATGAGCATCGCTACTAACGGATCACTCATTGTATCGAAGATGATACGCATCACTCCATTCAAAAGTGAGGTTTTTTTTAAATATTTGTTACTATAAGAACATTATTTATAAATATATTTTATAAGATATAATATGATAGCCTTAAGCTTGTACGGAAATGCTGATAATTGAAATATTTTATTTATTAATACAACATGGAATTTCACTAATATTACCTCAATCTATTTCACATAAGAAATAGTGTGAACATATACTAAATATTATTAATATCAGGTGTATCGGGGATGTCCATCCGTCTGGACGAGCGCGCCGACTCAGAGGGCAACTTCTCCGTGTTGGCCTTCAAGCCCACGAACTTCACCGACGACGACAACAACTGCACGCACAGCATGATCCCCGTGGGCCACTTCCAGCAGTGCGGCCGGGAGTTCCCCGTGAGTACTTTATTTAATGCCTGTTAGCTTTACGCATGCTTAGTAAGCCTTTTTGGTTTAATGTCAGGTATGGTCGACTACGAATCCTGGTTTCGAGTCTCAGGTATTTATTTTTTATTTAGCTTTTTAAGGGAAACAAACAATACGATAAATAATTACATTATAAAATATATAAAAGTAATCCTAAAACCAACCAAGTTCCCACAGATTATAATCCAATATATAAACAAAAGCTTACCACCACGATATGATAATACATATATAAAAATTTTGATTATAAAAATAACTGAATGGTACCACATAATAAAACATTCAGTAATTATGCAGTTAAAAGTAACAATATACATACAACCTATAGCAAAACTACTTATTATAAATTAAGTAAGTTAGGATTTGTCACTCCATGATTTATAAACTAACTAAACTATTTAAGTTTTTCGTTTGTAAAGTCACGCTGATATGTTTCTTTAAATCTTAGAGCAAACTGCTGAGTCTATAGATCTGCAATATTACTGGTTTGGTCCTAGAATGACAAAAGTGATTTAGTAGTAGTAGTAGTAGCAGTAGTAGTAGTAGCAGTAGATTTCATGAACCTGACCACATAAGTAAAGGGAAAAAGGGATGACAAAATCTGTATACAGAAGAAAACATTTCTCCTACTGACTTTATTTCTATTCTTCTAGTATATTAAAGAAATATTCTATATGCTGTTATTTAAATTCAAAAATTTCAGCTACACAATTAGTTTTGAAGTGCCATTTTTAACATTTCCCTCAAATAATTAATTACAGGAATATAAACTAAACCCTCGTTTGCCGATCGACTGGCCGGATTCTGTGAAGCCGGAAGCGGAGCCCTCTTGCGGGTTCCTCAACGAGAAGTGCCCGAAGGACGACTCGCAGATCACGTCGCTGGTGGTGGCGGGCACGCTCGCCGTCACGCTGTTCTGCGCGCTCGTCGTCACCGTCAGCATCTACAGGAAGTGGAAGATAGAGCAGGAGATTGAGGGCTTGCTGTGGAAGATAGATCCACATGAAATTGGCGGATATTTGAACAGTGGACTTGTCTGGTCGCCTAGTAAGGTAGAGGTTAAATAATGTTGTTCATTTTTTTTATAGCGAAAGAGACAAACGAGCAAAAGTTCCATCTAATTAATGGCAAGTGGCTATCGTCGCTTATAGTTATCTTACGAGCTAGTAATAACGTGTCTGTTATTGGATTTTTTAAGCTATAATTTTACCATGCACATAAGTCAATATTAAAATAAAATATTAAAATGTCGTTTTCTTTGCAGTTAAGTTTAGCTAGTGGCATGTCGTGTGAGAGCAAATGCTGCACTCAAATATTTACACCGACAGCGCAATATAAAGGAAATGTTGTGAGAATTAAGGAGTTGAAGTTTACTAAAAAGAAAGTGAGTACCATTATGTCATAGTTTTTGTTCATAGTTATGTACAGAATATATATTATTTTTATTCGGTTTTTATTGAGTTTGTATAACAGAATAAATAGGCATATCTGATTCTGATCCTTTTAACATTCAAGAAATTATAGTTTGAATGTTCATATCTATGTCACTATATATAGAGGCTTTGCTTAACCTGATTCGATTGAACGTGCTATAGTCAAGTTTTTAAGAATTGCATATTTACGTTTGTAAATGCGGTTTATTAACCAAAAATCAACGTTGAAACATTTGGGTAATATATATGGTGTTGTAGTTGAATTATAAATAAATTCTATATGTTCCGAAACTTGCAGAACATCGTTTGCAGATTGACTAGGTTCCTTATAAAATCCAATATTCTGACGTCATTAACATCTTTGCACAGTAACTGTATTGTAATATAGCATTTAACATTAGTACGCTTAATTGTTAAGGATATATCACGTGAGGTGATGAAGGAGATGCGGTTGCTGCGTGAGTTGCGCCACGACAACCTCAACTCGTTCATAGGCGCCGTGGTGGAACCGCTGCGTGTGTTGCTGCTCACCGACTACTGCGCTAAAGGGAGTCTGTATGTAAGTATATACTGCATTCGTATTCAGCACTTTTTGACGTCCCACTGCTGGGCACGAGCCTCCCTTCAATACGAGGTGGATTAGCCCATAATCCACCACGCTGGCCAACTGGTTGGCGGACTTCACGTGTCTTTCGAAAACTTGCTAGGTTCTCTGAGACATGCAGGTTTCCTCACGATGGTTTCCTTCACCGTAAGACAAGTGTTAATCATGTTAGAAATGATTCGTATATAAACATATTAGAGGTGCGAGTTCGACCCTGCTTCACTCGGTTTATGAAGCGAGCGCGTTATCACTGGCCTACCACTGCCTTGGCTGCTAGTATAAACTGTTTTTTTTTTTAATATGAATGTAATAGTATTTTTGTTTTTGTAGTTAAGAAGATCCTGTGTTGTTAGTTTTTTTTATATAGATCATATAAGATTTGTACGAAGTATTTATTGAACCTCTTTTAGTCTTTTTATTACTTCTAGTCTGTGCAGAAGAAATTCCGTGTATATTAAATATTTCAATTTTTTAAATACATCAATATTATTAAATTATTATATACACTATAAATATAATAATATATTTATTTTTTGCAGGATATAATTGAAAATGAGGATATAAAACTGGATAAGATGTTTATATCTTCATTGGTGCATGATCTCATTAAGGTAAATGTTTTAAAATATACTTTGTAATATCTGATGGACAAAATATAGTAAGTGAATCATTTAAAAATGGCTTACATTTTTATCTTTAAGTTTCTCAACTTCTTTGTTTTAGTAATGTTTGTATTCACGACGCAAAGTTATTTATAACTCATCTTTTGTTGTCAACACTGAACCTACGTTTTAGTCAGAAGTGAAGTTGATTTCATAGTAAAGGTTTATAATGAGTGGTATAGTTTAACTAATATTTTTTTTGTTTCAGGGTATGATTTTTATTCACACTTCGCCATTAATTTTCCACGGAAATCTTAAATCATCGAATTGTGTTGTCACGTCAAGATGGATGCTTCAGGTGACAATTGATTTTTAAATATCTATTATAACTACATGATACGTATAAATTAATTACAAAATTTTGTTTAATAATCAGGTAACCGATTTTGGTCTACATGAACTAAAATATTGTGCTGAAAACGATTTTATTGGTGAACATCAGTACTATAGAGGTGCGTATATAAATATGTAGCAGTTTTTCCAATTATTTGTGAGTTATAAATACAAAGATATAATATTGATTTAAATGATTCTTGTAGGCTTATTATGGAAGTCACCGGAATTACTGAGACAATTGGATGATCCAAACTGCACAGTAGGCGGCACACAGAAAGGCGACATTTATGCCTTTGGAATTATTTTATATGAGATAATTGCAAGACGAGGTCCGTTTGGCGCTACATCTTTAGAACCCAAAGGTAAAAATATTTTTTTAAAGTAACATATTTGTGTGAGCGTCAGTATAAAAAACGAATATGGAATTACAATATCTCTAGAGAAAATTTATTATATATTCCCGATAGGTACTATGTATAACGATGCTATACGATTAATGAATATTTTGTAATAATAATTTATTTTGTACAAAGAAGGAGCAATAATAGAATAGCATTTTCAGTAAAAAAGCAATCAAAGTGATTCAAGTTCTTTAATTTAAAAATGAAAAAGTACTCAAAGCACTGATGTCATAATATATGAGTACACCCTATATAAAAAAATTGAATTGCACTTATTGAGACTAGGCACTTTTTGCTTATCAGAAATTTATACAGTTGTGAAAACTCTTTAAACTATTTAATTTATAAAATTGTGTGTAAATGCAATCACTTAACGAATTTTGATGATGTAAGCTTGTTATTGGGTTCATGACTCATTAATTAAATATGGACTTGCTTAGAATAACATTTTCAAGATATTTTTAGACAATAACATTGTCCTACATTCTACGTCATCTAATATTTATTTAAAGAATTAACTTTTTCTGTTTCTTCTTAAGTCCCCATGATAAAGTGAATTCATACATGTGGTAAAATAGATACAGGGGTGGATTTTTGAGACGGGACAGTAAGGGCAGGTACCTTAACTGCTATAGTTACAGGAAAACGTTCCTAAGAGACCATCCATAACTTTTTAAGATATTTTGAACTGCATTCACAGATTTTGGAAAAATTGTACAGTTAGCGAAAAAAATGCTGAAATACCAAAAAACATTTTTTATGTCAATCGATCCTATTTCATGTAGAGCAAAAGTAGTATATGTACTCCCTGTAACATCAGCTATCTTCTAGTGAAAGTCCCGTCAAAATCAGTCCAGCCGTTTCAGAGATTGTCGGGAACAAACTGACAGACAGACAAAAATTTAAAAAAATGTTAAAAAGCTTGTAGGAGATACAAATCCTTACAGTTACCGTAGAAGTTTGTTTGTCTCACGCAGAAATAGTGGAGCGCGTGAAGCGCGGGCGACGCGACGGCGAGGAGGCGTTCCGGCCGGACACGCGCGCGCTCGACGCCGACGAGTTCGTGCTGGGCGTCATCCGCGACTGCTGGGCGGAGGAGGCCGCCGCGCGCCCCGACTTCCCCGCCGTGCGCACGCGCCTCAAGAAGATGAAGTCTGGCAAGTACGTCACTCTGTTACCTAAACCTGTTTGTAGTGTATACTTGCTGTGCCAGCGGTCGCGGGTTCGATCCCGCAGGGGACATTCATTTGTGTGTAATGAGCACGAATGTTTGTACTCCAGTCATGGGTATTTATATTTATAATATGTACATATTTATTTATTATTAAACACTATTTTATTTTTGATTTCGGTATTTGTATTTATATTGTAATGTTTTTTTTAACGTTGGGAAATGCATTTACGCACGAGGTGTGGGACTCACCGGCAAAGCCAGTACTACCCACTAAAACCCAACAAAGCCTTCCCCCGTCTTAATGGGGCGTCGCAGGATCGCTTACGCATTCAACTACGACGCCCCGACGGCAGGTCTGCCGAAGCAGACTACAACAACCGGCATTGTCTGAGCTGATAATTAAACAGATTTCAATTTGAATTTGCTTTTTTCCCTATAAATATATGACTTTTCGATGTTGGCATATCATTGACTGATGTTAGTGATATAAAAATAAATTTATACTTTACTGCTTTCACTTTCATATTTGTGCAAATACTGTAATACTTATTAATTTGAGAATTTTATAACATTGTGAACTAACTTTATTTTCTCAGCTCTAAGAATATTATGGATCAAATGATGGACATGATGGAGAAGTATGCTAATAATTTAGAAGAACTAGTCAACGAGAGAACGAGGCTGTTGATAGAAGAGAAGCAAAAGACGGAAGATTTGCTGCACAGAATGCTACCAAAGTAAGTGCTTTTGTGAATTAAACTATATAAATGTTCTTGCATCACGTGTAGCATTTAAATACTACATAATCAGTTACGTCTAATGTTTAATTATAACCCATAAAATTATACAGATATTAAGTATTATTAATAGTAATGATTTTTTATTGTATTATAATTAATTAACAATTGAAATATCTTTTAAGTTAATATTATTGACCATTATTCAATATTTTTTAATAACAAATATTTAATAATTTTACTTTATTCTAATCACTCATAAACTTAGTTATGTAGTATTTAAATACCGCCTTTGTTATTATTATTTATTAATCCATATAAAGTTTCAATGTCACCTTGTTAACATGTCAATGTGGCTTTATTAATTATTCTGTTTGTTTTTGATGTTCAGCCTTTAACTGTCAGTGCACATCTTTAACAGAAATTACATGTTAATCATTACCATCCAGGTACCCCATATAAGGTACATATATGGTATGAAAGTACAAATTTAGATATCAGTTCGTCCCGATGTCGCAGTTAAATGTGCATAAAAAATATCTACAATTATTATGTTTGAAGTATACATATTTTCTTTAAAATAATTTTGATAATTGTAAAATAATAAATGGAGTGTGCATGTTAGAGCTGGATTTAGTGTTGAGAGGAGGAGATGTAATCGTTACTAATAAAGGTATGTAATGTAACTAATGTAATGTAAGCTCCGACACCAAGACGCAAATACAACAAGCCGCAGCGCAGACGGCCGACGCCGCTACAGTGTGCGCACTGGTTTACATTCAGTCCAGTCACAAGTTTTTACTTATTTTCCTTTACTATCGTTGTATTTTCTTAGAAAAAGACATTTTGTTATCGTTTGAATGAAACATTATAATCGTAATAAAAATAAAGGTAGAGATATGTTTTGAGTGGTTTCATTCTTTAGAGTTAGCACTACTATTTATTATTTTATTGCTCATGGAAAGTGTTTAACGTAAAAAAATTAGAATTTTACATTACTATTTTTTATTTATACTAAGGCAGTGCTGATTCTAATTTATAACAGACTATTATATTGTTACGTACTGGTTAGTGGGAAACATTGTACTCTTTAAATTATTCGACCAAACTTGTTTTTTGTTTACTTTGACGATGTAAGTAATCAATACGATATTAAAACTTAAACTTTTTAAAATTTATACGTATAAAACTAGGCCTGCTAAAACCGAATTCTAAAGTAGGGCGTTCGTAAAGAAATAATATACAAATATCCAACTCCACCTTAGCTCCATCGACGTGGACTCGATGTAAAGCAGTAGTACATGCTCTCGTATTGAAAGGAAAAAAAAAATACTTGTATTCACTTTGTTGTACTTGTGTTCTTTTCCAGATGTGGGGGTTGAATCCATTATAGAAATGTCGTGAAAATGTCTTGAGGTAATTAACTCTCTACTGGTGATTGTAGGCGCCGCTGTCTGCGACTCGGCTCTCCTAACAGACGTAGATTAGAGCTTGCTTGGGTTCATGTGGCGGTGGCCGCGCACTGTCGGTGTTGGAACCGTGCTTTGATGCGATTGATTAGCGATCTGTAGTCGTATCGAGAACCTTTGTAGTTCACCATTAACTCCAAACAGCATGTTATTTATTGTTTATATTTTTTTTTATTTATATTTTTATCTAATCATATAAGTTTTATGTATGAATTTTACTTTTTATCTTAATAGTGTTGAAATAATCCATATTTTTGTTTACTAATTTTGTGTTTTTTTTTCAATAGTAAGTGCAGTATTTACTCTGTTGGAATATGAAATATAATTTTTCATGTTTATTTTATTATCTAAAATATGTATATCATTTTTAGTATTATGTCTCGATCATTTTTCATTTCTTTTCTCTACAAAGTAGTGATTTGGCATGACACAGTAGGTTAGATTTTATTTATATATAATTATAACAGCATATAGTTTATTTCTTAGATAAGTTGAAAATATGTTATCGACTTGCAAACTTTGTCATTATACTTAAAAGAGTGTGTTGAAAATAATAACAAGGATACGGTGTTATAAAGTATGAGAGTAGTTGTAACTAATTCTAGATAATATTCAAGAGTAACCGGCATTGCCATTTCAGAAAAATCATTGTATTTATTCCTATGTGACTTATGAGTAACAATGAGGTGTGTCTGTTGTTGCAGGTCGGTGGCGCGGCGCCTGACCACGGGCGAGGGCGTGGAGCCGGAGTCCTTCGACTCGGTGACCATCTACTTCAGCGACATCGTGGGCTTCACCGCCATGTCCGCGGAGAGCACGCCGCTGCAGGTCGTCAACTTCCTCAACGACCTATACACGGTGTTCGACAGGATCATCAGAGGGTACGACGTGTATAAAGTGGAAACTATCGGAGATGCCTACATGGTGGTGTGTATTTAAATACTATTTGTTAATTGTGTTCAAATAGAATGAATGCCTTATCTGACTGTGTTGCTATCTTATGTAAATATGCAAATATTTATTTTGTCCTATATGACGAGAAGAACTTTTAAGTTTTTTTTTTTTTAACGCGTTTGAATACAATGAAGACGTTGTTTTTGAAATAAACTTAATCTGCTATTTTTATGCCGTCTAAATTGTGAACTGATTGCAAATAATAATTCTATTTTAAAAGATCTGAGTTATATTTTTATGAACTCTTTGACCTCGTTTTGAAGTCTATCAAATATAGGAAATGAATGTCTCACATACATAAATTATCTTTTGTTATATCTGCAAGGTATCTGGACTTCCAATAAGAAATAATGATAGACACGTGGGTGAAATTGCTTCCATGGCGCTGGAGTTGCTGAACGCTGTTAAAAACCACAAAATATCTCACAGACCGAATGAAATTTTAAAATTAAGAATAGGTATACATACAGGTAAGTGAAAAATGTTTTCATACCCGCTGTTTATTAACATCATACACAAATAGATTCCGAAAAGGTGTTTTATGGTTTAAAAAAAAACCTAATTGAACAAAAACGGAATAATGTGCTCTCAAATGAAGTTTTCGTTAATTTACGAAATATTGAAAAATCATTGATTAGTTATGACATCTATATATGAGTAGACTCAAGCAAACAAAAATAGTCCGAATTAGCGCTGTCCAATTTATTTGTATTGGATGGGGGATTTGTAATAAAATAGCAATGTAATGTGTAGATTTTTTTGATCACTGATTCAGAAATAGAGATTTCGCAAAAAAATACTCAAAATTAACCAGGAAACCTCTTTTAAGGGGTACTAAAAATGCCAAAATATTAAAAAAAAACAAAAATATTTTTTTTGAAACCGTCTGATCCGTGGAATGCCCCATATACACGTGTGTCGCGTGACAGGCGCAGTGGTGGCGGGCGTGGTGGGGCTGACGATGCCGCGCTACTGCCTGTTCGGCGACACCGTGAACACGGCCTCGCGCATGGAGAGCAACGGCGAGCCGCTGCGCATACACATCTCGCCCAGCTGCAAGGCGGCGCTCGACAAGCTCGGCGGCTACGTGGTGGAGCCCCGCGGGACTATACCCATTAAGGGGAAGGGACAGGTACACCGGCATTGGTTATATATTATTTTACTATATCTGATTATAATATAATCCAAGATCGATTAATGAAATACTCATACATTTTGATCATCTTGGTCTGAATGACAATTATTGATGTCTTTCAAGTGTCCCGTTTGTCTATGTGTCATAGAGAAATTATGAAATAGTTTAGTAGAAACTTGTGACTGATCACTTGCTTTTATCCCTACTATATCTCTAAGTATATTTGCGTTAAAGAAAAAGTTACATTTGTAATAGAAAAGTTAACAGACAAGAACTGTTTATTTGACCTATCTATAAACGGTATTACAGCAAAAGAATTATAAAAATTATTTATCTGCATGTTTCACTCATCTCTGGCACGGTTGAATGTTTCTTTATTTAAAAAATAGTAATACACATATGTCCATTACCTTTTTCAATTAATTGTTTGTTTATTTTTGTTACTCTTGCAAGAAATAAAAAGGCTTTTATTTATTTATAATACACATATGTAGATATTGAACGATTTGTTTCCTATCTCCAGCTCCAAACATACTGGCTGGTTGGTGCTACTGATAAAGCGATACAAAAGAGAACAGTAGAGGGGGAGGAGCGGCCGTTGTTCTGCCGGCCGCGGCGAAGCCCGCGCCTGACGGACTCCAGGCACCCATCCATCACAGGTATAATACTTATTGTATTGTTTATGTACGCTTACCTTACAAGCATTCTATTCTGTCTTGTTTTTGTTTTTGTGTGAACTTGGCATTTTTGAGAGCATTTCAAGGTTACAGCATGTTTTAAACACTTAAGATTTTTTTCTCGTTTGTTGTTTGATTAAAATATTTTTAATTTTAGTGTGTTACGGTAAATTGAGCGAACTATTTTAAAATAAAGAGCTTAAAGCTTGAACAGCACTATAACCTGTTTCAACCTATTGTGCTATAATAGTGATAAAAAAAATTGTCATTGTTATTTGCTATTGTTCTGAAGATTGCACAGAGTATATTATTTTTAAAAGATTATATTGGTTTGAAGGCAAAACTGACATGTCATTGGTTTGGTGATAGGGATTTGCCTCACAGAGCTGAAGGGTGAGGGCCGCGTACGCCAGCGCCTGCACAGCGGCGCGTCGCTGCCCGCGCCCGCCTCGCCGCTGCTCCGTCGCGCCACTGCGTACAACAGGTCTGCTTAGTATCTCATCTATTGTGTTTGTTTTATTAACTTTTCTGTGCTTTATTTGATATAACTTTATTCATTGATATGTATACATACAAATGTATAACATAAAAATGTTTTTTTTTTGGCATGATGTTTTTTTTAATATACTTGAAACGTTTCCTGTATTCCTGTATGGTATGTTGTGTTTTATTGTGCCTTAGTAATCATTGGTAGATATTTCGATTGGCCAATTTGATATTAGTTAATGGTAATATTAAATATAATTCCAGACGTGCGCTGAGCTCTATCGCGTCGTCGACGGCGTTCGAGGGCGTGTGCGGCGGCGCGTGCGCGGCGGCGGGGCGCGCGGGCGACGCGCTGCGGCCGGCGCGCTCGCTCGACGTGCTGGCGGCGTGCGGCCGCCTGCGCCGCCACCTCACCACGCGCTCGCTCGACGCCGACGTCGCCATCGCCACCGTCTCCTCCTCGCTGTGCAACGGCTCGGCCGCGCCCGCCGAGGAGGACTCGCCGCTGCTGCGCAAGGCCAGCCTCTGCAACAAGCTCGACCGCCCCAAACGCAAGGTGCCCGACTCGGACTACATCGAGTTCTACAAGAAGTGGCGCTCGCTCGAGAACGTGGCGGACGCGAAGGGCGCCAAGATGCCGCGCTTCGCGATCCGCTCGTGGCTGCTGGGCATCTTCGGCGGCGGCGCGCGCAGCACGTCCTCGTCGCTGCGCCGCGCGCCGCACCTGCGCGATCGCGAGTCTGCCGTATAGATTACGTCTAGCCTCCCCTTCCTTCCCTACACTCCCGACACTCCCCACTCTCCCACTACGTGTATATTGCGCTATATGTATATGAAATGCTGTTGTAAATAATATGTGTAAGTAAAACGATGTTACCGTCAATTGTGAAATAAGAGTTTAATGTTATTAAATAATTTCTATTGAACAATTTGTCTCTTAATAATACTGACATAGATCACATTAACGCTAAGTATGGCTACGACGATGAAATGCACGCGTCTCTCGATGAAGTGAAAAGATAAAATAAATATTTCATCACCTTTTCTTCCTTAAAATATTATTAGCTAGAAGTTGTACATTTTTATAAGCTTAAATATTTATTAAGTAATAAATTCAGTAGTCTAGTTTGTCATAAACACAATTATCACTATATTTTTAATATAGCTTTACACTGCATAACGAAATAAATAGAATATATTATCTATTACAAAACAGTAGCTATTAAAAAATTGTTGAGCTGTGCTATTTATGCTAATTCTTTAGTCATTTAACTTGTATTACAGATAATAACATAATTAAAATATGGGGTCGGGTATTGACTAGTGGGTTATGCGTCAGCAAGCAGCGGTATCCCGGCGTGGTCGTGGGAGTCGTGTGAGTCGTGTCCGTTGACGACGAGCCGTATGTCGCAAGGCGTCTCCTTCTGCTCTATGATGGGACACGACACGCTGGTGTACTCGTGGCGGAGGCTCGGCGCTTCGAGTAACTCGGGTCGTATTGTCGTCACCAGTCGACCCTCTCCAACGACCTAGTAATAATTATATTTAGATTTTAGAACGTTTTAGTGATAAATAATATATGATATTATATACTGAGAGTGAAAAAATGTGTATAGGGGAGGTAACGGAGAACTTTTTACAGATCAAGTAATTTTAATATATAAAGAAGGCTAAGTCAAAAGTCGGGAGATATGGTCGTATATGAAGAGCAGCGTGTAGCGCTTGGCATTCTTGTTTTCCCTGCCGTAAGCGATATAGCGTGAAGTTGTGAAATTTATACGAAGTTTTTTTGCGTAATAATTGGAATTTATTATACCTATAATAAATATTAGATGAACAATATAACTTACTTCCATTAAATATTCATCACTTCGATGGTGCAAAACGCTGTCTGTATGCGACTCTAGGTGGTTTCCCGAGGCAAATCGAAGTTTCTTTGGAGATTCTAAGCTGCAACATCTAACGAGAGAGAAAAATTAAAATTTAATTTATTTTACCAACTGGAATAAACATTTTGTTTAATATTTATTTACATTACACTATATAATACATGAGTTTAATGTTTTTTTAGTTATTTAAAGAAATACATTGAGATTATAAATAAATTTAATTATAATGTAGAAAACATAAAAACTTTTTAACAAAAAAATAAAAACCGACTTCAAACAAAAGCACTAAAAAGTAAAAATAACTGATTGGTGGTTTTCATTTACTATACATACCTAATCAAATATTTTCGAAGTCGGTGTGCTTTGCTTTGTATGGGCTGGCACCGATTTCGAAAATATTTGATTAGGTATGTATTTAATAGGTAGGCTTTAATTATTTAGCCAAAACACACCGACTTCGAAAATATTTGATTAGGTATGTATAGTAAATGAAAACCACCAATCAGTTATTTTTTACTTTTTAGTGCTTTTGTTTGAAGTCGGTCTTTATTTTATTGTTAAAAAGTTTTTATTTTTCCCTTTTTAGTGTAAGACAGTAGTAGCAAAGTAAGAATTCTAACGTGTTAGGCTTGTCAAATCAAACAAAACAAAATAAGCCCAAACTCGAAGTATCTACTGTTAGCCGTTGAAGAGTTCCACCTATCCACCTTCTGGCCTTGCCATCAGATCAGGTCAACAACACCGAACCACTGTACTATCAACGGAAATAGAAATACTTGCAAAGTTTCAAGTCAATATGACAATTAGAAGTAGGTTAAATTCATCATTAGTTGTTTTTCCACCCTTAGGGGTGGTATTTTTTTTTTGAAATTTAAATGGGACCAATCTGGAAGTATACCCTTTCAAACAAAACAAAAATTGTCCAAATCGGTTAATAAATGACGGAGTTCTGAGGTAAGAAACATAAAAAAAAACATACAGTCGAATTGAGAACCTCCTCCTTTTTGAAGTCGGTTGAAAATATGTACACTTAATTATTACCGTACAAGTCATATTTGCGTGGAATTGAGGCAAGAAATTTAGCCGAATTCAGCGGGGAATCGCAATGCCGGTTTTTTGGGCAAAAAATAATTCGACTCACTTCTTACTAAATAGTATAGGCGATTAGACGAGGTGTTGTCTTTTAAGAAGTATTTAGCACTTTGACTCCATGGGCCAAGGGTTTTTACATTTAGTTGATAAAAAAAATATTTATACACACAGTATGCCACACGACCTTGTCTTTAAAATGTGATAGATTAATACATATATTATGTATCTACAAGCGACTTACCCTCGCTTCGCTCGGGTTCGCCTTTAGTAAATCAAAAACAAATCCCACGGGAACCAGCATATTTGCTATTCCAGGCTGTATCTATCTCTGTGCCCAATTTCATCCAGTTCCGTTCAGCCGTTCTGGCGTGAATGTGTAACAAACATCCAGACATCTAAACTTTTACATTTATAATATTAGTAAGACTAGCTTAGAATAAGCCTTCCGATCTATGGGAAATAAGTGTTAAAGCATGGCACGTATAAAAAATAAAAAACCATAAAGTAGGCGATGCGTATTTGATGTCTGTGAATTTAAAATTATTTGATATAAAAAATCCATTTTCATGACGAACGCTTTTGATGTTAAAGTGCATGAGGTAGTGTTATTTCGTGGCAAGTTACAGTTATTCAATTCAATTCTTTGTTCTATGGCATAAAGGCGTACCAAATTATAATTATGCACGCCAAAACTAAAGTCGTTTCCCTACTGTCATATAAAACGTATACGTATGACAGTTGGGTGCAATTTACCCGCGACTCTCCTGCACGTACGCATGATTCTATATATATACATATATATAGAATCTTCGTAAGACGAATGCATGGATTGGTAGACTGTTTATAGTCGTTAGAAAATCGTGTTTGTATTCAGTCCTGTTTTGACGTCCCACTGCTGGGCACGGGCCTGGCTTGAATGCGGCAGGGTTTTGGCTTCGGTTAGTCTATGGAGTCGGCACATATTAGAACAGTCGAACCAATATAACCTAACGAGTATCAGGGCCGGATTCAACCTTAGCACTGCTCCTGGGCATAGTAAAAAATGCCGTCCTATTATCGAAATTTTGCATAAAATGGGTAAAGTTTTGATAAAGTTTTTTTTTATATTTTTTTTTTAAATAATTTATAAATGACTTTAAATTTTCGAAAAATGTACTAGTTATTTTTTTTTAATTAATCATTTTTTGGAAAATAAAGAAAGCGTTTTCGATAACGCGAAGGGTTTTTAATCCCCACCCTCCAAATTTTGTCACCTCCAAAATTTGCCACCCTGGGCACTAGCCCCGAGTGCCCCTAGGGCCCTAGTGTAAATCCAGCTGAGTATACTCAATAAGTACGAGAGAGGAACCTGTGCAGATCAGTTAGTTTAAAACAAAAAATAATCACGACAACTAAAACTCAAAAAAGGCACAGAAAAAAACGTATAGGGTATATTCAAAAACAAGACCTGTGCAGTCCACTCTGCTTCCAGTTCTTGGCCTTGAGCGAGCTGCGCGGCTCGGGCGCGGCGGCGGCGGCGGGCGCGCGCGGCCGCGTCTCGCCGCGCAGCCACCACGTGAGCTGGTCGCGCTTGCCCTTCATGGCCACCACGCCGCGCTCCTCCAGCACGTAGCCGCCCAGCTGGTCCAGCAGGCTCTTGCACGCGCCGCTGCAGTGGATCTTTAGTGCTGGAATGTACGTGGATACTTAAATCATTTTTTATTCTATTTCGAAATCTATACATTCAGTAGATTTTGAAAATAGTATATATTTGTTTTAACTAATTAATTAACATATTACAGAAAAAAAACACTTTGTTTTAACTGGTATTACAAAAAAGTATTGCTTGTGCGTTAATATAAGTTGTTCATTAATTGCTAAATATATATACAAAATTTATAATCTACAATAGCTGAATAACTTACGAGCACCCGTAGACTCAAATCGACTGGCAGTGTTGACGGTGTCACCAAATAAGCAGTATCTAGGCATTTTTAATCCTACAACTCCCGCGCACACTGGACCTGCGATAAAAGTTAATGCTATAGATATATAAACGATCTTTCAATCTTAAGGAAAAAGTTAAAATTTTAATCAAAGGTGAAATATCTTTTTGCCTTTGTGATAAAGTGTGATTTTAGCGTAATATTTTCATTAAATGTAATATTTTTGGATGACTAGTTAATGAACTACTACAAAAAATATTAAATTTTTCAACTCAGCACACTTCACTCCGTCTACAACTGCTAATTTCATACAATACCCCGCATCTACGCTAGCGCCATTCTGGAAGGTTTTTGAATTGTAATTTATCGCTTACAGGTGGACACTTTATCATATTCTCATATAAGATGGTCCTCCATATCTCTATCCTTCATAAACCAAACCTAAGAAAACATTGAATTCGAATTCTAATTCTCTACAAACTAAATATCTGCACAAGTTAGGGAAGCCTGGCCAATTTGATATTAAACATTTTTAATAGGGTAATTGGAATATATTTATTTATTTTATTTATTTAATTCTTTATTACACCAAAAAAGAGAATAGAAATATAGTACACTAGCGTTTAGTTTTTTTGTTTACTACTAAGTAAAGTGGCATTAAAACCCGTTCAGTAGCCATCGCGTGAAAAAGTAACAAACTTACGTCTATATCACAATCACGATCCTCACAAAACGGCGTGTACAATAAATAAAATATAAAATAAATATGTTGGGACAACACGGGACACTTCGCGGGATTCGAGCCCGCGAGCGCCGGCGCAGCAGACAGTACCGGAGTGTATGCCGACGCGCAGCAGCAGGCGCTGCGCGGGGCGGTGGCGCACGCGGAAGGCGCGCGTGGCGGCCAGCAGCGCCAGCGCCATGGACGCCACCTCGCCCGCGTGCTGGATGCCGTTGCGGATGGGCAGCCCGGACACCTGCCCGTATACATATCACCTACTTATACTTTGCTTCCTAGCGTATGATTATTATATTCATTAACAGTATTTCATATACATATAATTTACATAACAATATTAGTTTTCAAATCATAAGTTTCCGGACGTCAACTTATATTACATTGTTATCTATACTAATATAATAAAGAGGTAAAGTTTGTGAGGTTGTGGAGAGTAATCTCTGGATCTACTAAACCGATTTAAATATAAGAAGATCTCGTAGTTTGAGACTCTGGGAAGGACATAGGATAGTTTTTATCTCCGAAATCATGCCTTAAGTGTGTGAAAATGGGGATGAAAGTTTGTATTAGGAACCAAGCTAGGGACGAACCCGAGTGAAGCGAGTGTGAGTCGCTAATTTGTTATAATCTGTGAAAGAGTTTCGATTCCGCCATTATGAGAGGCCACAACTTCTCCAAGTCTATGCTAAGACGTGCGTTAAGAATTGTGCCTTTTAACAATTTAATTACAATAAACTAGTGTTTCTAAGTAATATCGAACGAACTTTCATTTGTTAGCAATTGGGACAGCTTCATTACTGCTAGGAATAGCATCCTTTTGCAGCTTTAGCTTCGTATTTATTTTATGAAATATTTAATTTAACGATTTTAGTTTAACTCTATATTTTTTTTAACTAAGTTTTGATATGAATTTGGTTCAATTTTAAATTAAAGTATTTATTACTGTAATTATAATTAATTAGTAATTATAGTTTCGGTGAATTAAAAATAACGATGTAGCGTAAGTATCTAAAGAGGTCTCATCTAGCTGAGATGAAACTACACTTAAGTTAGACGAGAACGGGCGATAAGTAAATTTTTAAAGATGGGCCAATGATTTGTATAAAAATATTACCGCGATAGTATAAAAGGAATTAAAACTAAACATTTAATTTATTATACTTAATATTAGAAATTTGTACTTACAACCATGTATGCATCTCCAATAGTCTCTACTTTGTAGACATCAAAATTTTCTAAAATAGAGTCGAAACATGTATATAAGTCGTTGAGGAAATCCACTACCTGCAATAATTTATTAGGTTGGTTAATGAAAAAATAAAAAGGATTAAAACAAAATAGAGTCCGATATTTTATAACCGACAACAGAAAGGGATGTTCCATTTCTTCCATATATTTCTAAACTTATTCCCTTAAAAATCTAGTATACAAGGACTTACTATATATTTTTTGATTAATACATTTTAAAATAATAGTGCCACTAAAAACGTTTTTCTATAAATTCAACATTAAAAACAAACTGCAGTTTAATTTGTGTACTTTAATTCTGTAGAATTAAAGTAATAACTACTATACTCAAAATTAAACTGCAGTATTTGCCTTACTTTTCAGTTAGTGCCTTATTTTTAATGGAGTAGTTATTAAATACACATATATAACTAATATTCCCAACCATCCATACAATAATTATCAAGATATAATACCTGAAGCGGCGTGCTCTCCGCGGACATGGCGGTAAAGCCCACGATGTCGCTGAAGTAGATGGTCACCGAGTCGTAGCTCTCGGGCAGCACGCGGCGCCCGCGCTTCAGCTGCTCCGCCACCGGCGCGGGCAGCATCTCCTCTAATAATGCCTCTGTAACCAAATTCTGCCGACTGAACTTTTGTCTACGGATATAGTGCAACAGTTAGGGCCACTCCACACTATAGTGCCGATCACAGTCCGTTCTCGGTCCGATAACGGTCTGGTAAAGTATTGTTATACAAAAAAACAATGAGTGCAGTCTTAGAGTAGACTTGGAGAAGTTGAGGCCTCACATAATGGCGCATAATCACACTATCAGTAAGATTCAGGTTCCGGTCGAATCACCCTTCAGCAACGTTTCTTGTATAGAAATACTTTACCAGACCGATATCGGATCGAAACCGGACTGTGATCGGGACTATAATGTAGAGCGGTCCTATGTGTGCAAACAAAGAACGGCTTTATGTGCTTTACAAAGCCGGATGTAACACTTTTTCAAGATTCTAGGTTTTTTTATAGCGACACTTTAATTTATTAAATATTTTTTGTCTGCTTTGTAGGTACGAAAATAAACTTTGTATAATATCAAAAAAATCGCAAAATTTTATAACTCTCAGTTCCAAATTTTCCTAAAATTTGTAGAGCCGTTTTGGCGTAAAGAAACAATAAACAGACTCACTGAGAAACTTTAGCACTGTTAATTTAACTAATCATTTTCTGTTAGTTTCAAAATTTGGTAGTAAAATTTTTGATAACCTCTTATTAGTTAACATTTTGCTTACAAGGAATACATACTCAATACTCGATAATAAGTAAATTAAATAAATATATTAGAATACATTTATAATATAATAAGTTTTTTAGTACTTTACCAACTCTAAACACATAAAAATTAAAAGACTACAGTGAATTTTGTTTTATTCCTCGTATGATTGAAACATAGGTATCCGACTACTAGAAGCCTAAATATAATACGATGAAAATGAATAATTTTATGATTTAAACGTATTCATCATATTGACACGATCGTTTCAGTCATAAAATAGTACGGACGTACCAATGTAAAAGGAGTCGTTATTCACATATGGTTAGTGGAGCACGCAAATATTCATATCTAGTGTTCCGATCGTGACTGAAACTTTAAGTTGAACCTCTTAAGACCCAAACGTGAGATGGCTTTGAATTTAATGTATCTAATATATGCTAATATGATCAAATATATGCCATAAATGAACACTGTTTACAGTTTTAGGAGCACATTACTCACGAAATATTGGATTAAATAAAAAAATACAATGAAACTAAATAAGGCAGTGGTAGCCCAGTGGTAACGCGCTCGCTTGGGAAACCGAGTGAAAAGGGTTCAAATCCCGGGTCTCGCACCTCTGATATTTTCATGTGCGAATCATTTCTAACTCGATTACCACTTTCCTTACGGTGAAGGAAAACATCGTGAGGAAACCTGCATGTCTGAGCAAACCTAGTAAGTTTTCGAAAGACATGTGAAGTCCGCCAACCCGCACTTGGCCAGCATTGTGGACTATGGCCTGATTCCCCTCCTACTGAAGGAGACCCCGTGCCCAGCAGTGAGACGTTAAAAAGGGCTGAATACTATGAAACTACAATAAGAAACAATATTATCCAAACTATATATATAAATAGAATTAACTAGTCTAAATCTTCATATCCCTACATGATTTAAAAAAAATTAAATGTGGCACTCGGAGACTGCCGCGGTAAAGCTTTTTTATCAACTTATGCAAGCTTATTTTAATATCAAAAATTTTGGTTATCTTTATAGCAGTATTATATATAAATTAACAAAACAAAAAATAATACTGCATTTGTGATAATAATAATAAAATGAATGTATATAGAGTACTCATTTTCTTTCACTATTTTTTCGTGACTTTCTTCATTAATAAATGCACTTTGTTTATTCATATTTAAAACACTTTGTACACAAATTATACGAGTACAGATATTCACTGTTGTACATAGATGATAAATACCTATACACCTATATACTTTCTCACAAACAGCTGATTACGGTAGCTTTCCAATACAACCAATGCCACCTAAAGGCGGGTTGCTGAACTAAAGAGACAAGCGTGATATTTCAAAAAGTCATTAAAAGTTCTGGTATTTATCGATAGATGGAAGTATCACCGCTGTGCCGGTTGGAGTGGGGGGTGTTAGTTTTTTTTCGTTACGGAATTTCTGGATTCGGTCCCCACGCTCAAGGCCCGCGATAGAAGCTATGCAATAGCTTAAAAATAATAATAATGTGTAACGATGTACTTACCAGTTTTCTTTTTCTCCTCTTGTAACTGATCTGTCCGTTCATCGACGAGAGCTTCTAAATTATTTGCATACTTCTCCATCATTGCTATCATGTTGTCGAATATATTTGGTTTCCTAAAATAAAATATCACCACATAAATTTAGTTTGCATGCGTGGATGTTTGTTACTCAATCACGCTAGCACGGTTGAATGGATCTAGAATTTTAGAGATAATCCGGAATAGCACGTAGGTTACTTTTAATCCCGGAAAAATATACACTTCCCGTGGGATAGATTTGTTTTTGTTTTTCACAGAGTAAGGGATCGACTATCCCATTTCATGTATATAGCCCTTCTTAACGTCCCACTGCTGAGCACGGGCCTCCCTTCAATACTATATTTATCTCATACTAGCCGTTACAATGTATGCTAGTATTTTATATAAAAACAAAAGTAACTATGCTTTTTATATATAAAATATTTAATTAAAAACAGCGTCACCTTTTGGCAAATTTTATTATTAACAGTAATCTATGTTACTCCATAGTCTGTTAATCCTTCCACGACAGTTAACAATAGATTTCTTAGAAATTTAATTAATTTCTTCGAAATTTATCTGGAGGTGTTAAAAATTCATCTAAATCCGTAAAGCTGTTTCTGCGTGAAAAAGGAATAAACAACGCACATATACATACAATCTTACGCATTTACAATGGTAGCTTGTGGGATATGTATAACATTGAGTACTTTACGGAAAATTATGTATGATTAAACGTACAAGGTAAAAGTAAACAAAAATAAAGCGAATCAAGTCAAAACAACTTACACAAGGTCTACGAGTACCTAATTGATTGTGTATATCTGTATATTTCAGTGACAAACTCAGGTTCGTGGTCATTCATTTTAACGCTAGGTGGTGGTGTGGATTTACATACATATCAATATTATTATTATTTATCATTTCGTACACGTTAGACTTGATCCATGATTTTTGAGTACATTCCTGATATGTCAAATCTTAAGACTGATCTTGAGATTTTAGTCTTATTTTATGAAAGAGTTCTATATCTATACTTATTATAAAAATAAGTCCCCCGGCCGCGTCTTTCTGTCCTCCTGTCTGTCCTCCTGTCTGTCTGTACGCGATAAACTCGAAAACTACTGAACGGATTTTTATACGGTTTTCAACAATAGAAAGAGTAATTCTTGAGGAAGGTTTAGGTATATAATTTATTATGCTTTTATGTAAATTAGCTGAAATACGGCGACAAATGTTGAAGAGGTCGCAAAAAATCTCGCCAAATGGGAACTTTCCACGCGAACGCCGCGTAAACTAGCAAAGATACAGTTAAGTAATGTACTAGAGAATTCAAAATCTATAAAAATGCTACAAAAAGTCCGCGATAGCATATCTCTATCTCTTACGGTTGACTTACAATAACCACTTTTATGTTAACATTTTTAATTAAAAACATTACGTTATTTTCAAAGTTATTTTCTTTAGTTCGGTATTAATCCTTATCCAAATGAATATTTTAGTTAGCTTAGTCATTTAATGCAGATTAAAATTGCTCTTTACACTAAATCAATCAGATGAATAGTTTTTGAGATATCGTTGTTAGAAGTAATTAGTAGCGAAACATTTTTAATGCTTGGCGAGCATTGAGATGCCTACGGCGAGTCCATCCCCTCTGCCCCGCATCGCTCGACCGCCTGCTCAAGCTATATAAACCGGGCGATGTAGCGCGCGATCCTAGGATACTTTTTACCGCGGGAAAATATCTTATTTCTGAGGAAAAATACAAAAACTGCAATGTAAGAGTATACTAATATGTAACACCTAAGAATTTAGTTTTTGGTCATCTGAACGCGGGCGGAGCCGCGGGCAATGCTAGTAAATAATAAATACAATTTGAAAACCATTTCTAAATGTAATTTACATTAAACTAGCGACTGACCCTCGCTTCGCTCGGGTTCGTCCCTAGCGTGCTTCCCAATATGAAATTTCATCCCCATTTTCTCCCTCTTAAGGAATGATTTCCGAGATAAAAAGTATGTTCTATGTTCTCTCTCATCTTCCCAAGGTCTCAAACTATCTTCTTACCAAATTTCATCTTAATCGGTTCAGTAATTCCAGAGATGACCCCTACAACGTCACAAACTCTCAAACTTTAACCTGTTTATAATATTAGTATAGATACAACTTTCCTTCAGCAGTTTTTTTTCAAGACAGGGATTTATCGGAACTACTGATAGAATTTTTCATAAACAATAAGTGTATTTATGAAATAACTAGGTACTCATATATCACAAAAACAATTTCAACTTGAAAGAAATATGAACACCATCTGTATTATAACCATTTCACATAACACCATGAGACAACATGCTTAGTGCACTAACAGATAGAAAGATAACAAAATCGATGTTATAATATGTGTCATATTTTCTAATACGTACCATATTGAGTCTATCAACCCTATCTGAACTAGATAGATAGGTATAGATAGGCCATTATAAATATCCCTTAGCTATCTCCGGCTGCACTATAAGACCCTCGTCAGTCTAACGACTATACGAGTATGTAACGATTATATGTAACTTATGAGGTTAATCTAAAGTATTTGCTCAAGCTCTACGTGTTAAACATAAGTTAGTACCGGAAAGTACATAATTTTGTATAATCATTAGAACGTAATTTGCAAAATAAGCCGAGACTATAAGTAGGTCATATTGCTGGCTGTAAGCATACTCGTATGATGCTAAAAAGTGCTAATAATAAACGGCAAGCAAAGTACTGTTATGAGTTTAGATAAGTAATCTTAATTCTCTAATCTTGTATCAAATAACAGTTTTTGTGATTTGCATAGGTATGTTTTCCTCATTAGATACAACAGTTATTTGTATGATTTTTTTTTATTATGAGATAGTTAAAAGAAGCGTATATGTATATAAGGACGAGTATTTATAGCCACGTACAATCTTTACGGGCAAGTTTGGAGCTAACTGAGCGCTTTTGTTTACGTACCTACCTAAATAAATGTTAATCTCTAGCTCTACTCATTATAAATGCGATTAATTGTTGCTGTAATGCACTTCGGTGTGATTTATCTTTTGTTTTTTCAAAACATTGTATATTTTTGTGGGTAAACATAGTCTGTAATAACTATGGCTTTTGAGACGCCAAAAACTTTAGCCTTTCCGTGACCATGTTTGTTGTAAAGTATTTGAAACAACGGGAAGGAAAAACCAAAATAAAGGTGAAAATTAATCGAAAAACTAGTTTTAAATGTGTATTATGTGTGTTTGTATGTATTCCATGAAGCAACTTACATGCCCTTGCGCAGCGGGCGCAGGCGCGTGCGTATGGCCTTAAAGTCGGGGCGCGAGGCGCCGTCCTCCGCCCAGCACTCGGCGCAGCACTCCCGCACGCAGTCAAAACGCCCTGCTAGAGCTTCCAGCGGCGGCCTTGGGGAGAAATTTTAATGTTTTGTGGTATTTAAATTATACAATACTACAATATAATAATTTATATGTTATGTATTAAAGTGTATTGAGTACAAAAAAAAGTGTGTGTGTGTATGTACGCACGTAAGAAGTTATACTTTTTTGGCGTAACAGAACAAAAATAGCTAAAGATTTCATCCCGTATGGCTGTCGGTGTGTGCGCGCATCGTAAAAATTTTACTTTCATATTTTTTTCCAAACTTGCCAAAAGAAGTATAACTTCAAAAACAGATTTCAAAGGAAATTTTTCGTAATGTACCTGACTGTTTTGTTATTAAAAGTTAGCTTGTACAGTTGCAGATAATTGGATCTTAGGTTTATGTTGGACCAATATATTTATTCAGATTTCTGTCATGAAATGGTAATAAAGCATCCGGAGTTAAGTCTGTGGGAGCTCGGAAACAAATAGACACTTACAGATCTTTCGCTTTCGCCGATTTTGTGCTTCTGATTTACTCTAGTCAATCCTCATTATATTGTGAGATCACAATAATACCTATTTCTTTTGATGTCCACAGTGACCAAAAATCATTAGAGAAAGCATTAATTATTATGTAAGATACGTGTCAGACGTCAGTGCATGTGTGTGACACATGCATACTTCTTCTTCTTCTTCTTCTCCCTGCCCATTTCCCAAATCACTTGGGGTCGGCGCAGTACATCTTCAATGTACTGCTGATAAGATTTGGCAAAAGTTTTACGACCGGCCGCCTGCCTGACGTCAACCCTCCTTGGGAATGCTATTGTCTTTCTTTGTCTGAATGGTGTTAAATATTATGCACTTTCGATTTTGTTGTGTTTTAAAACATTTTTTATACTATTAATTCAATTATTAATGTTCAATTCAATTCAATTCTTTAGGTTTGTGGCTTCTAGGAGTGCCTTTGGGCACAATTTACTTCGCCAATGTCGCGTAGAATGGAGAATGCACGTTATATATAGAATGAATTATTAATGTTATTTTTGGAAATATTTTAAAATAAATTTCGATTACACAATAAATTTTGTATTGACGTTGTCAAATTTTTTCTTCAAATTTTTTTGTCAAATTTTTTTTTCTTCGTATGACCAAATATTATTATATATTGACACATGCATACTTATACGCATTAATATTAGTATGTGACATACGTGTCTGTCTGTGTGTGAGTGTGACACATACCTACCTGTAAGGCGCGGGGTGCGGGTGCGCGACGCGGCGCAGCAGCGCAGGCAGCGGCGGCGCGTCCGCGCCGAAGGGCCCGCGCCGTGTGTGCAGCTCGTACAGCAGCAGCGCGAACGCGTACACGTCGCCCGCCGCCGACCCGCTGCGCACCGCCAGCGACGTGGGGTAGCTGTCCTTGCCCCAGCCGGCCAAGCGGAGCAGCTCCGGGGAGAGATATACTAGACCTAGGTGTATTGCTTTATCATGTTATATATGTATATGTAGATTATACATATCCTACTAATGTTATATGAGCGCGTTAAGCTGTGTCGGCCCTGCACCTGATCCCCTGTCGTTTAAATTGTCGTCCCATTGGATTTTGATAGTTAAAGGTGTAGAGCGTGTACTTGTATCTGTGCGCACACTTGTGTACTATAATATCTTCAAATATTCTCAAAACATTATTTTTGTAAAAATATAGGTACAACTACAACGGTTCTGTTTGTATTGCTTGTATTGTGTGATTTTGCTGTCCCCTCATCTCGAAGTATCTGTATGTTTGATCGTGTCGGAGTATCATTCCATCGGATTTTGAGAGTAAAAGGAATTTAGAGTGCACTTGTGTTTGCGTGTATACTTGTACTATAATATCGGCCCAATTAGCTAGTTTCATATAAGATTAGCTGATTCAGAGGACATTATTATAAATGCGAAAGTTTGTGTAGATGTATGGATGGACGGATTGATGTATCGATGCGTAAATGTATTATATACGTATACATCAGAGTAACACACACGCTATAAGTAATAAAGATATTGTAATATATGAAAGAAATACACGGAGAAACTGCGAGAAAAGTGTTTGTATGTTATTAATATTGAGCAACTACTTATGTTTTATATCGTAATATAATAAGGTCTATGCAAAAGCTGTGGAGGAAGTCGATTTTGAAATTAACATTAATATAAGTTTAACTTAATCTTAAATTCCTTCAATGAAACAGATAAAGCACAGACTGACTAACCGATGGGTCAAAGTTTAGAATCATGATGATTTTTTAAAATTCATCCCACAAAATAGATAAACATAACTAAAGTATGTTTGTCTGTTCTTTTGCGAGGTTTTCCATCTTTAATCACATTACAATGAAACTTTGGTACACTTTTTAACGCGTGTCTACTTATTGTTAGAACAAGTATTCTAGAATATAAATTTATAGACATATTTTAAAAATGTACATCTTAAATATAGGGGAGAGCGGGGCTGGAAGTTACCGGGGTAAGTAGTTCCGACGGTAATAACTTTGTAAGGGAAAGACATAGCAATAGATGTGAAGTACGCCGTTAAAGCATCAGGTAACGCGCTGCTCCGTCAGCCATTTTAGTTACTCCGGCGACGAAGGTTGAGTGGCTGTGTGCATGTAGCTGTCAAAACGTCACGTAAGTAAATTTTTTCGTGCTTAAACTATTTGGTCTATCTATGTTTATTATGAATAGATTCATACGTAACTTTCCGAAATTGTAGTGATATTGGTAAGGTATATTGTCGCATAAGTATTTTTATAATTTGTTATATTAGTTTGCCAGTATGTCAGTCTTCGTATATAAACGTAATTTGGGGTAATAAGTTCCTTCCTGACGGGGCTGGTTGTTCCCAGGAACAACTTACCCCAATTTACCATCGTCGTATACCTAAAATACTTTAGACCATTTTTTTCATTTTAAGGATGTGAAATTACAAGCATAAGACAGAGGAAGGTAAAACTTCCGAGACTCCTCCGAAATTCTTTTAAACTGTGGCAAGAGAACCTGAAATTTGCTGGAGCTGACTGTTTCACTAGATATAAGAAAAAAATCTATTTTAACTGACACGCCAGACAAAATGCGTTAGTTGAAGAACAGACAAAGAAGAAGACAAAATAGAATGAATACATTGCAAAGAAAGGATAAGGAAAAACAAACAAAATAGTAAAGGAAAAGATAAAACCAACGGGAAAGGGAAGGGAAAATCTCAAGGAAAAGCTAAACGAAGAGTGTTACAAGAAAACGAGACTGACATGTTAGCACGATCTAGAATGGTACGGCATAATTTGTCGTGATGCATATTAAAATTTTCGTCCAAGAGAACAATGGATAGAATGTATCATGTGTAAAAATAGGGCTCGTATCAAATGTTTAGAGGCGTACTTATGTGTGTCCCAACTGTGAGTCAGATGAAGAAATGAGTGTCGTATAAGATTCCTGATGAATGAGAATGGAGATTGCCAAATTTAATTACACCTGATGAACGTAAGACTGATGATTAATAATTTAAACAAATAAAAATAAGTTTATTTGGGGATTATGTTTTGTTGTTTCTTGAAGTCAAGTTATGCATCTGATAAGATTTATAAGTTGATAGATCTCGATTATATGTTAACTAAGTAAAGAAACGTTTATCTGGAGCTCACCATTTAGAATTCGTTGTTTTTTAACGTTACAAAAAGTTTATCTAGACCAGTAATGTTTTGTACCAGTAATAGTTTGTTGTTTTTTTAAGTTTATTTTTGCATAACTTAAACATTACATCATAAATATATACAAATGGTTGTTTTATTTTATAAAACCTGTGTTATTCGTACAGATTATTGTTATAATCTAAGTGGAACAATTTGCCCCAACGATGGAACAACTCGCCCCAAAGCGGGGCTGAATGTTCCGCTCCGAAATTTGACAAAAAATTTCTTCTGTTAAAAAAACTATTGAGATATTAGTATAAATGACTATAATATTACAAAAACCAATAAACATCCATTCAATATTTGCACATGTTAAAAATGAAACCCTTCATTTTTATAATAAAATTTCATGTTATTTGAAAATCGGAACTTCCAACCCCGCTCTCCCCTACAATTTTTAAAAATCTTTAAAGAACACAAATAAAGGATAGCAAGTATACAATATTTATACATTACATAACCAAATTATATTAGCCTAATACGATTTAGACAATGTAGAGCGTATTTGCTATTTGAACTGATAGCCAAATGTGTTTATAATAGCTCTATTTTATAGCTTCGTATTCGGTTTAAAACCAAAGATAACACAAAAAGTAGATATATACATAAAATGATTCATTTATACATTAGATATCATTTTGAGTGCTTTAAGGTTAATGCCTAAGAAACATTTCATCACTACTTTTATTAATGGTGCAAATAGTTTTATGTATCCGTATCCATTTCAAAAATATGATTATATTTTTATTTTTAGTGGCCTTCTCTGTCGATACAACTTTTAGTTCTAGTTTTGCATTGTAGTTTAAGGCGTTAACTACAATGCAAAACTAGACTAAGGCTCATTAAATACTGAACCCATACCCATAAATATATGAATGTAGTATCCAAATATTTAAATGCATATTGAATATCGCTGCAAAGTAATAAAAATAATTATTACTCAATACAGATAAATATAAAAATTAATAAGTAAATAATTAAATAAATTATTCATTTATAAGAAACTAGCATTGCCCGCGGCTCCGCCCGCGTTTAGATGACCAAAAACCAAATACTTAGGTTTTACATATTAGCATACTCTTACATTGCAGTTTTTGTATTTTTTCTCAGAAATGAGAAATTTTACCGGGGTAAAAAGTATCCTATATGTTGACCCGGATAACCAGCTATCATCACACTAAATTTCATCAAAATCCCTCCAGTGGTTTTTCCGTGATGCGGTAACAGACAGACAGACAAAAATTCTAAAAACTATAGATTCGGCCTCTGTATCGTTAATAATACCTATTTCAATAAGATTTTCCAAAAAACATTTAATGTACAGATTCGGCTTAGTTACAATTTTATTATATGTATAGATTAAGTACAATAAATACTCACTATCTATATGAGCTCGTAACGCTGTAGGTTCGGACGGTGGGAGTTCCCCCCTACGGAACTCTCGGAGGCCAAAGTCCGCCAGTTTTACCACCCATCGCGCGTCCACCAAACAGTTGGACGGCCTGAGTGCGCCGTGGTATTGTAATGGGGACTCGTGTATAAAGATCATGCCCTATAAAGTATCAATATATCCCTAGGTACGTTTTAATTTTTTTGAGCAGAACCCTAATTCTTTTTCTAAAATAAAAGTAGCCTATTTTACTACCTATAACATCAGCTATCTTCCAGTGAAAGTCCCGTCTCAATCAGTCCAGCCGTTTCAGAGATTATCCGGAACAAACAGACAGACAGACAAAAATAAAAAAAGTGTTTTCTTATAAGTACCGTATATAATTTCATATGCATTTAGTAAAACGCTGTTATTTTGACATTACAAACACTTCAATTTTATTTATCTGTATAGAATACGAATGGATGAATGCGAGTGATTTTTTTACGTTTAAAAATGTATTTACATGTGGTGCAAAATGTATTTTTGGTGGTAGTTAGAAAAGCCAGTACTACCCACTAACGCCGAATGGAAACTTTTACATCCTAATGGGTCGCCACAGGCACACTTGTATAATTACGACGCCCCGACGTCAGAACTACCGAGTACCGAGGTAGAATTCCTTCCAAGCGATAAAGACAGCTGTTCCCGACCATGCATTCGGTTCAACCGACTTTAAGGTTAGGTTATTTAGGAATGATTTTTAAATGACTCTTTAATGGTCTATTCTGCTAGTACATCTTCTCTAATATGGACGAAACAAATTGAGCGATAATAGCAGAAATCTCTCGCTCCCTAAGATCTTTTCCGTTCATTAAAAATTAACGGAATCTACATAGGAATAAAAGTGTGGAGAATAGTGCGTAAATCCTCTAAGTATATTTGCTTAGAAATAGCAAGATCAAACGATCATTCATTCATAGAATTAAATAATGAATTTGCCTTGAAATTTTAGGGTGACCACAATGCGCCATGTAAAACTTGTTCATTATACTTATATATTGAATATTTTTTTAAGAAATATTTTCAAAAGGTATTTATGAAACATTGTAGTGGTATTTAATATGTATTTGTATACTTATAACAAATAGGAAGTAGTCAAGTCACATACGTATTTAAAGTACAAGACAATATAGCCTGCCATAATTTATCTTCGAATTATAATAAAGATCATAATTTATGCTAAAGATATGCCAATTGGCATAACCTTGTAAGAACATTCCAAGATTAACCATAATCAAGATGCAACTAAAGGAAACACTTTAAACATTTTCTTTGAATACAGAAAACAAACGTCCAATTAACAGAGGTAGAATATACAGTTAATTAATTGTACTCACCCGTATAATATCACCAACAAGAGAGGCGACGAACATATTATCTAGTTTAATATCTTCGTTTTCTAAAATATCCTGTAAAAAACGATGTTATTTAAGTATAGCGCTTTCAGATACTACTTTATTTTGTTGTTGTATTCTATAGTTACATGCTTCTATTGTGAGTAATTAGGAGACTCTATAATAGAGATGGATGTCAAAGTTAATATAGCAGGCTTGAAAACAAAAAAAATTAATGTCTATTTTGTCTGTAGATGATATCAACTTCTTGATAGGTACGATATACTCGTAGTCTATGGTGTTTGAAATAAAATATCTATGTATAAAGAGTACGAGTGGTTATATATAAAAATACATAGAAATTTTAGATGAGATAAGTAATTTATTACCTTTAGACTACCTCTAGTACAGTATTCGGAGAGAGCACACACGTTAGGCGGTTCAATGCACGCGCCCACGAACCCATTCACGTTATCGTGTTGTAAGTCGCGCATCTGTGACGACATAAAAGCTATGAATTACATTACTATAGTATAAAGCTAATACGTGGGATGTAATCGGATAAAATTGGAAAATGAAATTTTCATTGCTTTGAAATGATTTTACAAAAAATATTTTAATAATAATAAAGAATATTATCTTATAACTATTATAATATCTGTCAGAATACTAAAATTCGATTATTTTTTTATTGTGTCAGTCTGTTTGTACCCGTTGGTCTCCGAAATACTTGCGGGATTCGGATGAGAATAACATAAGTTTAATTAGGATTTCCTAGAAAAAGCAAATACGAAGCTTTGCCAATTTCGTCATGTCTGTCTTTCACACTCGTCCGTCTCTGAGTAAAATTAACATAATGATGCTACAGAGCACAAGAAGTGAAATTACGGCACATAAAATACTGTGGCGCTTTAATACACTTAAAAAAAAAACAAAAAAAGAAAATTGAGTGCACATAAACTTTTAGGTATATTAATAGTAAAAAAGATAACATGAAGGATTTGTGGATAGGTTTTTAAAGATGAGATCGATGTTTCTAAATGACTTATTATTTTTTTTACTAAAGCTAGTTGTTGAGTCATATACTTTGAAAGTCGTAAGCATTGTGTATCCCACCATTTTTTTATTTTTTCTTTTTTATCTTTATAACACGACCTGAGATGCGGGTTAAAGGTAATACCTACGTTATACGTTATCTATAATAATGCTATACCTATGCGTTGGTATTATTTATTAATAAAAAATTTACCTTGAATGAATGTAATGTCAAACATCACCTGATATGTATTTCATTCAAATGAACAGTATTGCCAATTCAAAGCCAATAATTTATTGATACACAATATAGAGACCGATAGGAACACGTCCAAGACTTCTCAGAATGGACGTGTTTCGGGCTTTGATTGTGGATCGTCACTGCCTAATTCCATTATGATTTTTGTTCATCCTTAATAATATACGTTGCAAATAATATGGGATGTGAAATCACAACAGATAATTGTATGAATAATGATTAATAAATTTTTAGAAGCTTTAAAAGAAACTGTTTACAGTGCAGTGTTATTGTGTTTATATACATACGTTGAGTATTTTCATGGATAAATAACCATGCTCCGTTTACAGTACAGATTGCACATACTTTATTCTTCACTTTGGAACAATCAATGAATCGAAGTTTATTTTGATATTAGATACTATATTTTTTGTTTTACTTAATTTAAAATATTTTATTATTTATGGTAAACCAATTTAAATTCTTTTAATAGGTAGGCATTTGAAGGGATATTATTCATATTGCATGACTGTTCTTTGATGAATTATTACCAATGTAAGATGAAACGAACTCAAGGTGAATGTCTATTGTTTGGAAAACAATATTACAAAAAAAACAAATGGGAGTGGAGACTATTGTTTTATACGTAAGTATTTACAAAGGTAAAAACACTGATATCTATACATATAATAAAATTCTAACTAAGCCGAATCTGTACATAAAATATTTTTTTGAAAGTCTTATTGCAATAAACATTATTATCAATACACAGGCCGAATCTATAGTTTTTAGAATTTTTGTCTGTCTGTCTGTTACCGTATCACGGAGAAACCACTGGAGGAATTTTGATGAAATTTGGTATGATGGTAGCTGGTTATCCGAGTCGACATATAGGATACTTTTTACTGCGGGAAAATAACTCATCTCTAAGAATTCTATACTAAATGTTAAAACGTAAATAGGGACGAACCCGAGCGGAGCGAGGGTGAGTCGCTAGTTTTTGATATAAATCACATCACAGCTGTTCGGACATAACTTTACTACGTTCCAATAAGTTTAGTCGTTGTTTGAAAACAACAACTATTCCACAATCACCGGAAGAAATTTATAACTTAGGTTTATGCTTTAGGTCAAGCAGTTAAAGATATTTATATTTAAACAAGCGACTCACCCTCGCTCTGCTCGGGTTCGTCCCCAGGAACGTTTTAACGGTTAGTATATATGTATTTCTCAGAGATGAGATCATTTTCCCGTTTTCATATATAAAATTATCCTATAAGTATGATGACCCGGATAACCAGCTATCATCACACCAAACTTTACCAAAAACTGTCCAGTGGTTTTCTCGTGATACGTTACAGGACAGACAGAAAAAATTCTAAAAACTATAGATTCATCCTCTGTATCGATAATTATGACTATTACAATAAGATTTTCCAAAAAATATTTAAGTACAGATTAAACTCATTTAGAATTTTATTATACTTATGAATAGATAAAAGTCACTTTTTTTTATATAGTAATGTTAAAAACAATATAAATATGTATACATGAAATAAATATGTCATACATTTTATGCAAGACTCAAGAGTATTGTGAACATCTTTCATGAAAACAACGTAGTAAATTAATGAGATATCTACATCACTATGTGTCGCTACTCGGGCGATTTAATCAGCTACATAAGGCTTAATATACTCATATTTCAGAATTAGTGGTGGGCGCTTCCAAATGATTAATATAAGCGACTATCATTATTAACATAATCAGCTATGCAATTTGTAACACAATAATATTAGTCACTTCTATGTTGTAATACTTTTACTTTAAAGCCTAATACCTCCAGGTATGGAGTAGGCAATACCACCTTAAATTACTATAAGTATCTACCAATTTCCCTCAAATAAAGTAGATACAAAGAAAATAATAGATCACCTGATAAATCCAAAAATTAAATAAACGAATAACATCTAAATATTGTAGCAGAAATAAAAAAACGCCTTATATAAAACATACCAATAACAATTTATATACATACATACAAGTCACTAGTGATGTGGATTAAGTTAGGTGCATGACAAAATCGTATAGTTGTTTACCATTATAACTATATTAGCCGCGGGGCATGTTATGAAAGACTATAAAAAGGTCATCTGCGATCTAAACAACGAGTATAATATATACATAGGTTAGTACAAAGCCTTGAGCGTTGTATGTTACTAGCCTAACAACCATAATCAACATAACTCGATAAAAGTCAAGATGATATTTTTATTCGAATAATTTTAATTTTCATTCGATAATTCAGAATGCCCAACACTATAGTTAATACTTAAGCCTGTCTGTGATGAGCTGTTTATTGTTACCTGAAGCGTTAGTAAAGGCATTATGAATGAGAATGATTTATCTCCATTTATTCAGTCATATAAGGGACTATTGTGAGAGGAAATTTCGTGTTTTGCAAGTGATAGAGCTTTAATAGACATCGTTACTTTCAGTTCCTTTACCGAGGGATTTGGCATTGTGAGGCTTAGGCGTAATACGCAGGAAATACCCTTTATAGACAGTTTTATTACGAATATATATATGTACATATACTATGTTACTTACTAGTTGTTACATTTGTTACAGTTTTGTACTTGGTCTTTATGTTGTGCCTTATACAATCTAAAACGTAGAAGTATTATTTGACGACACGTTTGGCTCAGTTTGTAGTGACACTACTTGCTGTGCCAGCGGTCGCGGGTTTGAGTACCGCTGGGGGCATTCATTTGTGCGATGAGCACGAATGTGTGTACTCCAGATATGGGTGTTTATATTTATTTATAATATGTATATATTTAAAGTTATATATGTGTAGTGTATTAACTACACATATATAACTGGTATCCATAAACAAGTCTCGTAGCTTACCATGGAACTAGATGGTGTTGTGTGTTAATGTCCGAATATATATAATATATATATTATTATAGTCTCATTATGTGCCTCTTAGTGGCACTACCACTACCACTGAATTTTAAGTTTTCTCCTAATTCTTCTTCTTCTCCCTGCCCATTTCCCAATCACTCGGGGTCGGCGCAGTACATCTTCTGTACTGCTGATAGGATTTGGCAAAAGTTTTACGACCGGCCGCCTGCCTGACGTCAACCCTCCTTGGGAATGCTATTTTTTCTCTTTGTCTGAATGGTGTCGCGGAAGTCTTGTAATTATTATGCACTTTCGATTTTGTTGTCTTTTAGAAAAAAATTTATACTACTACTTAAATCTTTAATGCTTTTTTCGGATATATTTTAAAATAAGTTTTCTCCTAATTAATGAACTATATTATAACAGACGGTTTGAACTGACTATCATTAATAGGAGAGATACATAATAGAAATGCGATCTTGACAACAAATAATTATTGATTTAAAGTCCTTATATATGAGTAGTTTAAGTCTGATTTAGAGGCAACCGGGGCTGTTGTCGAGCCTAAAAATAAGAACTAAAGCTGAACAGTAGAAATATACGATATCATTCGAGGTATACTCTCTTCAATTTCCACGTGACCTTTTCATTCTCAAATCCAACCTAGACTACTCTTAACGTAGAACATATGTATAACTAAATTTAACAATTAGTCAAAAATACTTACAATTTTTAACTCCTTTTTTATTTCTCGACTGATGTCAATTTGATTCCTTCGAACCCGTTTCACTGCGAGAAGTCTTCCGCGGTAGAAGGCGACTTCGGTAAATATCGCCGAGTATCTAAAGTCCAGGTCTGGGTTCGAGCTGAGCGACACTTGGCTGGAGCGCGCGCCCCCCGTACTGCCCTTCTCGTTAACCACGTTATTAGAGTTCGCGTTTACACCTGCACTGCTATCTTGCTGAAAAAAATTAGCTCTGACCAACTTGCCTGGACTAATATTTATTTATATTAGTACAGATAAGTTTTTTAGTGTTACAATGTCTCTTATTAATTATCAGACATGGTCTAACTATAAGATAATTTCGATGGGAAAATTGACACATTGTTTATATAGTACTACACATACTGTATAAGCAGTGAAATGTGAATGAAATTAGAATGTAAAATAAAATTATTTATATATTGGATAAAGCCTATAACTGAAAAGCAAATTTTCAATTTTTATTTGAAAAATCATGTTGCTTTTAGTTATAGGCTACCTAACAGCACGCTACGAATCTTGGGAGTAAAGCAATTATTACGCTTAAATAAACTAAGCGAGCAGTCCTTGGCCATAGCTTTATATTATAATCCATGGTCTTAATAATTTATTAATTTATAAAAAATAGTTTTACAGAACGTGTTAGATCAACTCTGTGCAGAGTTTAGAAGACATAAATAATATGTAAATAATGCCCATAAATAATAAATACTTAACAAATACTTAATAAGCTAAAGCATACATGCAAACAACATATATATAAGTTGCGTTTACCTACTCAGTTTGTTGGTACGCTGGTCCTCATCAGGTAGATGCAGATCTCTAAAATCTATTTTCCATAGCAAAGAGTCTAGTTCTTGCTCATAGCGCCAGCCACGATATAGAGCTAGTGCTGCCAGTGCTAACAAAGCTAGAGTTCCTCCTGAAGCACCAAGGGCCCAAGCTCCTACATGACCTATGATTAAATTAAAATATTACATTTTTAATTACAAATAATTGTTTTATTTAAAAAATTCTACTAAAAGATGCTGTGAGATATTTTTCCCTAACGATACTGTTAGAGTTCTGCTGGATGCTGGTTCTGGTTGGTGAGACAAAAGGTAGTATACCAATATTAAAATTTCATTTACTTCACTTCGTCCAAAATTAAGTCAAGTTCTTTTTAATGATTTTTCATGCCACTTTATTACTTTATGTCCAAGATCTAATTTGATTACTTTAATTCTTTAAACCGATTGTTTCGAATTACTTTTTAAGAGATACCCATTTTATTTTAAGAAAAAATTGGACACCCAAACGGTGAAACAATTTTGTCGAAATTCAGTATTAGCGGAAAAGAAATACGGAAATAATGACGAAAGGTAAAGTTCATGGAGACAAATTTTATATTGATAAATATCAGTAATATATTTTTTATTTCAGCGTAAAAATATATCACTTGTATGAGAGATAAAACGCCGATACATCACCATCATTTCTTTTCCATTCCATAAATGATACCGGTAAATAAACTTTCCCCACTGAGATACTTAAAAGCTATAAAGTAAAGAATTGAGTTGAAAGTTAAGACTCTACATCAGTTTGGAAAAAAATGTCTCAGTCTGAAACTAAGATGAACTTTTGATCTTTATATATCTCTTTTTAATACAATTTTTATTTAATGCTAGCATTGTCCGCAGTTCCGCCGGCGTTCAGACGACCAATAACCAAATTCTTAGTTTTTACATATTAGTATACTCTTACAATGCAGTTTGTATATTTTTTCTCAGAAATGAGATATTTTCCCGCGGGAAAAAGTATCCTATATGTTGACCCTGATAACCAGCTATTACCATACCAAATTTCATGAAAAACCCTCCAGTGGTTTTTCCGTGATGCGGTAACAGACAGACAGAAAAAATCTAAAAACTATAGATTCGGCCTCTGTATCGATAATAATGACTATTTCAATAAGATTTTCCAAAAAATATCTAATGTACAGATTCGGCTTAGTTACAATTTTATTATTACCTATACATTAAAAGCCATGGTGGTCATATTCTCAAAGTATATTATTATATATTAAATCACTTATTTTGTAAAAGCTTTTAGCTCATACAACTTTTACAATTTTCAAAAGCTTTTTAAACATTATCCAAAACCGAGTTGTTAAAATATATATGAAAATACGTAACAAGTATAAAATATTAATATATCTTAAATTAAACGTTTAATATTGCTTAAAATAACTATGCATATTTAAACGTTTGATGTAAACAAAAGCTACACTAACTAAAACTTCATTACAAACCGAAACTAACAACAGTGAGAACTTACTTTAAAATAAAACTTTTGAACTAAATATGACTAAGTTTTAAACCCGCTTATACCTATATGACGCTAATTAGCTTGATTAATAAAATTCTTATGATGTGAAATATAAAACACAATGAAGTAATAGTCATTTGATTGATATATTATCTATACCTACATATAATTTAATAGTAACTTAGCAAAATCTGTACATAAAATATTTTTTTAAAAACTGTGACTGTAACGTATTGTGTACAGAATATAACCCAACACAATAGTTACAAAAAAAATTGTCTGTTTGTCTGTATGTGTGTTTATTTGTTTGGGTGTGCGAGTTTCACGCAAAATGTACTGAACCGATTTTAACTAAATTTTGTGTAGTGATAACTTCTTACTCGGGTGAACATTTTGGAATACCTTTTAATAAGGACTTTTTTTCATTCCCACGGAAAAACACTGTAACTGGTTCTATGGAGTCTACCTTAATATGGCTAACGCTGGCTAAACCTTAAGAGATACATCAAAACAATTTACTAGAAAACTGTAGGTCTTGAAAAAGCTACAGAAAAGTGTACAATATCATAATATGTCTATCTCCTAGAGTACAATCGCCATACCTATATTTATCTATACATATAATAAAACCCTAACTTAGCGAATTCGATGTGCGCATTTCACGCAAAAAGTATCTACTGAACCGATTTTAAATAAATTTTGTTTAATGATAAGTTATTATTCGGGTCAACGTTTAGGATACCTTTTACTATAGGAAAAACTTTAATTCCCACAGGAGAACACAATAACTGGCGTTCTATCAAGTCATCTTTAAAAATGTATATGGCTAACGCTGGCTAATAGTTATAGCCTAGTAAACATTTAGGTAGGTTAGGGGTATGAAAAATAGTGTACGTCCTATTCTCAGACCTACTGAATATACACACAAAATTTCATAAGAATCGGTCAAGCCATTTCGGAGGAGTTTTTTGCAAACACTGTGGCACGAGAATTTTATATTATATTAGAATATTAGATAGATTAGATAGTTTGTCTATTCCATACTAACCATCAAAGCGTCCCTAGGGACGAACCCAAGCAAAGCGAGGGCGAGTCGCTAGTTTATTATATGAAAAAAGGTTATAGTACTATAAGGACATAAACACAATAACTGAGTATACCATTAGTCAATTTTTAATTAACTGTCGAGCTACTTTATTATGCTGTACACGCTGTCAAGCTGGCACGTTGTTTAAGCCTGCAGGTCTGGTTTCGAGTCACTATAATTTAATGATCACAAATGATGCATCATTATGATAAGAATAATAGTTAATCTTAATCATAATAAAAAATAAGTGGCTAAAAAAACTAATAGTAAAAAAGATTACACACACATTTTCTACATTATCCCTTCTTTTAACAAGATTGCTTAAATCTTGTTAAAAGAAGAGTAATGTAGAAAATGTCAAATTCAATTCATAAGTTGGAGGTTGGGACGGGATCTTCTACAAAATGATATAGAGCCGTTTCAAGCGAGTCAAAGTATATTGAATGGGAAAGGATTATTTCCATTCTCTATTGAAATCAGGTTATTGAGACTAAATTTCATTATAAAAATATATATAGTTTAAAGCTTTGATGTAGAAGAGGCAAATACCGTGAAGTCAATGTTTTATGCTGATACAACGTATGGTGCATACATCATCCATTTAGTAATTATTTTAAATACAAGAAAGTTTAGCAAGTGGCAAGTAAGTGTAGATAGGTAAATAATAAAAATAAAATGTAAATAAACCTTAGCTACAAATACCTACTTAGCTTAGTTAGTTCGCGTAAAGAGGATCAGTTACACGTGGATCAATCTTGGAGTTGAAACTTTGTAATACCCTTAATACCTACCCGTCCGGCACTATTACAGCGATTCCAGATAAAGCTAATATCCTAAAGATGGTTGAAGTCGCCGAGACCTAATCTGTAGCACATTTGCAATGAAGACTGTATCAAAAGACTAATTTGCTTTAGTTTATTAAATATGTATATATAATTATAGGAAGTTATTAAAAGAAAGCATATCGTTAATGGTTTGTTGATGAGTGATGACTAGTTTGTTTATAAATTGTTTCGAATTGAGTTTATTTACGCAGTTATCTTGCGCCATAATCGACAATCTGGAGTATGTTAAGATACCCTGTTATGAAATATCGTTTTATGTGTCGACAAATCGTTTTAGCATACTTAATGTTCGAAGTTATATTTAATAACTAGTGGCTCACCCATGCTATATCATACTGTGACGTCACGCAAAGCGCGCGAAATGGCAGGCGTTTAAGGTATCCATATCTATATGCTATTATTAAAAAAAATATACTAAACTTTAGTGTTTTGGAGCTGGATATTTTTTTTAATTATATAATTATGTAAGCTATTGTTTAAAAAAAAATGCATATTCCCTATTGATCCGAACCAACGTAAAGTTCTCAATTTTCTTGTTATATATAAATGGAAAGCTTTTATAACTCAAAGTGGTAAAATAAGTAAAGTATATCATTTCACTAAATTACCTAAAAAGCTAAAGTACAATACGTGTTTAGTCACAGGGGGTATCGTGCTGGGGGCCGCAGCGGGAGAGCACTGACTGTAACACTCTTTAGATGCTTTTACAACAAATATGTTTAGAGAATAATACAAAAACTAAGCAATGTAGCTTATATCATATACCTAAAAGGACGTATATTTTCATGTTAAATTATCCAGAAATAAATTTACCTCTTTAATAAAAGACAAATTGTGACATTTTTATATACTGGGCAACCCTAACTCAAGATTTACTCTCATTGAACCTTAGTTATACCTACTTAATATAATCCAGCCAACTTTTCCTTTCGCCCTAAGAAATGAACAAATGGAAAAAAACGACTTTTCGTTATTCTATACAATCCTTCATACTTTTATTTTGGCATGTTTTTAAGAAGACTAATAAGTTTTCTAAATCCAATTTGGATTGGCGATTAGATAAACTCTTCAAAAACTCACAACCGCTAGTAGCTATATTTCACGAATTAGGAATATTTATAAAATATAATATTTTACTTACTGACACATTTCTCTCCCCGAAATCCGCACGGAGGCTCGGAGAGTGGCACTCGGCCTCCGGGCCATTTGATCTCTCGAAGGAGTCGTAATTCCTGCATGACGTAAGGAGTAAATGGACTGTACGTAGTTATTACCTTAAAGCAAGTAAAAGTAAATATATTCTACCTAAGATTGAAGTTGATATTGTTTTCATGACCCATTACGAGTAAGTAAATAAATGTTAATATTTACCTACTTAAAAATGAGGAAAGTATACATTAAATATATTTGGTACTTTCTCAAATTGACGCGAACATTTGACATTTTAAGTAAAATTATCTTTTCGAATTTTAATCCAAGTCATGATTCATGATCACGGGAGAGTCCTGGACACGAGATGATGCTGTAAAGCATCCGAAACGTCGGTAACCAAAAATCAAAATAAATCCGGGAAAAAATCCTAAACATAGTTTTACTTAAAATTAAATATAATATATACTATAATAAACTATATATGTATGTAACTATAAATGTAAACGTGTCAAAGCAAGTATACCGCCTACTGTTTTTATGAAAACTTACTCCTCCACCTCAAGGTTGCCTGGAAGAAATCGCTTCCAGCGACAAGGCCGCCTGCTGTGCTTCTTTTCTTTGTGTTGTTTTTCAATATTATTGTTTTTTATGTTTTTTTTTTTTGGTGTACAATAAATATTATTGGATATTTCAAATCAAAAGTGTACCTATGTAAATATCTATTAGTTTCTGTTCTATTTGAAATTCCATTCTTGGTTTATTGTACAAAAGAATCTCTATTGCGAGCGTTCGATGTGAAATTTTTCTCAAACTACAATTGCGCAAACCTCAATTGCGATCTCGACTTTAATCCTTTTTTTATTTATACTTATTTCATGTAATTTTTTATTTAATAAAAATCAAATTTACAAGTATGCTGAAATGCTGACTAGTGAGTATTATGATTTTTTTTTGCTTTCTTACTTTTGTTAAATATCGTTTTATTAGTTTGATGAGGTACCCAAATTCTTTGAGGTTTTTTTACGCTGTACTAGTACAATGTTTTATACTTATTTTTCTTCCATTTTTCAAATCATATTACATTGATAATTCAAGATTTTATTTTTATGATTATTAAAATGACCAATACTACCTACAGTTATGTGACGCGAATGATCATTATAAAATTTACACCAATGACCAAGATTATATGAGCACAGAACGGTTATTTTATGATCTGTTTATTTGTCATCATCGTAAATGATAATCGTGTATTTTTTTGTTTCGTTGAATGAAAATGTCAAAATTATTAATGTTTTACAGATATTATCTTAGACCAATAAAAATGTACTTTATTATTGTTCTGAGGATATTATATACAATATGAAACATACATAAAATAAAAACACTAATAGAATTAATTTATTCATTAAAGAAAAGTACTTTCGACCAAAAAATATATAATAGTTAATAAATATATTTTTTTAAATAAGGTTATATCAGATTTAAGTGACATCATTATAGATCTTAAATATCTGACGTTATTTCCGTTTCGCAATTGAACGTGCGCCATTCACGCGATGGCCTTTTGAAACGATTTAGCTTTTTATACCATAAAGCATTTGGCTTATGGACATTGCATTCTGAGAAATGGCTATAAAAAGTAAATTACTTTACCGGAGCAGTTTTGTGAAGAACAGCGAGAGGATAGAGTCCCGGGGAACGTGTTGGGTCCATGGATAGAAGCGTATAATTCCCTTCAGCGTCACCATTTTCATCCATATGAATCCAATATCTGTTAAAATGTAGAAAAAATAAATTCTAATGTTTTATTTTATGTTCACTGAATTGAAATGTACATTATTCTTCAGTAATATAAGCCATAATAATAAACAAATAGAATATTGTTAGATTTTCGTGTTTTCTATTAAATACTCACTCCTAGTTGTATTGTATATTAATTAGCACTTACCTAATACTAATTGTTATTTTACATTAATTTTTTAAGCCTTGTAAATTGTTATGGTTTATGGTTTGTGTATACATCAGCAGCCCATCAAATTATAACATCCTTCACCTGAGTTACGCTTACGACGCCTTTGATGTGGTTATTTCGAACAAGTTTACAATAACAAAGAAATTTTTTCTTCGATTTTGATGTTTTTTTGGCGTATGCCAATTATTTTGCCGCAAATATTTTTGTGTATTTAAAAGACACTGATGTACATTTATTGAAACGATGTTGTAGCAAATTAAAAAGTATTTGTGTTTAGAATTTATTTGAAAAGTTTAGTTTATGATTCAAAGTTAGATGCTCTGACTTTTAACCTGACCTTTAATTTATTTGATAATAGTATGAGTAGATACTTACTCTTACTAATATGACTCTACTATGATGATTATTAAATAATAAGAGTCTTTTGTTACACTATTTATTAATAAGCTTTACCCTATTATTCATTTTGTTATCTGAAGTTTACCATACATATTGACCTAATATTACTACTATGTATGTATGTATGAATATATGAGTATATTATAATAATTTATCCTCGAATCTGATTCAGATTACTAGAACACGGCTCAAAATGAAAATTATTAAAGACGTTTATATTTGCAAACGTAAACATATTAAAACGTACTATCATGTTTAAGCTAAGCGCTTGCAATATGTGTCTACTGCCAGAACAGTAATTAATGTTTCCGTTAAATTGGTCCGACCGTTAAACAGGTCATTACCATTTCCATGCTAATATCTATACTGTTAGTTATGATTATTCAAAATATATTTTTTTTAGTAATATAATTATGGTCAGTATTTGAAATGGTGATGCCCATTAGATTTCTCTTATGGTTGTGTTCAGAACTAACGAAAGTTGCAGCATCTTCTACAGTCTACTTTCTACACAGTAATAGTTTTAATTATTTTATGATCGGTGGTTTGGTTTTGATCACTGGCTAAATAGTGATTTTATCGTTCGAAGTTAGTCATGCTTGCATGCAGGCTTGCTAAAAGCGAATTTATAGACATATATTTTTATAGATCTTCCACCAATATCTTCTATATCCTGTGGGTTGAGTGAAAGACGTCTCTTTTAAAGATAATTTTGTTAATTTACGTCTATATGCCTTTTGTAGGTGCAATATAAAATATCATTAAATAGATAAGTCTAATTAATTACTTTAACTATGAGATTTTTTTTAAATTTAATTTATATGTAACGAGGCTACAGTAGTTGTACATATGTAAGTATTAAAAGTATAGCTAATAACATGTAATGCATATCAATGTGTCACTTTGGAATTTTGACAAAATTTATGACAGTCTAGACTGCTACTAGAACATTATAGCGGATCGGTCAAGTACGCTTTAAGCATATTAACATACGTGTTATATAACTAAGACGTCGTCTTAGTGGTATAACATGTAAAGTTTATTAGCAACACGTGAGGCTCAGCAATGTAACATAGAGTCCTAAACGAACAAGTGTAGACGTATTGTTTTTACGAAAGATATTCAGTTTAATTTTGGACTCTGAATTTGGATTATAACCGAGAAAAATGTGATCAATTCTTAACGTCAAAGTACTTGATTAATTTCAATAAGCTTACAATTTGCCTGTATTTTAAACATAGGCAGTTATTTGTTTACTGAATTTCTAGGATCTTATACTTTTGTAATTTGATTATTTTGTGTGACAATATTTAATTAGCTATCTGTTCACTAGTTGATTCACATCAGAAATTTAACTATTCGAAGATTATTTATTATATGAAAATGTTGTGTTTGACTCTAAGTTTCTACTTTTTAATTTTAAAATGTAAGTTTTGCTATTAACTTGATTAATAAACACTAGTTATATAAAAGTGCTTGTTTATATCCCAATTTTGTTCTTCATAAGATTCCTTTGTCGATAGTTAATGTATTTTTTATTCGCAAACCCTCGTCGATTATGGCGTTCGAGCTCCCACGCTCGTATTTACGATAGCGTCATGAAAAGGTATTTCAATTTTCCATTATGTAAATACACCCACTGAGTTTCATTACAAATCAAAAGTTACTTTCATATTCAGCCTTTGTAATACTTGAGGTCTTATTAAATTAATTTATTTCTGACATAAACGAAGAAATATATTAATGTACTGAATGCACGTAAAATATACTAAACATGACACAAAATGAGACATTTAAATTGAAATATAAAGTTGTGCAGTGGAATATATATTTGAGTGACTCTACCTATTATGTTAAAGTTCATAAGTCCATTTTTATAATTGGCGAAAGTTTATACACAGGTTTGTTTCATTTTGGTTAATACCCAATTCGTAGTTTCTATATTTTCGAAAAGCGGAGACAAGAATGTGAAGTTTATATATTCCTGACAAAGAACGTGAACAGACAATAAAAATTTAAAAAATAAATAAATAAAACCGACTTCAAAAATATATATAATAATACTAAAAAGTAAAAAATATACTGATTGGTAATATTTATTTACTATAGATACCAATCAGACAAATCAAAGAACACTGACTTCTAGACTTCTGAAGTCCGTTTTATATATTTTTTAAGTTTTTATTTTTCCATTTTTTTTGATTAGATTCATTTTTATTGAAGACATAGTGGTAGCAGAGTAAGAAGAAAGTATTTTTTTAAATTCAGTAGGTGAAAAATTAATATCTTCAATAGATATTAACATATCTACTGGGCTGGGCTTGCCGGACGCTAATGCGCCCCCCACCACGACAAGGTGAACAACACATCGGAGGAGTAGAGACGTAACCTAACCTAACAAATAAACAACAACTTGAAATAAGACATTTTTTAAATTAACTAACAGGTAGTTTTCACTCACCCCATAACACTTCGGTATGTCGTATTGCGCATTCGCATGGCAATTGCTCTACCATCACGAGCGCCTTCGCCCGTACGAAGAACGTCAGCTAGCGCCCTGGCATACACCCACACAGCGTCATGCAGCCAGGCTGCTTCTACTGGGATCTAAGGATTATATTGGCTTTAAAACATCTCATATGAATAGTAATTATAAATTTTAATTTTAATTGCAATATTTTATTTCAGTCAACGTCACGTGATAACGCTCAAATATATGCTTATTTAATAATTATTATTTTATCATGTTATTTTGTTTTAATAAAAGGTACAGAACTATACAGGATGGAAGAAGGAAACGAAATATGAAAAAAGAAAAGTACCTCAAATATTGAAGATATCAAGTTTTATTCACAGGAAACATACTTTTATTTTTAAAAGTCGAAATATTTGCATTTATTTAGCAAGTATTTCTTATAAAAACGCCTGAACCGTTAATTGAACCAACTAAAAATGTTATTGATTTAATTAAACAATAGGTTTTAATGTAATTAGAAAATCTCGTAAGGCTTTTAAAAAAAATAAGTAAGCCTTAAAAAAAATGCAACTTTGTTATTATTTAAAAAAAAACTGACAAAAACTTGATATTTTCAATATTTAAGATACTATTCTTGAATGTCTTTCTTTTGTTCTACCCTCCATTTTACTTGTAATTTCTTTTTATTATTCACATTTTATTATTCTAAAAGATTTTTAATTAATAATATTTTTTGTTAACCTTCGAAAATGCCAAGTATTATTTTAGTGGCAATGAAACGATTTTTAAAGAATAATTTAATAAATAATATTTATTAAATAAGTCACATTAATTACGTAGTAAACGCATGCACGTTTAATTACAATTACACATTAATATCTCGTATACTGTGTTATTGAGCAACATTAAACGGACATTAGCCGCCTACGATGTGTCGCTCTGGTCTAGTATAGTATTATAATATGATCTGTGCTCTGGTATATTTTACAATAAATGTATAAGATTTTTTAAATAACTTAACGTCAAATATTATTCGAAGTGTTTACTCCGCTGTAAACCCTGTCGTAAAAAGAATTTGTAAATTACCCCAATAACCATTTACGTATTGGGGGCAGTCGTCATCGTTATCAGTTATCCGGTTTAACAGATAACACTAAAACCAGCAAAACAGTTCGTAGGCAATTTTCTAAGTACTTTTAATAGATATTGTACTTTCTTTCTAATGCTTTTTTCAAAAATTTCAGAATATGGAATATATTAAATTGAAAATAAATTATTTAAAAACAATGTAATAAAAACATATAAATAAAAAAAAACAATTGTTTAATACATTTACTTAAATGATAAATATCTAAGTATGTCGAATACGAATGAGTTAAATTAAAAACTAGTTTTATAAACACCGATTACTCACTACAAATTACGCAATGTTTCTTTTCATAATTTTTTTTCATTTATTTAAATTTGAGCAAAACTTATTCAAATTTAAATAACTTCGTATTCCTAGCGAGTAAAGTGCAAAATTAATTAATGAACGAATAGAAACAACAAACATCGTGTTGCAAAATTCCAATTTTATACATTTGTTACGCAAGATAACTATATATCTATATATGTATATATATACATTATATATATATATATATATATATATATATATATAAAATGCTTTGTCCTGACTGACTGATAGATCAACACACAGCCTAAATTGCTGGTCGTAGAATCGTAAAATTTGGACGACGTACTCTTTATATGATGTAGGCATTCGATAAGAAAGGATTTTTTGAAATTCATCCTCTAAGGGGGTAAAATAGGGGATGAAAGATTGCATGAAACTCTGTTATTCTTAATGTGAAATGCACGGTAAGAAGTACTTAGCTTTATGATAAAAAATAAGAAACATATTTATTACATTTTTTTGAAATTCATCCCTGAAATGGGTAAAGGGGGGTTGTAATGTTTATATGGGAAAAAATATGAGCAGAATTACAGAATATGTTTACATTAAATACCTATCGTTAAGATATAGGATATTGCTAAAATGTAATTCGTTTTCCATAATATGTTTAAGAAATAATATGAAACACGAACTAATTTTTGCAAATATTAAAGTATGTATTGCGAATAATAAAAAAATATATTTTAATGTGAAGTATGTTAGTATAAACAATATTCGGCGGTACGGAAACTTTCCTAAATCATACTCACACATTTGAAAATCATTACAGCCATTAAATTATTATTACCTAGTTATAAAATAAAGCCAAAGAGTTTTTTTTTGTAGTTTGAACGCGGATGAAGTCGCGGGCACTGCTACGAGTATAATATACATATAATATTGTATAAAAATATAAAATTTAGAATTCATAATATGCTCATAATTGGTCATTACCGATTAACCGTATATTCTCACGTCCTAAAATTTTTAAATAGCTAATCTAAATAATATCTATTTTATAATATGTAAGTAATATCAATTTTACTTTTTGCTCTCAAAAAATTCCACTTACCTATAAAAAATTAATGGCTTTATTTGAATGTTTACGATTTTTCTGTTTACGATTGCGAGTAACAACTTAGTGACGAGATACGAGTTATTACCATTTTATTATAATTAACTCACCACTTTCCCTCCACCTAAAGCGAGTAGAGGATTCGTATAATTAAAGGGCGGCATTTGCAGTCGGCGATTCACTTCTCTTGCGAAAGCAGGGTACGAGGGCGCAGGTGAAGGCGCTACGGCGAGATACGATCGGAAAGCCTGTGGTACCCTCGGGCCCGGTTCCTTGCGAAGCGGACCCGAGAGGTACCGAATAGCCTCCTCTGGCTCATATTTGTCGACATCTACTCCGATCGCGGCATATTCCCCTGTAAATTATACTGGGGTTTAACTTGTGTATAATACTTTTATTCCCTCCACGACCGCGGACACGCCGGGTTTACAGTTAACAATAGATTTCTTAGAAATTTACCTGGAGGTGTTATTATTATTATTATTACTTTTGTGAAGAAATTTAGATTTGCCTTATTAACCCTTAGACCAGCTTGGCAACTAGCTTCCCTCAAGGCGGCGGATCCCAGAATATATATTGACTAAATTGATCAAGATTGAAAAAAAATAATGTACCAATTAAAGGCCGTATTGGAAGGTCTTTTTTATGTCGATAAAATAAAATTGTTTATACAGTTTACTTGATTTGTAGAGAACATAAAATTTTATCACTGATTTTAGAGCCATTTACATAACAATTACCAATGTTTCCAGTTTTGTAATGCTAAAAAATCGTAATAAAACTATCGAACTCGTAAATTTTTTGTCAAGTTAATGTTATGATCCGAAATAATGATGCAATAAACAGAGCGTAAAATCGACAGCTTTGAATGTGAAGCAATTTCTTTGTAAATCTTTAAGGTTGGAAGAAAATTGTCACTCAATACAATAAGATATAGGTGCTTTAAACAACAATAGAATCTTTCTAGACAAATAAATCAGACCCACTCACAGTTTATCGGATTTACTTACTCATTCTTTTCACTCTAGTAATTGATATCTGGATCGAGTCTCGTATTATCTTTATATTGAAGTTTCATTCATACTTATAAGAAACTATCTCACTATTTTTAAAACGTACAATAAACTTTTGATGCATTATACTTATGTATGTAGTTTTATATCGTATTTTACAACAATATTTTCGTTCTTCCTAATGAGAACATTCTACGGTTCTACATACCTGCATCCAAAAGTTTCATAGCATCCAGAGCTTGCATAAGTCCGATATGATCATGATAATAACCAATAGATACGTAAACTGTAACAAAAACGAAGTTTTAGAATTTTGGAAATTATTCTATTAAAGTAATGTGGACCATTAACATGCTTACTTCTAGTATCTTTGTAAGTTTCCCGTACGATGTCCAAAAATGGGTTCCGTGTAATATTTTCCACTATATCTCCGTAATAATAGGGCTGCCTATAGATTTGGGCTGTGCGAATAGAAATTTTTTTCTCAGTAGCAGCTGTCATAATAGCGTAGGCTAATCGAGAAAAGTCATGATTTGGAGCTTTGAGGTAGATTACAGCAATCTGTTAAAATAAATGCAAATAATTTAATATTAACAGTTAGTTTCGTACATAAAATTGAAAAAGCTATATAAAAAATACAAAATTTTGGCATAGCATTATATGATTACATGCATAAAATTAAAATGCGTGAGCACGGTGACAACCGAACGCGAGATGTCGATGTCCGAAGGCCGGGTGCGTGCGAATGTTGCATACACACGCTTGTTAGAGCTTGCGACGTCACTGCAGTACTAGAACAAAGACAGTTTTCAGTCTCAAATCTATATATATATATATATATATATATATATATATATATATATATACATACATAGATATAATATTGTAACTAAGCCGAATCTGTACATTAGATATTTTATAGAAAATCTTATTGAAATAAACATTATTATTGATACAGAGTCCGAATCTATAGTTTTAGAATTTTTGTCTGTCTGTCTGTTACCGCCTCACAGAAAAATCGCTGGAGGGATTTTGATGAAATTTTGTATGGTGATAGCTGGTTATCCGGGTCAACATATAGGATACTTTTTACCGTGGGAAAATGTCTCATTTCTGAGAAAAAATACAAAAAATGCAATTTAAGGGTACCTAAGAATTTGGTTTTTGGTCATTTGAACGCGGGCGGAGCCGCGGGCAATGCTAGTATACTTATAGAGTTTTAATATATGCACATAATAGTATGTAGAGTATAAACTCTACATAACGCATAAGCGTAGCTTAGGTGTGTCAAACTGTGAATATTAATTGTATGTCTAGCTTCACGGTTACTTATTCCTGAAACTCGTTTAGTATCTATACCATCAGAGTAAATTAAATTAATAATATAACAGAAATCTATCATAAACAATTATAAATGGACATATATGTAATTGTATAATGGTCAAATAATATCTATATACCTGTATATGTACCTACCTATATCTATAGACAAAAGAAAATCTAAAGATATTTTTCACCATAATTGAATAAAAAAGAGAAACTCTAGGGTCTGACTTAGATAGAATTATAGCTATAAACATAAATTAAAGAAGCTTTCTGGCACTGAAGCTACTTTTGAGAAATAATAAATTGCAAAAACAATCAGATTGCGCACTTCGAAACCTGTTATAGAGACATTCAATTTGAATAAAATTAACTTTAAATTTTATCTATATGATCTATGCTGAATCAACAATATGATTAAATAAGGAGTATAATGTAAGTATAATACTTACATAGCTTATCATAGGTAAATTGAAGGCAGCAGCCATTCGGCCCTCGTGTACGCATGTTTCTTGCGGACCGATGAAGGCGGATACATTCGCAGCCCACAAAGCAGCGACCTGATGACAATAGAAAATAGCTATAATATTCCACAGATATCTTATGACATAAGTTTGTAATGTAAAACAATAAAATAAAGTTTATTTATGCACACGAAATTATGAAGAGAGAGGGAAGATGTTACACATCATAAATATTCGAAATAATTATATATGTATACTAGCATTGCCCGCGGCTCCGCCCGCGTTCAGATGACCAAAAACTAAATTCTTAGGTGTTACATATTAGTATACTCTTACATTGCAGTTTTTGTATTTTTCCTCAGAAATAAGATATTTTCCCGCGGTAAAAAGTATCCTAGGATCGCGCGCTACATCGCCCGGTTTATATAGCTTGAGCAGGCGGTCGAGCGATGCGGGGCAGAGGGGATGGACTCGCCGTAGGCATCTCAATGCTCGCCAAGCATTAAAAATGTTTCGCTACTAATTACTTCTAACAACGATATCTCAAAAACTATTCATCTGATTGATTTAGTGTAAAGAGCAATTTTAATCTGCATTAAATGACTAAGCTAACTAAAATATTCATTTGGATAAGGATTAATACCGAACTAAAGAAAATAACTTTGAAAATAACGTAATGTTTTTAATTAAAAATGTTAACATAAAAGTGGTTATTGTAAGTCAACCGTAAGAGATAGAGATATGCTATCGCGGACTTTTTTGTAGCATTTTTATAGATTTTGAATTCTCTAGTACATTACTTAACTGTATCTTTGCTAGTTTACGCGGCGTTCGCGTGGAAAGTTCCCATTTGGCGAGATTTTTTGCGACCTCTTCAAAATTTGTCGCCGTATTTCAGCTAATTTACATAAAAGCATAATAAATTATATACCTAAACCTTCCTCAAGAATTACTCTTTCTATTGTTGAAAACCGTATAAAAATCCGTTCAGTAGTTTTCGAGTTTATCGCGTACAGACAGACAGGAGGACAGACAGGAGGACAGAAAGACGCGGCCGGGGGACTTATTTTTATAATAAGTATAGATAGATATAAAACATATGTCCAAGATTGTACAATTTTTTGACTAATCCCATATTAAACGATTTTTTTAGGTTTTGACGAATAACTGATTTAACGAATCGCAAATTTGGCAAATTAAGCTTTTAACTTAAATACAATAGGTATGGCCAATAAAGTATTTGAAGAATGTGTGTGTAACCTAAAATATTTATCTATATCCCTTTAATATATCTCAATATCCCTCTATAATCTAATATAGTATTACAAAGTTATAAAGTTTCAATACATTAAGTAAATGTAAAAGAAATGTTTCTCTAGAAATAGCGTAAAATATATTTTTCATAAATACCTAAGTCTGCTACTTACAATCTCTCAATGTCTCAAATCAAAAATTTACTATACCTAAGTTTGTATATATTTGTGAGTTAAGTATCCTTTGTCAATGTTATGTATGTATATGTTAACAACAACAGAGAACGAATGTTAACTATACAAAAATTGCAACTAAAAAATATAATATATCTACTGTGTTTTAAAGCAAATGATGTGATAATGAGCAATATTAAGTTATTTAAATCCTAGTTTCTTCTCGAAGACTCGTTCGCGTGGTAGGTAGGTATTTCGATAAAAAGTATACATGTATTATGTCACAATTCAAAATATAGACTATGTTAATTCCAAAATTCATTAAAAAGTTATAACTGTAACAGCGTGAAGAATAACGAGCGTTAGCTCATACATAATAGGTTTAGTAAAATACAAGTAAGGTTTGATAAAATCTTTTAAGGGGTAGATAATATAGTAAAATGGTAATAAATATACTGGTATTTTTGCGTTATCAATAAATTATTCATATTATTTTATATCAATCTGTATCTAATGTAGACAAAGAAGAATTTTTGTACCTACTATTATGCACTCCTTGTGAAATCGGTTGGTATTTGGTAAGGTATCAATTATTACTCCAATAGCTTTCATAACAAATACTGATCATTCATAAAACCGTTTTCATTTATTTTAATTATTTATATACGTTATAAAATTCAAATTTATTTTTAAAATGGCACACACTCTAAGATCATTTTTAAATCTTTTGTTAACTCCATATCCTCAACTTTCAAGCATTAACTCATGAAATATCTCGGAGGCCATTATTTATGTTTATTATTTAATAAAAAGTGACAAAGAGTATTGGAATTGACAACTTTAATGTTATAAGGGTCAAATTAAAAGACGTGAAAAGTGCCGCAGGCTTCAATGGAGTAATAAATTCGAAAAACCTCAATAAAAGAACTCTTAACCTTCATGAATCATCGCGATAACAACTTTCAAGTGTCGACCGAACTTGTCGTTTTCATGTTTTATATACCACCATGAAGACAATAAATTATTTTGAATATGTGGTAACAAATATTCTCTAATATTAATGTAAGAGTAAAAAAAAAATTAAACAACCTTGCTAAAATTATGATGAATGCGAAATTATTTTAGTTTGTTGTTCAACTGTAAATTCAAATGAATGTTTTTAAAACACCTCACTAACTAAACTTAATTAAACTTAGGTATACTACTTTAAAATTTTGCAAGCCTGAAATAACGCTGCAACCAGGATTTAGCCCTCACGTTTATTTTAGTAGATGGTAAATGGTTCTCACGAGTATTTAGTCGCTATATTAGTCTATCGGAAAGTTTTATGTAATCGTAATTATCTATGAAAAAAATTAAGAAAAAATAACGTGTGTGTGTGTACTTACGTACGCAAGTAAGAAGTTATACTTCTATGGCGTAACAATAATAGCTATTTTCATACCGTATGTCACAACTCTCTGTTTGTAAAAGGAAACTTTCAGCTAACTTCATCATGTCGCTTTTTGGCTGTCGCTGTGCGCGCGCATCGTGAAAATTTTCCTTTATTTTTTTTCAAACGTGCTAAAAGAAGTATAACTTCAAAAAGTTCTATGCGTGTCGGCGATTTGATTGCGATTATACATTAATAATAGCTATTTTGTTCTATCAAAAGTAAAAATTTTCATGAATCATGAAATTCATGTAACGTAGATAATTTATGGATGGCTTTTAATCATCAGTGCCAGTCATGATCAGGCAGCAATCAACCAAAATGAGAGAACCGTCCTCGACAAATAATAATTAAACACTAGTTTCACATCATAATACCTACTATTTTTGTTTTTTTTTTTATAATAAAAAATAACAGTATAGAAATAATCTTTATCTACATACAGATAAATAAAATGGAAGTGTCTGTTTTTTATGTCAAAATAACAACTTTTTACTAAAGCATATGAAATTATATTCGGTACTAATAAGAAAAGAAAACTATTTTTATGTTTGTCTGTGTCAGGGTTTTCAGCATTCCGCGTAAACAATTAAAACCCATGAAATTTTGAACAAAATACGCGTACCCACCCGATGCAATCAATATGTAAATCTGCCGCGTTTGAGTAAATGAAAAAATCCTCTCTTGGGCTCCCCTACTATTATTGGCATTTAGATATAGCTTGAGTTTAAAATGCCTACAGCACGGAGAATAGTAAGATGCACTGGGTTCAAAAAAATGGCTACACATACATCATGAACAAACAGGTATACCTTTTGTTTTTATTATATATTCGAAATTATCCATTAGCATAAAAATGACGACTAATATTATTTTTCTTGTAAGCATTTGTAATACGAATAAAAGTTTATCTTGAGAACTGCGTAACATGACAATACCTGTCGTATAGAAACTTCTTCTTGGCCATACGTTTCAGCAACCACGAAATCTAATGAATGTCCCATAGGCCCGAGCAATTTCTCGTTGACTTCGTCAACTGCCATCGATATTGCACCTGTCAAAAAATTTATGTGTAAATAATATGTATATATTAGATGTGGGGCGATAAATGATGATAATGATGTCTATTGTTACACATGCGTGTCACAATGGACGTTTGCCATTTTTTATTGGTTATATAAAAACATCTATACATATATAGTATATATAACTTTATTTATAGGTATGGGAATTGATTAATTAATCTTTGGCGACGATAATCACTCGGTCTTTTATGTTTAACTTAATTACATTAAGCAAGAAAGTTATTTGTATCTATACAATATGACGTCTGTTGTGACATTTTCTTAATTATAAATTACTAGCAGAACCCGCGGCTTCGGTCGCGCTAAAACTGTCAATAAATCTCTAAAAAGTTAGTTTCATACAAACTTTCATCCCCAATTTTACCCACTTATAGAATGTATTTCGAAAAATGCTAAAACACGTATTTATTTAATTTTATTAAAAAGCTTTAATACAAAGTTTCAAGTAATTCATATCATAAATATTTTTTTAAATTGTGTTACAACGTGTTTTCCTGTGGGAATTAGATAATCTCCCGCGGTAAAAAAATAGCCTATGTCACTCTCCAGTCCTCCAACTATCTTCACCCAAAAAATCACGCCAATCCGTCACTCCGTTTCGACGTGAAAGAAGGACAAGAAACAAACAAACACACTTTCACATTTATAATATTAGTATGGATTACTGTCGCTAGTAAGCAACTTTCCTCGCTTCGTTCAGGTGCGTCGTTAGATAGCCTAACAAGTAGCTTATGAGTTACTCCAGGTCATAGTATCTATGCACTAAATTTCATCTAGCTGCTTCAGAGTGAAGGAGTAAGAAACATACATACACACATGCATACAAACTACTGTATATATAATAGTAATCCATTTTTATAAGGTTTTACAAATATCTTACTATAAAATTTGGTACCTGATATAACTATTCCAGGCTTGGGATAATTTAAGTCGCCAGGTCGTCTTTGTGAACCAGTTAAATATCCGAGAGTGAACTTTTCACCCAGAGAAGTATCCATGGCGACTATTAATAAACACCAACACCAATGCCACTGAGAACAAGAAAATTATAAATCAGTATTTCCTAAGGTAAATAAAGTTAAAGAGAGTACCTAATGGTTAAATAAATAAATATTAATATATATGTAATCTATACATATAATAAAATTGTATTGTAACTAAGCCAAATCTGTACATTAAATATTTTTTGAAAAATCTTATTGAAATAGATATTATTATCGATACAGAGGCCAAATCTTTTTGAAGAGGTTTTTAGAATTTTTGTCTGTCTGTCTGTCTGTCTGTCTGTTACCGCATTACGGAAAAACCACTGGAGGGATTTTGATGAAATTTGGTATGATGATAGCTGGTTATCCGGGTCAACATATAGGATACTTTTTACCTCGGGAAAATATTTCTTTTCTGAGAAAAAATACAAAAACTGCAATGTAAGAGTATACTAATATGTAAAACGTAAGAATCTGGTTTTGGTCATCTGAACGTAGGCGGAGCCGCGGTCAATGCTAGTTTAATATAATATTCCTTTATTCAAGAGAGCTGTAATCCATACTTGCTTTACACAATTCTAGTAGGACACTAGGACATAGGATGTGATAAAATATCATGAGCATATGTAGAGCGCAGAGAAATATAAAAATGGTCAGTGATAAACGGTGCAAGTTCTAATTTAAAATGTTCTCAGTCGCCAACTGTTCCGCGCACGTGCTCCTAACATTTTTCCAATATTGCCTGCTCGTAAAGTGCTTTGAAGTGCAGATAACTACGGCTTTAAAACACACGCTCTTAGACTGTGATAGAGCATTGCTTACATACATCGATTTAGTGTAATACATAATAATTTGGAAACTATATCGTGAAGCATAGATGTATGTACCAAAAAGAAATATGATTTGTAAACAATCAGCAATGTTAAAATTTCTATAAATAAGAAAATAAATCAATATTAATTTCGGACTTGATTTGTTCAATGAACTTTATTTATTGCCTCGTGTTCATTGAAAATATTATTTTCAAAATAAAAAATACGAATATATATATGTATATATATATATATATATATATTATGAAATTATAATTATAGTTATATTATGTACTAGCGACTCACCATCGCTTCGCTAATGCTCGTCCCTAGGTGATTTTTTATATAGACATACCTAACTGTTTTATTTATGAACCGAAAGAAATAAAACATATACTAGGAGTTAACTAAGCTCGGTTAAGCCATTTCTGAGATCAGCGAGCACAAAACGCACAGACAAAAACTCTAAAAGTCATTGTTTTGGATTATATTGCGTTAATAAAGATATTAATAGTTTTTCTCAAATATCTTCCATGTACAGACAGCGATCAGTTACACTTTTATTATAGATATGTATACATATGTACTTAGTAGTAGCACAGATCATATAATACTATACTAGGTAGTAGTTATGAGCATCTAAAAGAGAGACAAATTCATTTCATTAAAACATATCAACCATTTATAGAGTTCAACGAAAGAATTAGTTGGCACTTATATAAGTACCAGCTAATTCTATACAAGTAATTCAATTAATTAAGTTTAGTTTTTTTGCATTAATTAAACTAAGAACTCCTTCATATGTAAAAAATCATTCGTGGGATATTTTACGCAATGACAGTATTAAGGCGAGCACCAAACTTGTTCACTCGTGACAGGTTCAAGATTATAAAACTGTAAATTCAACTTTGTTTGTATTGTGAAAGTAGACATCTCTCATGTTGGTAATTATAGCTCTCCACCACACATGATGTATCTTTTCGCATAACGTATCACATATGTCTATTTACGAGTATTTACATTTGACTCGAAATAAGCATTTGATGTTTTAAAGTTTATTCATATCACTTGCATGGCGTTAAAAGCCTCGTTTCAGGATTTGAAATGTTAATTTATTAATTTATATTAATTATTAATATATTAAGTTTTTTTGTTTGTTTAGTTTATCATAAAATATACTAAAGAATCGCAAAATAAATATTAACCCAGCGTCATATTGCAATATAGGAAAACCTAAAAAATTAAAATATAAAAACGGGATAACATTTCATATATGCGATAGTTTGTATGTTTGTTACCCCTTCAAGCTATAAAGGTGTAACAAATTAAGTGAAATAAGCTATTTTTATTGATGTAGGTACCTACTAAGTAACGGTGTAAGAGCTATTACTGTAGGAAAACTAATTAAAACATCTACACGTTTTCAAATAAAATACAACATTTAGGACACTGTCAGTCCGCACTAGACGGAGGACATTTCGTATAATATATTGTTATAAATAACATCAGTGTGAGATATTTATATAACTATGACCGGGTTAAGTCAACGTTTCATAAAATAGGGCTTTATGTATGCAATAATGCACTCTTTTAGAAAAAATATCTAATAACGTAACAATTGACGACACGTTTGGCTCAGTTTGTAGTGACCCTGCTTGTTGTGCCAGCGGACGTGGGTTCGACTCTCGCTGGGGGCATTCATTTGTGTGATGAGCACGAATGTTTGTACTTCACTCATGGTTGTTTATATTTATAATATGTATGTATTTAAAGTTATATATGTGTAGTGTATCAACTATCCGGTATCCATAACAAAAGCCACGTAGTTTATCATGGAACTAGATGGTGCTATATTATGTTAATGTCCCAAAAAAAATATTCAATACATCCTAAATTAAAAAAAATAGTAATTTTTTTTAGGAACATATTATTAGTATTATGGTCTGTGATATTATATAGTTAGACTACAAATAGTTTAAATTTACATGCAAGAATTTTCTAGTAAGTCTCAAAATTATTTTCATCAATTTATATCTACATTATTTATTTGTTATTAGATATTATAGTTAATTATACATAGTATATTACAAGTAGGTATACCACACTGACTTAGCTATTTTTTTCATGTGACTTTTATGTTGGAGTTACGTGACTTTGTAAAGGCTAATTTCCCTCCACGAACGCGGACACGCCGGCGTTACAGTTAACAATAAATTTGTTAGAAATTTAATTAATTTCTTAGAAATTTGATATGAAAAGTGATATTGGTGTTGCAACGCGAACCTAATAGTACGAAAGTCTAACAGTACTCCTACGGTAGTATTTAGTAGTTAAATAAAGTGCATGATGATGATGATGTTCTCCTACCCGATTTCGGTTACGGCGGCCAATCTCATTGAGATTAGCCAACTGCGCAGGAGATATTGTAGTGCTCAAGTGTACGCGTAGACACAGGTGCACTCTCTATTCCTATCACTCTCATACTCCGGTGGGACGACCACTCGACACGACCGGTGAGAGGTAAGGCGCAGGACCGACGGCTTTACGTGCTCTCCGAGGCACAGGGGTGAAACACCGCCAACTTCCCAACTCCGGGCTGTTACTGAGACTTACTATAGAGACTCAATAACTAAACTTGGCCCGACCCGGGACTCGAACCCAGGACCTCCGGGTGTGCAGCCGCACATGCTAGCCACTACACCACCGAGGCAGTTGTATAAATAAAGTGCATAATAATATTTTAATTGTACAAATTTTACAAACTAAAGTTATGACTAACAGAGATTAAGTCAGTTCACCAGAATGTCGTGTTTTACTACATAAAAATATAACAATTTTCATGGCGATGTCGTTCGAGCCCTAATAACTTACTTAGGTGCTCTTATCTCAACAAAACACGCTTCTACAAGTTCTTATTAAGTTTCGGTTTCCACAACCGTCTGTCGCAGTGGCTGTTTTCCGGATAGGCACTATTTATGAAGCTAAAGGTCGCGGGTTTAATTTTTATATGCCTTATAAATATTGATCGAGAACAAAAATAGATACGCAACATTACTGTAGGCGGACGGTATAGACCGGATTCTGTATCTGCCTCCAAAAAAGTATCGAAAGATACCTATACCTACGTTAGTAAGTGGTACTTTTTCCTTTTCGTATATAGTACTTGATACATATAGGTATGTATTGTATTCTATTTAAAATTCGCTTTATTTCCTTCCTTATGGAGTGAACGACTAGCTTTTGCCTGCAATTTTACATGCATGTACTGGTACTAGCAACTAACCAATAGGTATTTATGTCTATTACTACTGCTTATTACGTACTAATTGATATTTCTTTACATTAAGAAATTAAATATGTTATAATAATTGATTGTAAACATTAGGTACCTTTTTAACCGACTTCTAAAAACGAGGAGGTTCTCAATTCGTCGGAATCTTTTTTTTATGTATGTTCACCGATTACTTGAAGACGCCTGAACCGATTTGGAATATTTTTGTTTTGTTTGAAAGGGTATACTTCCCAGGTGGTCCCATATAAATTTTATCGAAATCGGCACAGCGGTTTTAAAAAAAATCAACAATAAATATATTTTTTTAAACAAATTGTTTAATCGAATATGTTATAAAAACTTTCTTCCTACAAATTACGTTTACACTAAAAGTATAAAAATAAAAACTAAAAAAAAACCGACTTCCAGGCACGGACAATATTTTAAGATATGAATATCTAATCAAAATATATTAGATTTCCTATACGTCGGCTGGCACCGACTTCGAAAATATCTTATTAGGTGTCTATTCGAAATGAAAACCCTCGTTTAGTTATTTTTTACATTTTAGTGCCTGGAAGTCGGTTTTTTTTTAAGTTTTTTCACTCACATGTTCTAAACACAAAATCCCAAACGTTTGTTTAATTATAAGATATTGTATTTATTATTTATTTTAACTTTAAGGTTCTTGTGATATGATATGTAATAATAAAAGATTATTATTCTTACTAAGACAATTCTAGATTTATAACTTATTCAAATTTAATAGTAAGTATTAATTAATGGAGCGCATAAAAAACATCAGTGTTACTGGAAGTGGGATTTTCCTTCTTTATAATTCTAATTTGAAGGACTGTCTTAATGTTGTTTTCTAATAATCGAAGAGGTCGATAAGAGTTACTGTAGTAATAGATAGTGCAACGGAATGGCTACGGCATTGACATAGTTGCTGCGTCACTCCGACAGTAGCCGCCCGAGAAACGTCGTGTTGCACGCGTCAAAATGTAAGTTTTTTTACAGAATATGTGAAATTCTAACTGCAAATGTAGCAAAAGAAGATTATATGGACTAAAAGACAATATTTTTTGTTCAATGCTATCGAATTTCATGGGTGAAAACATTTTCACTTAAGACACATTAGTATTCATGGCAGGTGGTCCCGCACGGCGTAGAAGGCTTGAACCCGCATCAATAAAACGGCGCTGATCCCGGCGCCCGCGCAACCTTCTTGCCATGCGGTCGCGCCCGATACATATTAATGTCATATACGTTAGGTCTGAATTCTGACACTCAAAGCATTCATATAAACTTTACTTAAAATATTTCAATACTAACAAGAATAACAGAAAATACGTAGTTTTCGTTTCTTCTATGTGATAGAAATAATATACATATCCAAAAAAATATATAAGTCTTAATTAAAGTTATATTATTCAACTAGCGACACACCCTTGCTTCGCTGGAGTTCGTCCGTAGCTTGCTTCACAATATAAACTTTCATCCCCATTTTCACCCCTTTAATGATTTCCGGGATAAAAAGTATCCTATGTCCTTCCAGAGTCTCAATTATCTCTTACCAAATTTCATTTAAATCGGTTCAGTAGATCCAGAGATTACCCCCTACAACGTCCAAACTCACAAACTTTACCTCTTTATAATATTAGTATAGATTATATTTTTGTACATATTTTTGCATTGTATCCGGCGCGGTAGTCGAATAGGACCAAACGCTGTTGCATATTGATCATCCCATTCTGAATTCAATTAGATCAATTAATGATTTTTGTAAAGATTTTTATTTTGTTTCAAGATCATTTCCAGTTAGTCTTATCGGAATTAGACACTTATTTAATATACCTTGAATTTCTATTTGAAGAGGAGACACTTAGTGGTCTTAACAAAACCATATTATTTATGTTATCTATGTATGTACCTGCTTCATACTTGTTCATTTTATCGCTACCAATGTTCATTACTAGTTTTAATTTCGGCAATGTACCAAAATTTGGTACGGTTTGTTAATGCATTAAGTATAAATTAGTTGATATTATAAGAATAAATATATAAAAACTTTTTAACAAAAAATAAAAAGCGTCTTCCAGGCACTAAAATGTAAAAAATAACTAAACGGAGGTTTTCATTTAGAATAGATACGTAATCAGATATTTTCGAAGTCGGTGCCAGCCGATGCAAAGCAAATCTAATATATTTCGATACGTAAAATACATATTTACCTATTAGATATTCATATCTTAAAATATTGTAGACTGGAACCGACTTCGAAAATATCTGATTAGGTATCTATTCTAAATGAAAATCTCCGTTTATTTATTTTTTACATTTTAGTGCCTGGAAGTCGGTTTTTATATTTTGTTAAAAAGTTTTTATTTTCCATTTTTAGTGTAGACGTAATAAGCAGGTAATATGTAAGAAGAAAGATTTTTAATAACATATTCGATTAAACAATTTATTTAAAAAATATATTTATTGATGATTTTTTAAAAACCGCTCGACCGATTTCGATAAAATTTATATGGAACCACCTGGGAAGTATACCCTTTAAAACAAAAAAATATTTCCATATCGGTTCAGGCGTCTTCGAGTAATCGGTGAACATACATAAAAAAAAAGATTCCGACGAATCGAGAACCTCCTCCTTTTTGAAATTGGAAGTCGGTTAATTATACGCTTATAATATAAGTATGTAAGTATATATTATATATTCAAGTATTAAAATGATAATTACACACCTATGAAGAAAGAACGAAAACAGATAATTTTCAGATCTAGGTAATATAGTATTATTCCATTGAAATGTAAAGGTGAAAAGGTTCACATTGATAATGTGGTGTAATGTAACTACTTATAACGAGTAATAATAATGTCGTGTATCAATGGTCCATTATAATGGCCCACATAAGAATCTACAACTATGTCTAAGAAACAACTATTTTTTAAAGAATTTAGAGCATTACAGTATGTAAGATAACTTTCGACTCAGGAGCAATAATAATAGGTAATTTAATCAAAACCTATTTATTGTCATTTATCCATCAAGATTCAGTAAACAAACAATACTTAATTCAAAATGGGTCGCTATAAAACCTTATCTTCTATATATACATCTATACATATAATAAAATTGTAACTAAGTCAAATCTGTACATTAAATATTTTTTGCAAAATCTTATTGAAATAGACTTCATTATCGATACAGAGGCCGAATCTATAGTTTTTAGATTTTATGTCTGTCTGTCTGTTTGCTACCGCATCACGGGAAAACCACTGGATAGATTTTGATGAAATTTTGTATGATGATAGCTGGTTATCCGGGTCAATATATATGATACTTTTTACCGCGGGAAAATATCTCATTTCTGAGAAAATAATGCAAAAACTGCAATGTAAGTAATCTAACCTGTAAAACCTAAGAATTTTGTTTTTGGTCATCTGAACGCGGGCAGAGCCGCGAGCAATGCTAGTGTAATATATAAAAGGATAAATGATAGACTGAAATACATAATATAAGACCACAGCCTAAATAATTGGGTAATGTGAAGTTTTGTCCAAGGCTTCCTTTTGTAATGTCGGCGAGCATTAAGGAAGGGTTTTTGTAAATTCAATCCCTAAGGCATAAACTAGAGCATGGGTGGCGTCCCTTGTGATATATAAGGAAATAGCTCAGGAGAAACCCTATGTTTGTTGTGGTTTATCTGTAGGCTAACTAAGCTTGGATGGGCTTTATTGGGTGTGCATTTAGCCCTTTTTAAAGTCCCACTGCTGGGCACGGACCTCCCTTCAGTGCGAAGGAGATCAGGCCATAGTTCACCACGCTGGCCAAGTGCGGGTTGGCGGACTTCACATGTCTTTTGAAAACTTGGTAGGTTCTCCGTACGTATGCAGATGGTATGCGTAAATGCATTTATTTATTATTAACGTTGGACGTTAAAAAAAATGGTAGCTTAGTGGTAGCGATCACAATGGCTTGAGAAAGCAGCTTTAATTCCTGGTGCGGAACCTCCGATATTCTTATGTAGGAATCATAATCGTCATGATTACCACTTGTTAATATGGTGAAGGAAAACATGGTAAGGACATTGCTGTTAGAAACAGACAAACAACATATACAGCGCACCTACCACATTTGGCCAGCGCGGACTATAGCCTGATCCCTTCGCATTGAAATCCGGGCCCAACATTGGGACGTTAATAAAGGTTCAATACAAGTTAATATGAAAATACTACTCTCCTTACTAAGTTTATAACAATAGTTTTACTGCGACATCGCGTACCTACATATAGCTAGCTACTGTGTATCTAGTTAATATTACAAAGAGACTCAGCATTATAAAGTTCCCTATAGGACTTAAAAGCTTAAAACCATACGGTTTAATGAACTTTAGCATAAGTACTAATGAAACTTAGGGTTGGTTTTTAGTCAGGTTCAAAAATATAACAAAAAAAAATATCAATTAATTTCATTCAGCCATGCTCAAGTGATGAACTTGTAAAGAATATTTCTCGTAACTGTACAGTAAGTTAGTCTAAATGTACAGTAGGTACACCGAGAAGACAGTCATCAAACATCTGGTTTGGCTAAAAGAAAATCCTAAAAGAGTATTATAAAAAAAAAGAGTAGAATTTAAATCCATATTCAGTCATAATAATATAATATGAAAAAACTAAATATTTTAGTTTATATTAATCGAAAAAGTCAGAAATTATTAACTAGTTTATCATTTACCAAAATCCACGGTTTTATTTTCATCATTATTTGATGATCAGCACTTATCGATGATAGTAATTACTCATATTAATATGACACAATTAAAATTGAATTTCACAAAATATATTTCGCATTATTTACTCGCCATGACGTCTAATTTCCCGCGCTCGCGGCACAGTTGTTTGTGCACAACGTTCGCGAACCGATGACGCTTGTAAACTGACTGCAAAGTGCGAGTCGCGACTCGCGAGTGTAACTTCGTCATATGCCTTATGAATACAAATAAAATAGACTGCTTTTTTTACGAATACTTATGGTTTTAAAACAATGTAAGTATAAATGATTTATGCTAAGTAGGTATAATTTGAAATATTACTCGATTCATTTCGTTATTTTGATGATTTATAAATAAGCATATATAACAAACTATTCTCTTTTTTATGTAATCTATTATCCATCTAAGCTACCTACGATATTACGCTAAGGAGGCCTCTACAATATTTCATCTTTTATTTTGTTTATTTTATATTTTAACTAGCAATTCACCCTTGCTTCGTCCGGGTTTATCCCTATATAAACGTCGAATAGATAGACTATATATATACATAGGCTCTGGGCACAACACTGTTACTGTACTTAATAAGGTCTGTGATGATATTCGATACGGATTCGACAATCAGCAAATTACCATCCTCGCCCTGCTGGATTTCTCTAATGCATTTAATACTGTAGACTTCGATATTCTACTTGCCATTCTCAAGTCCATAAATATCTCCTCGAATGCTACTAAATGGTTTTACTCCTACCTAAATAATCGTGAACAATGCATTAGGCTTGATGGCAAACGTACTTCTAGCTCTCGTATCACTGCTGGAGTCCCTCAGGGTGGAATGCTGTCTCCTCTACTCTTCTCCATTTTCATAAACACTCTCACTAAGCATCTTACGTTACCCTACCATCTTTATGCTGATGACTTGCAGATTTATACGACTACAACCGTAAATGATATTGCTAAGGCTATTGAAAATATTAATTCCAATCTCGACATAATTAGTACCTGGAGTAAGTTATTTGGTTTGTGTATAAATCCAAGTAAGTCACAAGTAGCGGTATTTGGCAATTCAACTTATCACTAACAGTTATCTAAGATACACTTTCATCTCCTCCCTCCAATTTCATTTAATAATGTTCGTTTAGAATACAGTAGTAGTGTAAAAATCTGGGAATCATAATGGATAGCATCTTCTCTTGGACACCTCAAATTGCTCAACTTAGCCGTAAGATATACTTTGCTATTGGCACTTTAAGAAGGTGGAAAAACCTGCTGCCGGTGAAAACTAAAATTTCCTTAGCGCATTCCCTTCTGTTACCGATACTTGATTATGCCGACTCCTGCTACTTAGATCTATCTCAACAACTACTCAATAAACTCGAGCGCCTTCAAAATCTCATAATAAGATTTATTTTTGGACTAAGGAAGTATGATCACATCACACAGTATCGGACACAACTAAAATGGCTCACTGTACACAATCGACGTAACTTACACTCACTTTCTCTTCTATACACTGCCCTCTTCCATCCTAATACTCCTGCCTACCTCAAAGAACGTTTTTCATTCCTAGGTGATAGTTCCCAGCACGCTCAACAACTTCGCTTCCGCAATGAAAGGTTACTCGAAATCCCACTAAGTCATTCCAAATCTTATGGTGAGTCTTTCACCATTAAAACTGTAAGACTCTGGAATGAGCTTCCAATTGAAATAAGAATGTCGAAGTCGGTAAGCATATTTAAAAAACGTCTCAAAAGACACTATCTATCACAGTAGGGTTATTCTGTCATTAGTGCCGTACTATGTAATTTGTTTATGCATATATATTCATATATAGACATTATTTTATTATTATGTATATGTATGTTATGTATATATAATAAAAATATATATGGTAAAACTAATATTTTATATATGTAAATTTTTATGTATGTTTATTTATATTAAGTTTTAATGATTTGCACTTTATGCACCTTTCCGCTCACTATTTTCTTATATCCTTTACTATCGGTTGCCTGTAAGAGATCACTTTTAGTGATAAGGCCGCCTTTGCACATCTCTTTAATTGTATAATTAATTTTTTTTTATGTTAATGTACTATTTTCTTGTGCAATAAAGTGTTATAAAAAAATACATTAAAAAAAAATCGCATTATCGTATGACGAATTAACACATAGGCTGTTGGAGACGCTTAACATAAGGTTTTTATAGCACAATATAAAAAAATCAAAAGCTTTAAAAATAAAAAAATAAGATACAAATTTCAAAGACAAGAAATAATAAACGCTGCTCACGATTTTATCGCGAACCAATGACTAATTGACTACCTCAAGACTATTTAAACTCGCAATTACAATTAAAAATTATTGCATAAAGGTCTACTGTATCAAAAACAGAGCAAAACCTATCCAGTCTTAACAGTCGCTGTGATTTAAAACGGCCAAGAAACACGTCAAAAATACTTATTTTACTAACGAAAGGATTTTTAACATGCCAATAATTCTTTTATCAAAACCTTATGTATGAATGAACTACATAGGTAAGCATCGAGCGGTCAAGGCAAACAAGTAGGTATAATGTAACACATACCTACAATGTGAATTTGTATCTCCACGCGTGACATGCGTCATTAACTAATGCAATTTATTTCCATAACAACATCTCAATATTTAATAAAAATGGTAATTTAAAAATATGGATATAGTATGAGATAACTTTTTCTGTAAAATAACCAGATAAATTAACTTTGATGTCTTGCCAATATTATGAGTAGATAAATGTATTATTTAAAACATCTAGTCATATCTATAGTAATTACACGACTAATAATATCTATGCTAATAACAAAAATAAGGAAATAAAAACAACATACTTGTCATGTCTTTTTAGAAAAACCGCTGAACCTCGATGAAACTTACAATTACAGATATTCCGTATATAACTCACCAAATCGTATCAAGTTAGTAGGGCATAGGAGATTATGGTGAGACAGATAAGAGTAAAGTTGTTTATGAGCCAATGATTCTATGAGTTTCGATAGGATTCAAGGTGCAATATCCTCTAGTACGGGAAGAACCATATCAAGACTGATGTTGTCACTACCAATGGCTTTTGTTGAAATAGAGCGGACACACTTCTTTATATCATCTACTGAGACTGGTTTGAAGACGAATGGTGGTAGGTCAGGGGGGGCAAGATTGGATAAGAATGAAAGAGTAGCAGTTTTTATGTCAGAATTTAAAGTTATGGGTGGAGTGGTAAAATGATAATTTAAAGCATTAAGATCCACAGAACTTTGACAAGTTTCTGTGGTCTTGCCCACACCCAGTGACGATAGGAATCTCCAAACTTGCGCTTGACAGAGATCCTGAATCGTGGAATGAATATAGCGACGTTTGGCATCCCTACACATTCTGTTGCAGATGTTACGTAATTTTTTATAGGCGTCAAGGTTTTCAGTTGAAGGGTATTTTTTGTTCCTAGCTTTGGCCCTATCGCGCTTGGCCATGGTCCTCTTAATCACAGGCGATAACCATGGAGCGGGAGCATGCTTCATCCTTACTGGCCTAACCGGCGCATGCTTGTCGTACAGTTTAATCAGTTCAGCAGTTAAAGAGTCTACCATGGTATCGATGTTGTTCGCTGATAATATCGCTGACCAGTTGATGTTTTTAACATCCTCTCTCAAGCGTTCTAGATCCATATGCTTAAAATTGCGCTGAAGTATAACCTTGCCTCTAACCTTTGGAGGACGCACTTTATAAGCGAGATAAATTAAGTCGTGGTGTGAGAAAGGTGCAGTCCAAAGAGAAGTAACCACTGATTCACTGTGTACTACGGCTCACTGTACCCCCCTTTCCCCTACTCTATTTAGCACACACAAACGCACACAAAAGGCACTATTAATAACGGGAAAAACTATATAATTAATTACAAACATGTTTTTTTATTGTCTATATTCATTTACCCTAGCCTCGTTCGAGAGCGTCTCAAACAGCTTGTGTTATTTTAGGTTTATATGAAATATTAAATTTTATCGAAATCCGTCCAAACCTTTCAGCGTAAAGAAGTAACAAACATACATACACACGTACGAATGCTACACACACCCACACGCACACAAACTTTCGCATTTAAAATTTAAATAAGTATATCCGATTTAAGTATATGTACGAGTATATGTGTTTCTAAAAAAATCTTACGTTTGTAGTATCCGGCTGGTACGTCTTTGAGCATTTCATTTTAAAACTTCTAATTTACCCATGCACTTAAAAGGTATAAAGCCAATTTAAATAAAGTCTTTGTGTTGAAAAATTATAATTATTAATAGGTTTAGAGTACCTACTTGGAAGTTACTACTAACTACTTGAAACAGTATATGCCCCAAAAAATATTTTAATTATAATAAGCAACAAGATAAATGTATTTTTAAGGACCTATACACACCGCATTTTATAAACGCTCTGCATATCATGAACGTACGAGTAAGTCATCCTTATTCATCTTTTTTTTTTCAAAAACATTTTATTCGAGTACACTAAATAATTGACAATAACGTTTGATTCGTCGCTTTTTAGTTTATATATTCACAAAACAAGCAGGTCGTATAGAGCAACTTATATACATTGCATATAAATTCCCCCAGGCTGGAACCTAAATCCGTCTTTATTTTTTACTCTAACCTCCTTCCAATTTCAACTCCAGATCCAACTTTGGTACTGTTTTTTTATTACTACTTGAAAAAATTGTTGTTATCCTGTCTGATGACATGGGTTACATAAAAAATAAAGGCAGATGAAATGGAAATCATCTAATTATGGTAATGTATATAACTAAATATTTTGGTAAAAAAACACTTCAATTAACAATGTAATATTTTAATACTTAAGGATAATAACCACACGGATATTTTAATATATTATATAATTAGTTAATAAATAGAACAATATAAAATTTATCTACTCCGTATACTTAATTTTCAAACGTAACCACAGTGTCACTGCACCTTCTGAAAAAAAAGAATATATATAAAATTATATACATGTTATATATAACAGAAAATCTGAACAGTTGTGAAAGTTGCAATTTTATTGATAATAAATACTTTGCTTTTTCTATTGCTATGTAATAATATTTTTTTTATTAAATTTCAAATATTTCACTGTACTTTTATAAAAAAAAAATTGAAAAACCCCCTACGCAAATTAATTGTCATTTAACGATTACACTGGCGTGAAGCACTTAAGCGAGTAATCATACGCGAAAATGCCTTACATCATTTTGGAAAAGAGCTGATGATACTCTTACACTGCTGGACCGATATTAACCAAACATAGCTAAGAACCATCGCAAGGAAACTGGCTTTCAAATGAAAAAAAAAACACATCGAAATCGGTCCATCCGTTGGAGAGCTACGATGCCACAGACAGAAACACACACAGACAGACATCGACGTCAAACTTATAACATCCCTCTTTTTGCGTCGGGGGTTAAAAATAGACTTAAATGTATTTAACAAAAAAAAGTGTTGTCCCTAACATACCTATAATATAATTAGTACCAAAGATAACTTACCATTGTTATTTCAGGAAATAATGCGCTCAGGTTAAAGTTGGCGCGGGACGCTACGGGGATACCAGACAAGGTTCGATCACCATTCGATCCTACATTTTGTATATTTGATTGCATTAGGTGGCTATTGAAAAAGTCTGGTTGGTATTGGGAAGGCATTTGGTTACCCATGTAATTAGGGAACGCCAGTTCTTCTGACATCATATTTTGATGTTTTTTGCTTTGTGCTTTATTTTGCCAAAATATATGAGAAGTATCGTTCCATTCATCAACTTCGTTGCCTAATTTAGCTCTTTTACTTTGATATTTTTTGCTAGACTCTTTTTTAGAACATTCCAATTTATGTTTAGCAGCAGTTTCTCTTCTGGAAGTCTTGTAATTTGAGGACTCTTTTTCTTGATAAATAGCTGCATTGTTTCTTAGTTTACTGTCATACTTATGATTTGTGTAATTATTACATTCTGCACTTTGATTGTAATCAACAAAATCCGTAGGGAACGGTCCACTTGCATAGTTACTTGTCATTAAATTGCTACTTCCAGGCATAAAATTTGAGTAAAACGAATTAGATATCGTATTTGTTGTAGAATTATATAAAGTTGTTCCTGAAAATTGTTGGCTGCCATAGCTGTTATCTGTATAATCAAGGATTGGCGGAAAATGTGAAACTTGAGCTACCCCACTATCTTGAGTAATATTAAAATCGTTATATTTTTGGGGCATCATAAATTTAGTACTGCTATTGTCATGTAGCTTTTGACTACAAGTTGTACCACCCCTTATTAACGCTTCGGCTGAATAGCTGTTTTTTTGTGACTTCGAACTCTTATCAGGTTTATTAGGTTTAGCTTTTGGTTGTGAAAAATGATTTACATTTTCATATGGATGACTTACTTTAGAATCGCTAAAACCGTAACATATTTGTGAATGATTATCCAATCGTGTCTTTCTATTTCCTTCATTAAGAGCGTGAGATATATTTTGTTTAGAGGAAATAGACTTTTGTGTTTCAGCTACTACTCCATTGGGCCGTAAAGGCAAGTTTTCATTAGACCGATTCATCAATTGGGTAACTGAGAGAAAATTGCCGCAATTCTGTAAATCTGTATGTGGTAAAGTCCTATTTAGAGCTTCATTCTTTTTTTTGTCATGAGGACCTAAAGCTAAGTCTCCAACTAGTGTAGGTAAATTAATAGGAGGAGGTTCCATGCTTATTTCTGTAGTGCCCGCGGGTCTAGTTGTTGGCCATACGTGAAGCTCTTCGTGATTAGGTTGAGAAGGAAAATGGTGCATATTTATAGGGAAATAGTTGCCGTCACTTTGGATGTTCTTCTTTGTTACTTGCTCATTTTGAGAGTAAGGAGCTTTAATAGATTCTTTTAATTCAGCTTGACTTTGGTTACAGGTATTTTGCATTGGTCTTATTTCAGAAGTCATCCAATTAATATGCATTTTACTTGGAGATTTTTTTGTATATTTTTCAACTAGCTGATGAGATGGCACAGAAACTGACGATGGTTTTAGACCTACGTCTGTGGCATTTTCATTAATTTGTTTAGTTTCAAATGGTTTAGCTGCACTAGTTTTTAAATTGATGTTTGAATGCAAATGCTCCGTGGGGAAATAATTTTGTTGTTTTGAAATAAAGTTTTTAGAAACGTTACTGTTTGTGTGTATAGACGAAACGTCTTCTGACCATAAATTAGTTCCTTGATTATAAAAAGTTGTGATTTGTTCTGGAAATGCATTAGGTTTGTTCGTTGAATTCTTTTTATTTGAACTTGGTACTAAAGGTACATGAAATTCTGGATTGAAAGGATTGTAAGCGGTTGAAAATGGTGTTGATGTATTGGTTAATATATTGTCTTTATGAAATGTATTAGCACTAGTAGTGCAATTAACAAAATCAAAACCTTTATGAGACCATCCTAAATCAATATCGTATGTTAATCTAGAGTTGTTTATTTTCATAAGATTATCTTCAACATTAGTAAAATCTGTTTTATTTTTATTTGAGTAATTTTCCATCGCACATGGGTAAAGACTCAAAGTATTATATTCATGACCAGATGAGATGGTACTTGTACTATAAATACTACTTTTAACAGTATTAAATGGATCACCTTTATAAAAAATATTGTTACTAGTGGTACTGTATGTCGTCACTTGAGTTGTTACCGATTTACTAACAGAGCAGTCAAAATCTATTGTAAATGATGCGTCAGCTAAAGTACATGATGATGGTATTATGGATGGCAATGGTAAGTTCAAAAAAGGATTTTCATTTGTCACAAGACTTGAAACAGACGTCGAAATTTTAGCATCAATAGATTTGTTATTGTTATGGTATTTAGGTTGATCACTGGATTTACTAACTGGATTAATAATATTGTTTTCATTGTCTGGTTTATTAGGTTTGTTTTTATTTTGTGGTAAATTAGGCTTCTCAAAATAAGAAACTGGTTGAGTAAGTGTTTCATTTCTGTGATGAATTTCTTTGGCATGGTTAGCTTGAGGTTCTTCTGCAGGACTGTCTGCTCTATTTCCACTGACCAGAGGAAAAGACATTAAAAAGGCTGCAGTAGGCGAAGCAGCTAAAAATTCCTCTGCCAATTCTAATCTTGCATTGCCACCGTCAACAACGTTTTCACAAATTGAAGGATCTAAAATATTTTGTATTTTACTATCTTTGTTTTTGTAATCTTGTATTGGTTTATCTGGTGGAATTTTATCTGGTGTTGCGTCCATACTATTTGTAATAGTTATAGGCTTTTCAACTGTCACTGGTATTTGTGGTGTAGGCTCTGGAATTTTTTTCATTTCTTTTACTGTGGATGATTCAGAGCATTTTGGAATATTTATCATTTTGTCTGTTACGTGAATCTCCTCAGTTAGACTGTTCTCAATTTTATTCTCAGGTTCTACATCTACATTGTTAACTGTAAGATCAGGTTTTGAGGATAATTCTTTTTTATCACTATCTTCTGTTACTGTTTTTTCAACACGCGCTTTAGAAGTTTTGTCCGTCTCTATATTTCCTGCTTGGGTATCTGGAGTAACTTCCCTTTCTTGATCTGTAATTTTATTTTCATCTGACTTTGTCTCTATTTGTTTATTAGTTTTTGATTTATTTGAATCTACCTTTTTATTTATCTGATTGACTCTCTTTGCTCCTCTTTTGGTTACACTAGTTCGCGGCTTAGCAGTATTTCTTTTGTTTTTTTCTGATAAAGAATGTGAGTAAGCTGATATAGGTAGTACATTAACCATTGTTGTTTTAGTAATATCGTTTGTGTTTCGATTTACAATAGGTATAGTAGTAGATTTGTTCAGAGGTTGCAAGTTTGTATCAACCAAGACAAAAGTAGGAGGTTGAGGAAATATTACTGGCCTTTGTGGAAAAATATATGGAGTAGCTGGGAGCATGACGATGGTATTCTCTGAAAAATATTCATCAAAATTATAGCATACTGAAATCAATAAAAGTGCTATAGCACATTGAAATCTAGTAATACTTTAATCAAAGTACATACCTTTTTTCATATGGGACAATGGTAATAACTTTGGAAGTTTTGGTGGAAATTTGTTTACTATATTGCTATTTTTTTTCTTTTTCTCAGAGATTTTATTGATTTCCTTTTCTTTTACATTTTTCTGTTTAGATTTTTGTAGCATCAGTAATTTAACATATTTACTATCTGTAACAATAACATTACATTACAAAATATATCAGTACATATTTATTTCAAGTGTAGACAGTAGTTATTGAAAGTTTTATATATTACCTTCCAACAAAGATAAATAAATGAAATAAAAATAAGAATGGGTTGGCAAGCTTTACTTTTGTGTTATGTCTTTCGAAAACTTGCTAGGTTCTCTTAGACATGCAGGTTTCTTCTTGATGTTATTCTTCAATGCGATCGGTGCGGTAATCGTGGTTAAAATGATTCATACATATAAAAAAATATGGTCAGAGCAGGGTCATTTGTAAAGAGTACATTATAGAGTAGTTTTTGGATGAAGATGAACAAAATGAACGTTATCAACAACATCATAATTATGGGTAGGTATAATAGCACAGATAACGTATCTACATCTATACACATTGTAGTAAAACTGTTACGTGGCTGTGTGACAAAATAAAATATAAAACTTTCTTAGATGTATACTAATATTTGACATCCTACTAATATTATAAACGCGAAAGTTTGTAAGAATGTATGTTATGTTACTCTTTCATGAAAAAATTACTGAATGGATTTTGATGAAACTTTGCTGTAATATTGCTCATACATCAGAATAACACCTAGGTTATTTTTTGGTATGGTATGGTATGTTCGGGCTGTTTTCCGCAACTCGACGACTATGCGCCTATTTTGCGTGTTAGGTTATTTTTTATCCCGGGAAAAAGTACGGTTCCCTTGGGATAGATTTGTCCTTGTTTTTCTAGAGACGAACCCGAGCGAGGGTGAGCCGCTAGTTTTAAATAAAACTATAACTGGTAGAGACTCCATGGTCTCTACCGCGAGCATGATTGCTGTTAAGCGTTTGAAACGTCGGGAACCAAAAATCAAAATAAATCTCCAAAAAATCCCAAAAGATAGTTTTATTTAAAATTATATATAGTTACACGCGACCAAGTGCTGTTGATCAAACTGAGTGACTACTTTTTGTATGTTAAGATTGATATTGGTTAGACACCAGACATAGTTTAGGTTAATTTGAAATTTGGAGAGGACTTCAGTTAGTATGTTACAAAAGCCACATTCTACCTACAGTCATTTCTGTTTGGGCTGAGTAGGTCTCTGGCTACAAGTAGCCAATAAAATTGGAATTCTATCATGTGCCATGAATTGATCAAAAACGAAAAAACAACTAAAAAATACAAATGCAAATAGGCATGCCAATGCAATGCCCTCCATGAATATTAACTACTCATTTATTATAGTAATGCAGATTTTTTTGAATCATTAGTTCATTTTACCCATGGACGAATTAGAGACTGGACCTGACATAAAATACAAATGTATGAAAACTAGTTCAACCAAGTGACGCATAACGCACACAAAGATTTTATTACATTATTATAAACACTGATACACAATACAATATTTCTAGTGCTTGAACGTAATCGATAAAATACATATATCGATGAACCAATGAATGACATTTTAGACATTGGTTAGCATAGTCATCATATTTTACATCTTTTAATTTAAAATATCTGTATTTATTATAATAAATTAAAATAAATGAATTAAAGAGGCAATAATAATGTGTTAAATAATAATTATTTTTTAATTAGATTTATATAAATACGATGGCATTGATGGCAACATTCTGTTGGCCTATAATAATGTTAATAAACAAATGAATATCGGGTGTATATTCCATTAATATATAATAAATATTATTTTGTAAAGATTAAAAAAATAATAAGGTAATTTAATTAAATAAAGTGATATTGTTGATTCTGTTATTGAACTTTTTTAATTGGCAATTGATTGTCTTGGGTAGTTATAAAAATGTGACTCTGTCCTAATATTGCTCAGTTATTAATAAACATTTGTGAAATTAGGAAAAAGAAAAAGTGATTGCAAATTGTGAAAAAGTGAGTGTTGGATCGTGAAAGTAAAATAACTAGTGCAAGTGGTAAAGTGTTTTATTACAAATCACCAACCCAGAAGTTTAGCGCTAAAACATTATTGTTTGATTTTGTGTAATTTATGTGTTGAAATAAAATGATCTTCATTATTATTACAATGGAATAATATTCCAAAGTATATAAATGTGGTATAAAATAAAATATAAAAATTAAGTACACATACTAATTATAATTTTTGTATTTATATTCTTATTTGATTTAGAAAATATTTTTATAAATTTATTGTCATCAGATTGTAGGATACTGTGATAAGAGTATTTTATGTTATTGTACTGTATAAATAACACAATTCGTTCAGTTATTTTGTCAAATATCGATATATTTTTCGACATTGTCAAGCACTAGTCGATGTCAAATGGACTCACTCGACAGTTTTGTCATTTGTTCTGAATGGTATAATCCAACCCGTTTATGATGGTTGTCACATGTCAACAATACATAGAAATATCGACTATATTTAATATAGTTGGATAATATGACATTTCATTTTACATTTAATTAAATTTTGTGATAAATAACAATAAATGTAATAAAATCATGTATTTACAAGTGAAAAGAAATAGTGCTGCTTCCGCCGTTATAGTTTTTACACCATTTAACAGAACATTGAGTCATTTTTGGGAGATGTTTTGTTGATAAGTAAGTGCTTGAGACTGACACAAAAAACAAACGACCTAGGCTAAAATTCCCTGGTTACTGACATGACCGTTAAAGGTATGTCCGCTTATATGTCTGGTCCAGTGGTTAATTCGTTCATGATTTTACCAAAATGAATTGATCATTCAAAACTTACATAAAAAATGGAAATTTGATATTTGTTATATAATTTTAATATTCCATTTTTTCATGCTCAGGATTTTTTAAATCACTATTTATGAAGATTTATTTGAAGTTATTTTCTTTTTACTTGATGAAATCATATCATGTTTACATTAAATGTTTTCAAAATAAACATTACATATATTAAAATAACTTTATTTTTGTCTGCCTGTCTTTATTAACTTAGCTGTGCAGGTTTATGTCTCTATTCACTGTTGTGAAGAAAAATTGATTAGGGGTGACACAACAATAACCTCTCAGCGACTGCCAAACCACAGGTGGCTCGGTTATTAACAATTGATTTCTTAGAAATTAACCGCGAGGTGTAAATGTTTAATTGCAAGTGTTTTTGCTAATGAGTCAATGGAATCAGTGATATTTAAAAAGAAAATAATTTATAAAAATTAACTTAAAGGCCACTTTCTACTAGTGCACTTTTCAAGCAAGCTATGTCGATCACTAAACCAAGTAAGCTAAGTTTTTTTATACTGATAAAAGATTTTCTTTCTGCAAGATTACAATATTGATTATACTACTATGGATTAAACATTTTTTGAAATAATCCAAAACCTTTATTATGAAATAACAACTATCAATTATGTTTATAATTGTAATAAAGTTGTTTTATATGATTTGTTCTTAATACAGCCTCAAAATATAAACACTTACTTTGACTGTTTTTATTTACACCAATTGCAACTTGTAATGAGACATCCCGTCTATCAGGCTTCTTTTTTTCCACACCTTCCAATTTTATCTCTAAAGCCAGTATCTCTGCTTCTGTAAGTTAAATAAAAGGTTCTCTTTTAAGTGAATATTATTTTAGAGTTTTAAATAATAAAAATTTGAAAATTTTTGCTTAAAGTTTCCAGAAGCAACATAGTACTTACTAAGTTGAGTTTTTTCTTGAACAAAATTAGTTAAACAAATGATTGCTTTTTGCACAATCTCAATTTTTGGATATTGAACATTATCTACATCTTCACTTGAAGCACTATTGGTTTTATTTATGGATTTAACAAGTTCTCCTAATTTAGATATAGCATCATTAAATTTCATTCTTCTTTGACGTTCCCATTCTCTACAGCGACTGTAATTTTGAAGTGTGATATTTAAGTATACTGTTGTTAATAACTTAATACTTTAAGTGTATTTTTTATGAAACTGCGACATTTATAAGTAAATAAGCAAAATAAGTAAAGTTTAAGAAAACAAAAATTTAATTAGATTACATGAATCGAACAACATTTTTATTTACACTTTTTATCCCGGAAAAATATACGGTTCCCGAGGGATAGATTTGTTTTTGTTTTTCTAGAGGCGAATCCGAGAGAAGCGAGGATGAGCCCCTAGTTATGTTATATTAAGATAAATAATTAATCTTTGCCTTGGAGTTCGATGTTTATTCGCCGATGATTGGTCCATTTTCAATAATAATTATGAGAATATTGTAGTTCAATAAATGTGTAAGAAATTAAAATATCACCATAAAAATCCTGCTTTTTTTGAACAATATTTTGAACAATTTTATTTGACATTTGGCAAATCAGCGGATAATATTTATTTAACATTGACACTTGACAGTGTTACTAGAGTAATATTTAAAAAGTGATAATAATTAAGGAACTCGTAAATTTTGTCACTAGAAATAAAAATGGGGAAGAATTTTGCCTTTTTCTTCCGCCAGATGTCATGATCACTATATCCCTCAGTATATTGTAAAGCTCTTTAGCGTGGATGGATATTTTTTGTGCAAAGAAAATGGATATCGTTTGTTCCCAAAAAACAAAAACTGAAGAAATTGTGAGCGAATAAGACGACCAAAATTGGCGAAATTACAATCATTTTGAAGTAACTTTAAAACTCTTAAATCGTCTACAGGTGAATATATTTTAAGTGGAAACTTCTATAGACAGGTTTGGACGGGGACGGGGATTTATCGGATACCTACATTATGTAAGTCGTCATCGACATGGCCACGTCGTCAGGTGGCGTCGTTAACGCTAACACTCAGAGTGCCGATAGATATCAAAACCAGATAAATGTATGTAAACAGTTTTAATTTACAAATTTTAATTTAAGATCAAACGATTTATTTATTTGAATATTCAAAAATAATAACTGTTTGTTATTATTACCCCCTTTTACCCCTATAAAGAATGAATTTCGAAAAAAATCAAATGTATGTCTTATTTTTTATCAAGTTAAGCACTACTTTCTGTGTATTTCACATTAAGAATGACAAAGTTACATACAATCTTTAATCCCCTTTTTACCCACTTAGAGGATGAATTTCAAAAAATCCTTTTTTATCGGATGGATGCCTACATCATATAAAGAAGATGTCCTCCAAATTTAACAATTTCTATGACTAGCGGCTTAGGCTGTGTGTTGATCCATTAGTAAGTCAGGACTGCATGATGCACTTCTCTTTCTCAATTGTTCCTTCAGCTGGTTTAATTTCCAGGTACAACACATTGCACAAGTGAGATGCGAACACAATAGAAACAAAACACCAGGTATAAAAGAGATATCACTATAAATTTTTAACCTCAGACTGAATGTAAATAGGCGATACGTGTGGCGTCCTCCTTTCGAGAAATCTTCCCCAGTACAATGGCGTGTCTTATTCTCATATATGTATAATCAGCACTCTATTGTACAATATACTTATTGTCTTATATATAAAGTATACACATATCATATGTATTTTAATTTTTGAATAAAAGACCTACATTTTATCTTTTACGAATAACGATAGAGTCGTAAACGGTAAAGCACAACACTAATGTTATTTTTGTGATTCATTTTCTCAATCATTAGCGAACGTCATTCAATTGTAGACAATTAACGCGATTTGCTTGTAATTTCCATAATTGTGGGTTTTGTTTTACTCACCATTACCTGAATTTAAAAAAAGTTGTATCCTTCCTCGCTTGAATTAAAATAAAACGATCTAAGGCTTATCCAATTATAACTAACAAGTGGAAAATAGTAATTAGATCCCTTTATAAGCTTGTGCAATATTAAGGCGTTGTTACAATGTCGCTCTATCCGTCGTTAGAAGATATGAAGGTGGATAACATGGTACGGGCCCAAATGGCCCAACACCAAGCACAACCTTCTCACAACCAATCTTACCAGCCACCAACTCCAGCATTTCCTAGTGCACCTATGCAGGTATATCCTGCTCTTGGTGAATATATGGGGCTAGAACTGTCACCAGATGTTATAGCTATTAACATGCCAGAATATCAAATCCAAACAGTAAGTTTATCAAGTTTTTTTTCATTTTTTTTCAACATTTTGTTTCCTTCAATTTTATTAGTTTTTGATATAATTATAGGAATAATAAAAATTAAAAACTATTTTTCCCAGGTACATCCAACAGGAGCAATATCTACAATGATAGCTCCCCTTTCTTCTCAGTCACCCAGTATTTTGAAAGCCACTGTTACTCAAGGAATCAGACAAGTGATACTCTGTAAAGATAAGGATGGAAGATGTGGTTTAAGGCTTCACTCTGTCAACAATGGTGTCTTTGTTTGTTATGTTGCAGCTGGTAGTCCTGCAGCACTTGCAGGATTAAGATTTGGGGATCAAATCTTAGAGATAAATGATGTGGCTTTGGCTGGTATGTCAATGGATCAGAGCCACACTCTTTTGAAAAAGGCACCAAATAATGGTATCCGGATGGCTGTTCGTGATAGGTGATTATTTTTTTAAATTATTTATTTCGTATAAATGATAAAAAAAAGCAAATTTGTAAAATTTTGTAAGTAGAAGAAGTAATTGCCTTTAAAAGTATTGAATTTATTAAAATTAAGATTTCTTACTGTATGGTTGGTAAGAATGTGATATATAAATGTATATTTGTAGTATTACATTTACAAATGTAATAAAAACAAAGTGTCTTGGTTCTTCCATTATATTGTTTATTTGCATTCCACATTCTTTTATAATTAATGCTTTAAGATATTATTGTTTTATCATTTTAGGCCTTTTGAAAGAACTGTTACTTTACACAAGGACTCTCTTGGCCATGTTGGTTTTCAATTTAAAGATGGAAAAATTGTGGGACTTGTCAAGGATTCTTCTGCTGCACGTAATGGCCTCCTCACAGATCATCAGTTGCTCGAAATAAATACTATTAATGTTGTTGGTATGAAAGATAAGGACATATCAAAGGTTATTGATGCAAGTCCGTCAGTAGTAAATATAACTATAATTCCGTATTACATCTACCAGCATATGATAAGCAAGTAAGTTAACTGTTCATAACATAAATCATGTACATAGTTCATTACATATTACATTAAAACTAGCATTGCTCGCCACTCCACCCACGTTCAGATGACCAAAAAGCAAATTCTTAGGTTTTACATATAAGTATATTCTTATAATGCAGTTTTTGTATTTTTTCTCAGAAATGAGATATTTTTCCATGGTAAAAAGTATCCTATATGTTGACCCGGATAACCAGCTATCACCATACCAAATTTCATCAAAATCCCTCCAGTGGTTTTTCTGTGATGCTTTAACAGACAGATAAAAATTCTAAAAACTATAGATTCGGCTTCTGTATCGATAATAATGTTTATATCAATAAGATTGTCCAAAAAATATTTAATGTACAGATTCGGCTTAGTTACAATTTTATTATATGATCACCAAAAAATAATATTTATAAGCCTTATTCAGTAATAATCTTAACTTTCCTATTCATTATATTTTTTTAAATAAAGAAAGTTCAGAAAAATAAGATGCAAATAAAGGGATTCTTTTATATTTAATAGATACATTATTTTCTTAATTTTCATTTAATCTTTGAATATTTTGTTTCAGAATGTCAAATTCTTTGTTTAAAGATTTGGATCGTACCCCAGCTGTGTAAAGATGTCAAAAAGGAGCGTTTCTTTTAGCTTTTTATATTACCTGCACATATATAAAATTAAAAATATTATGTCCACTAATTTTCATGTTTATAAAATGTTTCCTCATAGGTAGGTTTTTCCTATGATTAAAAACATGTTATTTTGGTCCATATATTCAGTGAGTCATAAAATATGATGTGTCATAGATAATTCAGTTTATCATTATAATTATTGGATATTAAATAAGACCTTTTTCCAATATGCTTTTGCTTAATTTGCAAATTTATATTCTGATAGGTTTTATTTACATTTTCAATAAAAATTCAATAAATTAAAAAAAAATTTTTTTACCACATATACTTTACTAGCACAATATACTTTTTTTTGTAAAATTAAAAGTAGCACACACATGTTTTTCTATATAATATTTCTACACTATGCAATATTATAAGTAATCTCCATAGATCAAAATTAGTGATCGAAGGTAATCAATCTTACATTTTATAATTAGTCTTTTAGTCAGTAAGGGCTGTGATTGATGATTGAGAACATTTCAGACAACTGATATAATATACAGAATTGCGAAACATAATATTGGTTCAGTTTTTTTTAAATTAATAATAATATTATTGTTATTATTATTATATAATAATCATAATATTATTATAATAATTATATTAATAATTTATAATATTGGCAGTTTCTTATAAATGACATTTTATATTTTGTGCCTTATACCTATGCTTCTTACTTCATAAAATTCATTTAAGTTCAATATATAACTGTGTACCTATATGTTACTATAAAATATGACATATATAGTTTAGAAAGTATAATTTTCGTTACATTGTTACAGTGCTATTATTGTGCAAATATTTTTTACTAATGAATTTTTCAGGTGCTTCAACATATAACATAATTTGTATTGATTTGTTTAATATTTTATTCTTATTTATCTCGTTTTGTTATTAGTACCTCTATTTACATTCCTTCAGGCATATTATCTTGGTTATAATTAACTTGGTTATAATATACTAGTTGAAATAATTTGATTGCTCTTGTTTCAGTATGTTTCTGTAATGAGTTTTTTTTCATAAATTGAGTATTGAGTAGTAATTTATCACAAAATTATTGTCTCCTAAATGAGTGTGTTTTTGTTGAATGAATGCAGTAATACTCTTAGTGGAAGAACTTAAAAAATATACATCTATACAATTTTTTTATTATTTTTAATTAAAAAAAAAGTTTTGTAAAATTTTTATTTGTTAAAAAAGGTGCCATTTATTATATAATTTTTTCAATAGTATTTAGCAATTCATACAATGAATCCTAGTAATACTGTATTAAAGTGCTAATTTTGAAATAAAAATAATATAATAAAATAGAGAATACAATTATTATAAAATTATTATCATTTTTTTTAAGATTTTATATAATATCTCCATATATTATAATAGCTCCATATGCTATCATACTTTAAATATTTATGTAAAGAGAGGTATGTACGTATATGTAGTATGTAGGTACTGTGAGAAAGATCAATGTGTATAATTTCTTAATAGTTGTTTTTCTCTTAAACGTGATTTCTTCCTACGAATTTCATTAATAATTTTTCACATTTTTTAATTTTAAATATTATTTGACTATTGAAATGTAAGTTTGACCGATTTTATTAGTTATATTTTCTATGTAAGCATTTATCTTTTCATATTGGTAGTATTAGTATTGATAAGATTTTATATTGATGGAAAATAAATAAATATATTACACTTAATAGTATTTTTACTTTTTATATATTTTGTTTAAAAAATGTCTTCTGAACTCGAACATCGATATTTAGATATTAATAAATCATAAGAATATTATAATAACAACTTATTTAACATAATTTTGAACTAACGGCAAGAGCACAATAATTATATTTTTTCTAAAAACTTATTTATAAAATTTTATTAAGTCAAATGGATTTTGGAAAGTCCAATTTGGTTTTAAAACTACTTGTGGACACGACCAAGATTTTGGTATAAAAAAGCTGTCATTATCCGATGGAGGACAATTTTTTCGTGCAAAATATTCCATTGGGTAAAGGCTCCACAGAAGACCTGTAACAATTATACTTATATTAAACAAACTTCCGTTTCATGTTAAAAATAACAGATAATCTGTATTTACAGGGATTTAATTAACTTTCTTCATTCATATGTTTGTGCAGACCGAAAACTTTTTCCGATTCGAAATATGTTAATGTGTTAATTGTATTTTAATAAGAATTTCCTTAAATTATCTTTACCTCTTTTTAACCTTTTTTACCTCTTTAAAGGCAGTGGTAGCCCAGTGGTAACGCACTCGCTTGGGAAACCGAGTGATGCGGGTTCAAATCCCGGGTCTCGCACTCTGATATGTTCATGTGCGAATCATTTCTGGCATGATTACCACTTGCCTTACGGTGAAGGAAAACATCGTGAGGAAACCTGCATGTCTGAGGGAACTTAGCAAGTTTTCGAAAGATATGTGAAGTCCGCCAACCCGCACTTGGCCAGCGTGGTGGACTATGGCCTGATCCCTCTCGTATATTGAAGCCCGTGCCCAGCAGTGGGACGTTAAAAAGGGCTGATTACAATCTTTACCTCAAAAATTAAAATATCTCGGAAACTTATATATCGGCAGTATAGTGCACTAATGAATAATAAATAATAAATAATAATACCATCTTACTGCATTATACTGCTGATATTTTTTAAATCTTTATTCATACATGTCACTTTCATTGTACGACGCTACTTGAGAGAAGATTAAAATTAATAAATAGATTTGCAAATATTATTGAAAATTACTCAATAAATACGTGATTAAAATTTCAGATTGCCAAAAGTATGTTTTTTAGAATAAAAAAAAATGAGTCTTTGGAGAGGTCTGGCAATACTTTATAACCGGCAAAAACGTCTGGGGTTCTTTTTTTGAATTATATGAAAGCTAAATTAAAGGGTTAAACAAAAATCAAGTTGCCAAAAATATGTTTTTTTGGATATTTTTTTTGCAAATGTTGTATACTGCGCAGTAGCGAAATAACCGCTAAAGCTATACCAGACTCGCGGGACTGGACTCGCCAATTCACGAAATTATATTTTTTCACAACTTCAACTTGCCAAAAGGACCTTCCCAAAATTCGTCGCCAGCTCTCGGAATAAAATTGCAGCGAGTGTTTAATGCCAGCTTCTAAAGAAAAAATTCCGAACCTCTATGTAATATCGTACACCTAGATCTAAAAAGAGCTAATTCAATAATCTCATCTTTTTAGTTACGCATACCATCGGATTCCTTAACTTACTAGCTAGTAGAGCTGTAGCAAACCGTATGTATTCGTTACTGAGTAACGGGTACGCCATCTAGTACCGAGTACCGAAACGTTACTCACGAATGCATTTCGTTACTCGCATTTTCCGTACATATTTTCGTACTAATGTTTTTATTGATTTTTAGCAAAATACAACTTTCAGTTAATACTTAATACCATTGATGAGTAAATTAGAGAGTTTATTTATTTATTTCGAGTTGCATGATTTCCAGATCTTAGAAATTTTGTTTAGAAACAATTTTCAATTAGAAACAACCATTATATTTAGAACACATTTTTAGTTTTTTATCCAACAAATACTTATATTTTTACTAAATGATTATGTCAAATGAAATCAAAATATACTTTATTCAAATAAACTTTTACAAGCTCTTTTGAATCGTCAATTTTACATTTTAAATTAAAATTAAATGTTAGTCCGTTAGGAACTACCGCCGGCTCGGAATAAAGTTTTCTGCTGAGAAGAACCGGCGAGAAACTCAACAACGGCTCTTTTAAAATAATAATTGTACACAATATTGTAATACAATAATTATCTTTTTATCCTACGTGAGACATGATCATGTGATTATGTGTAATACATACAGATTATGATTTGATAAATCATTCGCGCAATTGATTTTAAATAAAATATGCATTACGACGTCACACTAACGTGATAGATGCCGTTACTTATTCATTTTTAAATTACCTATTTTTATATTTATTATTTAATTTCAAAAATTATTAATAAAAAAATATTGTTAGTAAAGTTTTTAAAAATTATATAGATTTATAAATAATCAAAATTTACGGGTTCTGGATATCAAGTAACTCTCCAATTGAAATGGTTTGTTGATCGTGCATTATTCCACAGAAAACAACGCGACGTCAACGATATACGGTATAACGTATAATTTATACCGTACGCAATACATACGCAACACGACTCGATACGATGCTCTACGAGTATGTTATCGGGTATCAAAAGTAACGAGTAACGATTCAAAAGTAACGAGTACTGATGCTATAGTAACGAATGCATACGGGTACGCTATATGTCGTTACTTTTACACCTTGACTAGCTAGCGACCAATAAAACAGATACAAAAATAGTTATATTTGTCAATGATAGGTGACACTAAAACCCCTTTTTGTTGTATTTTAAAAAAACCCGATTCTCCTCCACCAAAACAGGAACATAGCTAGTTACTGTCAGTATTACACGCGAAATGCATGGGCCTGTCGTAAACAAACTAGAGTTATTTTGAGTTAATTCTGTATTGTTGAGGTAAACCAGAAAATTTTAAAAACATTATTAAACTTGTCGCCATTTTGATGGTTAGTGCTAAGTAAAAGCAACATTTTGACTTGAACCAGTGTTCATAGGAAAGTGAGTAAAGTTGTCGTTTTTATTTAGTATTGTTGTTGTGTTGAAACATTTTTAAATTTTTAGTTGAGTCTTTTTTGTTGAGTCACTTTTTAAACTCTTATATTTCTCTAAAACCCAATTTAAAATTAACTTTTCTGCTAGTGGTGATTGCAGTCTTTTCATCTTAATATTATTTTGTTTTTATCCCAGTCATTACAAAGCTTGTTGTGTTTTAATAAACATTTTTCAAGTTAGAGCTTTTTAGATGGGCTACGCTATATCAAATTTCACTATATCGAAGTTCATCAGTTCGCAGACGTAATTGGGTTCATCAAATCGATGTGGTGTAACGGATCAGATTTATTTGTTTAATTTCACTTTTTTTTAGAAAAATAATGGATCGTGGACCATTTTAAGTAAATATGGCAAGGGACACAAAATATCGGCCCTAGCTTACTGACTCAATATGAAAATATGCAACGAGATACTAGACCTTTATAACAAGAGCTTGAACCAATAATACAGAAGAAGACGGTACTAGAAAATAAGCAACAGCAAGAAGACTACATAAAGATACCATCAAGCATATCCGTGGCTGATAAATCTAATCCGAGCACATTTAAACAACTGAAATGACAACCGATCCGAAGTGACGAAAGCGAAATTGACAACTCAGATCTCAATTTCGGATTTGTTCATTAAAAAAGACATCATCTAAAGTCGTTCTTACTAGTTATCGTTGTCTTCGTCCAGCACCAATAGTAGCAGCTCTTATCAAGTTCTGGTAGTTCGTCGGATACCAAAGATGATAGTGCGCATGTACAACTCGACTCTCAGAATGCAATGGGCTTAAATAAAACTATCTTTTCGGTTTTTTCCCGAATTTATTTCGATTATTGGTTCCCGACGTTTCGAATGCTTTATAGCAATCATGGTCACGAGAGAGACTCGGACTCTTAGATTTAGATTAGAAGATAGTTTTATTTAAAATGTCAAATATTCGCGTAAGTCTAAAAAAGTATTAATGCAATGGTTGCTGAAAAAAATTCCTAACAGCCCGTGATAGAACAAAAAAAGGACAAAAAAAGAGTACGTAAACCAGAAATGTGTAAAAATAAGTGTCAGAGAAAAATGTCGGCTACAATGTAAAGTAAATTAGGTGGATGAACTATCAAGGCTTTTTGATGCATTTTAGGGAATTCGCAAATCTTGAAAAGCAGAGAGAATTCGTAGTACCTACGACACTCGATTTTTTTTAAGTTATATTTTTAACTAAAAAAAATATCTGATTGAATACTTAATTCAGTGTTTTCTTCCTAATTCCTAACAATCAGCCAATCTACCCCTACTTTTGGTCTCAGACCCTCTATTAGTCAGGTTATTATAAATACATTCAAAATGCTGTCCCTTTTAAATTTATAATGACTCTTCAAAATAGAGACAACTAAACACTAAATATCACCAACACAGGTTTTACTACAAATAACAAAAAATAAACTTACAATTTGTTAAGCAATACAGAAACAACTACAAAAATCCAATTTTTAGGCATAATATAGAACTGAAACACAAGATTCCTAGAACATCTTTCAACTATTTTAATTTAAAAAACATTGATCAATACAGAAAACTTCTGGAGTGCACAAGGATTTGGTAATCAGTTTTTCACGTTTTCTGAAAAAAGTGTTTTTTTGAGTTAATCGCTGTTTAGATCTAGGTGTGCGATATTTACTTATATATTCTTAGATTACTAAACTGGATTTAGATAGGAGCTGCAATATTTTTATGGACTTTGGCATTAGCAACCCGCCGCATCTAGTAATATTTTACCAATGCTAAGGATGCTAAGGATCACAAGCTGTAAATATTACATTGATGTAGATATTGCTTATATGAGAATTATGGAAACTATTTTTACCCGACTGCCAAGGAAGGGTTATGTTTTTCGCACATATCTTGTATGTATGTTTGTACATATCTTTATTAAGTCGTATCTTCCAAACGGCTTATTGGATTGCGACAGTTAAGGATAGTTAGATTCGTCTTAAAAACTTGGTGTCATTAGATAGGTGTTTAAAAAAAAGAGGATTTTCGGCGCCAATTTTTGCGTCTTCAAAACATTTTTTTCGCCCCAGTAAATTGAGTGGTGTATCATAGTATTATCTATAGTATTATATGATCTGTGGTATTATATAGTTGGAGACCTAGAGTTAGATACCTACATATGTACAATGGTACATGTTTTCTAATAGCTGCGTGTGTATGTATAATAGTATATGTATGTCTCCAACTGCATAATACTATGTTACTTCGTCAACTTGTTCTCATCTTTTTAGTTCGCTTTGACTTAACAAATTTCATTTTCAACGCTTGTTATTGTTATGTTTGTCACCTTAGGGTAGGATACTTTAGTTTCACCATATTGCTGATACTTTTACATTTACTTAAGTGTCTTCTATCTATATATTTGCCAAAAAGAAATGCTATCCCCTTTGTCAGGTTTTGTTAGTACCTGCCTTTAATTGCTCAGCTTTTTAGTTTATTATAGACCTCCATAATTATTATAATATGCATAAGTACTAAGTATATAACATATTTCAGACCAAAAGTTAAAACCTTGTACTAGACTTTCCAAGCTCTACACTTGCATTGCGTTCGATTCTTCAATGAGACCGCATTTCTTAAATAATATAAATATTGTCATTGTGGTTAGTATGGGAAAGTGGGGTAAAACCGGGACGCTCAGTGAAAAATTATAAAAAAAAATATTTCAATAATTATAAATTAACTTTATTAGACTTCGTTTACTTTGACTTTTTAATTACATATTTGGCCAACAAGATCACTGTTTTCATTATTGTAAGTAATAAAAAAATGATCACTTTCAAAAGTTAACTTTTTACGGTTTTGGACCAGGTATGCGCACTCACTTTTCAACCGACTTCAAAAAGGAGGAGGTTCTCAATTCGAGTGTATTTTTTTTATGTTTGTTACTCAGAACTCCGTCATTTATTAACCGATTTGGACAATTTTTGTGTTGTTTGAAAGTGTATACTTCCAGATTGGTACCATTTAAATTTAAAAAAAAAACCACTCCTAAGAGTGGAAAAATAGCTAATGATGAATTTAACCTACTTCTAATTGTCATATTGACTTGAAACTTTGCAAGTGTTTCTATTTTCGATGATAGTACAGTGGTTCGGTATTGTTGACCTGATCTGATGGTAAGGCCAGAAGGTGGATCGGTGGAACTCTTCAACGGCTAAAAGTAGATACTTTGAGTTTGGGATTATTTTGTTTGATTTGACAAGCCTAACACGTTAGAATTCTTACTTTGCTACTACTGTCTACACTAAAAAGGGAAAAATAAAAACTTAAAAAAAAAAAACCAGTCAGCCAGTCGATACTAAGCAAAGCACCGACTTCGAAATTATTTGATTAGGTATGTATAGTAAATGAAAACTACCAATCAGTTATTTGTTACATTTTAGTGCTTTTGCTTGAAGTCGGTTTTTATTTTTTTGTTAAAAAGTTTTTATTATACCCGACTTTGCCTCTTAACAACCGAAGTAATGGATCTCATCCAGTTCATCTCGGTCCCTACCAGCATAGCCGTTATGGATCCATCCCTTACACTTAAGACATTACACTCGATCATCACTTAATCTTCTGAAACATTCTTCTTTTTGAAAATTTTTAAACGTTATCCACATTTTCTGTCTTTTACTTTTTAAATGGTATTTCTCATAATTTCTTCACTCTAGGATTGTCGGTTCGTCGTTCTTTTATAATTTCGAGGCATTTTGTTATGAACTGTAACAATTTAAGATACAATATAACATTAAATAAGAAAAAGAATGATAGTGGTACAAAACGGTACCACCCGATATTATCCCGTACGGCTTTGACTTACTTGACTTATGTTCCTATGTCCCCTAGGTGAGGCAGAGGGCGTCCACAGTGCATCGCCATCCCGTTCGGTCTTGAGCTACGCGTTTCATTTCGCTCCAGGTTTTCCCGCCTTCGCTTCGCCAATGACTGTCCGCCGCCAGGTCTGTTTAGGACGGCCGCGTATGCGTTTTCCTTGGGGATTCCAGTCTAGGGCTTGCCTCGGTATATGGTTTAGATCCCTTCGGAGAGTGTGACCTATTCAGCGCCATTTACGGCGTTTGATCTGCTGAGTAATCGGGACTTCATTGCAGTGTTCCCAAAGTTGCTCGTTGGAAATTTTGACGGGCCAGTAAATACCGAGAATTTTGCGAAGGCATCGGTTCACGAAGACTTGGAGTTGCTGCAAGATGTTCTTAGTGACCTTCCACGTCTCACACCCGTATAACAGTACGGTCTTGACGTTGGACCGGAAGATTTTGAGCTTGATTCTCCGAGTCAATTTCCGTGATTGCCATACGGGCCGAAGTTGTGCGAAGGTTGCTCGTGCTTTGGCAATTCTCGAAGTGATGTCTTCTTCGGTTCCTCCTGTTTCTGACACGCAACTCCCGAGGTATGTGAATTTGTGGACGCGTTCCACTACCTCTGTGCCGATGACCAACGGGCATGTACTCGTTGCTCTGCACCTCATCTCCTGGGTCTTCCTTGCATTAATTTTGTGCCCTGTATTTGCTGCCTCTTTTCGTAGGTCGTCCAATTTTGTCTGCATGCCGTACGGCTTTACCCTACCCAAATTTCCCAATTAAGTAACTTAAAAACATGTCGCAATAAAGATTCAACTAAATGTTCGTTTAACATTAATACACACTTAATCTTTTTTTAACAAAAACAAATTCCACTTACCTTGACATACGAGATTGTAGAACACCTTTGAAATCATTCTAATATTATATCACACCATCGTAAAAACTGTTTTCTGAAATATTTTTAACGGGCACGAACGCACATCATCTAACTTTTGTTGATAAACTATTCAAGATGACTAACTGTAAGGAACGAAGCGCGAGAAAATTTGAAACAAATGTGTTTCTAATGAGAAAGCCATAGTGCGGTGTCCCGGTTTTACCTTTTACCCCCATACCCACCCGGTTTTGGACTAATCTCCCCTAATAGTGGGAAGTGAAGATAGAGAAAATATTAATCTAAAAATACCGACAAAAAATGATTCAAATTATTTAAAAAAAAATGTTATTAATTAGAAATATAGCAATAAATACTTTTATATTAAACGAAATAACTATTTAGTTAAGCTCGTCAAAGTTAATTACCTATAAATACGATGTACCAATAGTTTAGGCATAATGAATAGGTACTTACCATTGCCCATAAAAAATGAAAACCACATTAAAAGATTTAAAGCATTTGGAAATCGTAGACCACTGCTAGCAGTCAAGGGCAGCATCAGCAGACCAATCATACCAAATTCGACCAGAAGCACAGGGTAAAAGAACCCGAAGGAAAGTGCTAGTATCACTTCATGTGCAACTGCCGAAACCTGAAATATATCATAGTTTCTATTAATTTCAAATAAAACTATCTTTTCGGAATATTTCGCGGATTTATTTTGGTTTTTTTCTTGATTTTTGGTTCTCGACGTTACGAATGCTTTACAGCAATAACCATGTGACCATGACGTCGGAAACCAAAAATTCAATTATAAGATAATTTTATTTAAAATGTCAAATATTCGCATAAATCTAATAAAGTTTCTAGTTAGTTACAGGAACAAATAATAATAATTTCTAATAATAATTGCTTCAATTCACTTACATATTTAACTTACATTTTTATTTATAATATTTACAATAACATTTACTAGAAATCGCAGAAATCAGGAAATTTTATTGAAATATTTGTGTATACCTAAATATTTATTTAACACCTTCTAGGTAAATTTCTAAGAAATTAATTAAATTTCTAAGAAATCTATTGTTAACTGTAACACTGGCGTGTCCACGGCCGTGGAGGGAATAAATACATGAAAAAAACAAATAAGAGAATTAACTAAATCAACAAATATACTCGTAGATAAAAATACTTACTACAAATACAATAAGAATTGCAAAAGCGCGACCTGCGCGAGGTGCCAGTGGTCGATAGATATGGTCCCGGAGCCAGGAATGAACTACACGGTTCCAAGCGCGGTAGTAACTAGAAAAACGAGATTTTGTCCACCAATCCTAGAAAAAGATATATTGAAAATTATTAACCCCCGACGCAAAAACGACGTGTTATGCGTTTAAGAAAATGTTATTATCGTTCATTCAATTCTTACCATGAGGTGATTTTTGAAAAATAGTATTCTTACTTTTATGTCTAACTAGCGACTCACCCTCGCACCGCTCGGATTCGATCCTACTCATGTTTTAACGTTTAATATAGATTTCTCAGAGATGTGATATTTTACCGCAGTAAAAAGTATCCTATACGTTAATTATCCTATATTTTATCCTATTTTATTATACCATCAAAAACCCTCCTGTGGTTTTTCCCTGATGCGGTCACAGACAGATAGACAGACAAAAAATCTAAAAACTATAGATTCGGCCTCTGTATCGATGTCTATTTTAATAAGATTTTCCAAAAAATATTTACTGTACAGATTATTTTTTTGTTTTTGTTATATTAGTTCTTTGTTGCAATTTTATTATAAGTAGGTATGTATAGATTTTATTTATTTTTATTTAGTTAATCATTTATTTCAGGCAATATTTACATAACATTACAAAAGATCTTAAATATGTAAACAAAGGCCCATAGCATAATATATACCTTAAAAGTAAGATATATATTAATTATAGCTATTTAACACGTAGTCCAGACGTGTGAGCTGTGTCGGTGGGCAAACGACCTCGGAACTTCCGAAACACGACGCCCTGCGGCCAGAAGTCCTCCTTCATGAAGGTTGGCAGATGGTGTGTCGGTACTCTCACCAAAAACGAGTTGAAACTCGTTTTGTGACGAGGTACCAGCCGTTCAACCCTCAATTTGAAGTTGGACCTCCTCTGGACGTAGTCTACGACTTCCTCGACCTTCGTAGACCAGTGCAATCGGGACACATACAGCGGCGGCGATGGTACGGCAGGACGCATAGGATGCATGATTTAGCAATCTTGTAAAAGTTGTTGATACGCGACGGATGTATTATTACTATTTTCATAATTTTAATAAAGGTAATTAATTGATTGTGCCAAATAAATTAAGTAAAACCTATTATTTGTGTGTAGTAACCCTGGTGACGTTTTATGGTGACTGAATTAGAAAACGTCGAATTGATCTACTATGATAAATATGAAAGGCTGTAGTGTATATGCTTACTACTATAATTACTTTGTCACGCTGAAACAGCTACATAGATTTGGATGAAATTTAGTACACAGGCACCGACTTCGAAAATATCTGATTAGGTATCTATTCTAAATGAAAACCCCTTTTAGTTATTTTTTACATTTTAGTGCCAGGAAGTCGGGTTTTTTTAAGTTTTTATTTTTGTAATAAATTTTATTCAGATACAATCAAGCGTTCAGCGTGAAGAAGTAACAACATACACAACATGCACACCTTCGCATTTATAATTGCAGGTAGTGTGATTAGGACATTGTATTGAGGATGTAGAAGATGAATTTGTTTCTATGAGTACACGCAAAACGCCTTATAATAAATATACCTACCTATGCTATTGACTGGTAAAAATGATCTTTTGACCGAGATACTTAAGTACATAATATTTTGATATTAATTGAACTAAAACTTATTCAAATAACAATCTATTGGCTATGTTTTTTGTGATATTTTCCTACTAAAAACATTTAATTTTTCTAATTTGTATTTTTTACATTACTTTAAAGGTGTCTGCCCACTACACCTTAAGTAACACACACCTTAAGTAGTAAAAATATTTTTAGAGTTCTGTATATTATGAAGATGTTCCTTAATATAAACTGTTAGTATCTGCGCATTTAGATATCACAATACAAAGTACTCGTAGGCTGACTTTTGGGCAAAATTAAATCTTATCTACGCTTTTGCACGATAGGTGGTCGAAACTGAAATTTCAATCGATAAATGAAGCAGTCATGCATGCCTAATATTATATAAATACTTACACTCTTTAAATACATTTATGTCGTTTAATAACATGGGCTATAAATATAACGGAAATACAGGTACCAACCATGCAATAACCAACTTGACCAACTGGGTCGAACGTCTAGAATTACTCGAGGTTGCACTTTAGTTTGGATAGTGATAAATTAGTGCATTTGTACATGAAGTAATAAACTACCATTCTGCAATGGAGCACAACTTGGTGTAGATAAAAGACTTTCCTTTTGTTTTTGTTTCAAAGCTTTTTCAAGTAACACTATAGCAAGAATTTTATTCTTTTAAAATTGTTTTTTATAATTTACCTTATTAATTTTGATAATTATAAGAACTACAAAATGGAGAAATTTCTTTTAAAATCATGCCACTTACGTAGATAAGTATTAACACTTATTTATACATATATCTACTGTATATGTATTTATTCGGCCTTATTGGCTGAATTACTGAGGAATTGAGTTTGGAAAATCCGGATTATTTCAAATGTTAAAAAGATGATCTGATATGTGATATTTAAGTATTTAGAATAATTTCAAATACAATGGATATAAAAGAATTTATTACCCAATTAAAAAAAACTATTAAACACATTTATCATATTTATAATTACTTATAAAAAATAATCGAGAAAGTTTAAGAAATAATAAATAATTATTCTTGCACTAGCTCTAGACTGTACCTAAAGCAAAATTGATGAGTGGATATCCTACGTGACGTGTCCGTCGATTGCGGACCGTATATGATATTCTGCTGTCGGTCGCGGGCGTGAATATGCCCAAAAGCTCATATTTACTCTTAAATCTTTCTAGAGTATTAACATATATATATATATATATGTAAAGATCAGAGTAGATATACGTAATACGTACCTTTAATTGTATTATGTATATAATATTTTATAATATAAGTTTTTAAAGACATTTAGCGATGGATAAGGATCTCAAGACGAACGGTTTCATATTACGCAGTATTCTACTAAACAAACACACCACTTGAACTTTAACCTTTTTATAAGCACAGATTTTATGCCCGTCATCCCCTTCTACCGTAAAATCTCCAAGTTGGGGACACGATCATTCTTCGATCAAGTCAAAAAGACAAATTGTAGTATAATTTAAAATGATCTTACCTCATAAAACAGTCTGTCACCAAATTTAAGCATTTCCGCAAACGCGTTTTGCCAAGCGTGCAAAACGCAATAGAAGCCACACAGAAAAGAAATTAATCCAGGCAGTACGCATGCGAACATGCCACGTACTACCTTACCGGCTTCCACCTAGGAACATTTTTTTCTACTATAGGTATTTTTTAAATTGTTATTTTCTATACTAAATATGTTGTTGTTGGGACACAACAATTAAACAATATAACGGTACGTACATATGTATGAGTATATCTGCATATTATATACTTGTGGCTCGAGAACGCTTTTTATATAGGTAAATACTTTTATCTATTTTTTTAATTGCGTCATTCAGACAACTGAATTCTGTGCTATTTTTATAATTCATCAAAATAAGAAATCTTACCGTTGGTTCTTTACCATAATCTGACCAGTACGGCAAAATAAATCTCTCCCACAGAAAGCTATTATAAAATATAATAGCTGTTACTTCCAGAAAATGGAATAATACTCTATTCCAATTTGTCTTCTTTGTTCTGTAAACAGAAGTTTCTATAAATGAACACATCAGTAGTTTTGTAATATCAAAATTATTATTTTTTAACTGAAATTATATATATATGAATTATGGTTTATTTAACTAGGATAACATTAAATGAGCCCCCCACCGCGACTAGGTGAACACACATCCCGATGTGTGTTCACCTTGTCGTGGTGGAGAGAGACTCAGACACACTGGGAGGCGCCCCACCTCAGTGGGTGGTGTGTCATGCGGTTTGCTGTGGACCGTAGGAGCAAGGTCTGTTTCGACAGACCTGCTGTCGGCCAGGGCGTCGTGGTCGAGGGCGTAAGCTACTCTGCGAGGTCCCATTAATTCGGGGGAAGTTCCGTTAGGTTTTAGTGGGAATTATTGACTTTTCTAGCTGGTGAGTCCCAGTTCCCGCGTTACCACCTGTATGAATGCAGGTGGTATGCGTAAATGTTCACGTTAAATCCCAACGTTAAAAAAACGTTATATTAAAAATGGGGACTAGATGTCTTACTAATAATTTAAAACCCTAAAAAGTATGGTCTCTACTAATTTTGCTTTGTTTTGGACTGAAGTGGAGTATTTACATAAGTATTTGTATATATATATATAACTCTACAATTTTTGATTATTTTTTTACAATAAGCCGGATTTGGATTGTACGATTTTTATATGCTCAGTGTAATTATGAATACCTATATCCCGAGCTTTAGAAAAAGTGAGGTCAAGTTTAACTACGTCTTGAGGACTTCACTCAAGTCCTTTGGGATCATTTATTATGTAGAGGCTATATTTGGTAATATAATAAGTGAGTTTATGATAAGATTAAAAGTAAATTATTTTTATGTTAATTAGTAGTTTATGGTATAGTTATTTAATTATATTTTGGAGCGCAACTGTTTATCAATTTTAAATGTTTTTTTTTACTATTAGCTCGTCAACGCTTTGGAAGGGCAGAATATTTTTATTATTCAATGCGCGAGGAGTAATTTTTGTAATAATTTTTATATTATTTTATAATATCCAACGAAACACATAGATTGATACCTATATTGAGAATCTGTATGTCTTATAACTATCAAAGGATCAAGTTGATCACGAAAAATTGCTATGAGAGTGAGAAAGAAAAACAAAGTGAAAAATACATTTGTGATGATGTTCTCCTAGCCGATTCCGGCCACGGCGGCCAATCTCATTGAGACTGGCCAACTACGCAGGAGATATTATAGTGCACAAGTGTACGCGCAGACAAGTGCACTCTCTATTCCTGTCACTCTCATACTCCGGTGGGACGACTACTCGACACGACCAGTGAGAGTTAAGGCGCAGGACCGACGGCTTTGTATGCTCTTCGAGGCACGGGGGTGAAACACCGCCAACTTCCCAACTCCGGGCTGTTACTGAGGCTTACTATACAGAAAGACTCAATAACAAAATTTGGCCCGACCCGGGACTCGAACATAGGACCTCCGGGTGTGCAGCCGTACATGCTAGCCACTACACCACCGAGGCAGTTATAACTCTATAATAGTGCAATAAAGAATAGTATATTACATTTATTAACAAAGTACATAATTAGACTATTGTGATTATACACATTAATATATTTAATATGCACGTATAAAAAAAGTTTGTGTGTACTTATGTATCAAGTTATGTACGCACGTATGAAGTTAAAGGTTGTTTTTACTAGAGCATTTAAATAAAGGTATGTTTCTTTTAAAACGTTTAACTTTTTTAATGTTTTTTTTTTCGGTATTCTTCTCACCAACCCCCTTCGTTTGATATGGGGTACATAAAAAATCCGCCCTCTTTGGGAGTCCGCCATATTGGATTTACAATGACGTGACTTTGCTTATTGTGTTTCACTCATCCCTTTCATTTGATGCCCATATTATAAAAAAGTTATGAAATAATGTAAACTTTAAAATGATAGCTTTAAAATTTGGTTTATGTATGAGCGTATATTGATATTAGGTATATTAACCAAAGCCATCCAATATTAAACATTTAACGATTCCTATATGGGCTCTTACTTTTAAATGTCAGACAAATGTCTCTGTGCGAATTGTGAAGATTGGTAGAGAAGTTATAAGACTGAAATGATGATCAAGTAAAAAATTAGGAAGACTGTTTGTTGTATCTTAACTAGGAATCATTACGAAAAATTATAAATTTTTATTCAGACCTATGACGACGGCAACGAAGAGACGGAGTATGTTTATCAGTTCATAAATTAAACGACGTTATTTATCGAGTGTATAGAGACATAATAAATTTCTTATACTTTGTAAAAATAAATTCTTCAGGTCAAACAAGCGGTTGAATATTTTTTTACCCAGACGATAACAAATACACATTTCAATTATATGTAAGATGCGAATAAGGTCAAGTCAGATAAATAACTTTACCTAGTATTAAAACGCAGATTATTATTTTTTTTTACTAACTTGATGAAGGAATAAAAATAAAAATCGGAATCTCGTACTACTCTCAGAGTGAGCTCTGCTAGATGAGAAGGGAGGAAAAGGCACTGGATAGATAAATGATAAAGACAGGAATTCTTGTTCCCGTTTCAATGAATACGCTTCTGTTTAATTTTAAATACTTTTATATTCTAAATAAAAATCTACTTTTAGACGTGAATAATAAACAATTTAAGAATATTTGTTAAAGGTAAATATCTCTTGCATAAATAAGTTTATGTTTCATAAATAATGAAGTTCAACAAGTCCATTATAATATGATATTAGCATGGTTCTCGAGAAAATGAGGATTTTAACTTTTTTTTTATTTAACAAAGTTCTGCCTGTTAATATCTGAATTATGCATAAGTAGTAAAGTGTAAAGTTTAAATCAATTTAAGGGCCGATGGGACGTTTATTAAGTTACCTTTTTACCAAGTGATTATATGTTAATCTATAAATAATAATTAATTCCAGTTACAAATATTGATGAACTTACTTCAGACCTTTATAAATCCATAGAGTTCTTTATGTATTATAAAATAGGATCAGTATTTGGTTGTATTTGAGTTCGCAAAGGAATAATAGTAGGGGAGCCCAAGAGGGGATTTTCTGTAGTTACTCGAGCGCGGCAGATTAACATAAAAGAGGTTACCTTGCACTCTATTGAGTACTTTCACCATAATATAAGTCTTCTATATAAAGGGGCGCGTCTAGGGAAGCCGATTAAAATATTTAAAAAATGTTTTGATAAGGTAGAAATACTTGAAAATATTTTAATCGGCTTCCCTAGACGCGCCCATTTATATAGAAGACTTATATTGTGGTGAAAGTACTCAATAGAGTGCAAGGTCACCTCTTTTATGTTAACCTGCCGCGCTCGAGTAACTACAGAAAATCCCCTCTTGGGCTCCCCTACTATAAAGGACTCGAGAGGAATAGATCTAATCCGGACAGATCGCGTCCCTTCCGCGAGTTTATCTACGTGGTGCTATTCAGTGTGTTTTAGATAACAAGTTGAGACTCTATTACAACACAGATGTACGTAATACGGATGTTATGTAAATCATTTTATAGGACAATGGGGTTTCTTTGGTAGCTTTTGTTGAAAGGAATTGTGAAAAGTATGAAGATTTAGATGTTTTTAAGGTTTGGTTTGTTTCCACTATCACAAAAACGTTCATAGATTAAAGAATTCATCTTACATGATTTAAATACGAAATTTAAAGTACCTTAAACAAAAATTAAGTATAACATAACTGGCCAAATGTAGCGACAACTTTTTTTACATATTTTCTATAATTCAATCTTATTTTCATTGATTAATTTATTCGTACGTTAGTTTTATTGATACCACTAGCAGCTCACCCTCGCTTGGCTCGGGTTAGTTCCTAGTGAAAAACAAAAATAAATCTATTCCACGGGAACCGTACATTTTTCCGGGATAAAAGTCTAAAAAGTCTATGTGCTATTCCAAACTATAATCTATCTCTGTGCCAAATTTCATCCAGATCCGTTCAGCCGTTCTAGCGCGATTGAGTAACAAACATCCATGCTTCCAAATTTTGTATTTATGTAGTAGTAAGAGTAAGATTATTCACCTCGCTTCACTTGGGTGTGACACTTTATTTTAAATCATTAAGGCGAGCACGCCGATAAAGCTATTCAACAATCAATTTCTTTAAAGTTTCTAGGCTTCTATTAAAGTTATAATAAATTTCTGACAGTAAACACATTTATATCAAAATAAAAAATAGCCTATAGCACTCGGCAGTATTGTAGCATCCTATTAGTGAAAGAATTTTCAGAATCATATCAGTGGACTCAGAGATAACATGCGAGTACATACTAATAAACAAAGTTTCATTATAAATTATAATATTAGTAGTACCTATTTATTATTAATTTAATACTATTGTATTTAGCAAAATTAAAAGCAATGTGTACCTGGGATACTCATCTCTGTAGATAAGAGTAGGGGCGAACAAAAAATAAACATAGTGTGAGAAGGAAGGCAGTGGACGACTTCCGTCGTGACACCGGGTAGCACAAGCTGTAGCGACGGCCCATAACTTCATTGCAAACCGGAACTGAAATTGATAAACATTTTATGAGTTTTATTACGTACTTACCAGCTTTTTTCCGTGGCTCTGTGTAGTTTGTGATTGCTCCGCTTCTAAGTTTGATTTAATAGCACGACCATTAAATAGTTTAATTTAGACAACCTACCTCAATAAACATGATTTAAATTAAAAAAAAAATAGTTTTGGCAAAATATACTGTATACTCACATACAATACGGTGCTGTCTGTATAACTGATAGTATAATATGTAAATGCTTGTAGCACAAAAAACATAGAAAACACTGCAACTCCGCTCGATAGGATGTGAATTTTATACAAAAATTCATTTCATTCATACCTTATTATTACTGTACTGGAGTAAAATAAGTATATTTTTCTTTGGTACAGACAAAGGGTCAAAGATCAATGTAAAAGAGAGCTTATATGAATAAATTGAACATTCACATAATATGTAGTGACTATTGCATACTACGAGTGATGTGATTCATTATACACGCTATTATTAACATGGTCATTCTCTTTTATGTCAACGCTAACGAAGTGATGATATTTAGTTGACTTAATGCAAAAGAATAAATAAACAAGGTTTTAACACAGATAATGGAAATGTATATATAGGTAGTTATATTATTTTATCACTTGTTGATGCAATTGTACCTATAACTATACATATAATAAAAGTGTAACAAACCGCTGTCTATACATGGAAGATATCGAGAAAAACTATTATATATTGGGCGTCTTTATTAGCGCGATTTAACCCAAAACAATGATTTTATAAACTTTTGTTTGTTTGTCTGTGCGCTTGTGCGCGCTAATCTCAGAAACAGCTTGGCCGATTTGGGTGCGGTTTTCACTAATGTATTGTGGTAAGCTTCACTTAACATTTAGTATTAGTTTTAATTCAATCGGTTCATAAATAAAAGAGTTATGTCAATTGAAAAAGTCTCCTGGGGAGGAACCCGAACGAAGCGTGTGTTGCTAGTTTTTTTAATAAATTGGTTTTTATGATTTAATATTGCATAACTTTTATATGAATCTCTTTAACGATATATGATAATTTTTCACACTGTTACTCATGGCCGAAATAGCTCAGTTGGGAGAGCGTTAGACTGAAGATCTAAAGGTCCCTGGTTCGATCCCGGGTTTCGGCAGATATTTTTTGTTTAATATACCTGTAGAGCATTTTATTATAATTTTGCTATAGTAATTAAAGTCATATTAATCAAATACAATTATAACTCCTAGTTAATTAATCAATATGGACGACAAAGCTTTTAACATCACTATAGTTTCTAATTTTGTCCAATAATTTACCGTCGAACTGTAAACATATTCACAGGGAAGCACCATAAAGGTTAATTGTGAAAGCAATGTTTATTAGGGTGATATTTTAATAAAATAAAGGAGTGAGGAGGTAGACGGTGCGCTGGTATGTAGCTAATGAGGTTTCGTCAACCCCAGCCGGTGCGACGCCGTTATTTACTGTGCTGGCCACGACCCTGACAAGGGTCTCAGCTGATTTATGTAACATTTCACTTTCGACACTGTTTTGCTGCCTTAATATCCTTTTACTTTACGTTTTTACTAACATATCAATCTCTTTGCTAGATAAAATAAGATAATTGAGTTAGTAATTAATGTTTTCTAATCCTAATTTTGATTATTATTATATGCATACTGCAAAATGTGTTTAAATTAGACTTGCACAAATATTCGGCTCCTATTCGGTATTCGGCCTATTCGGCTACTTTTATCCTATTCGGCCGAATACCGAATATCTAGATACTATTCGGCCGAATACCGTATATTTAAGTAATATGTTATGTTGTAATCAGATAATAATAGGAAATATGCGTGTGATGTAATGAAAGGTGAAATGTTTTTTTTTAATAATATTTATTGCTTTTGATTAAGCCTACATTAATATTTTTTTAATGTAATTTCTTTTTGATTAATAAAATAATTATTAAAAAGTGCGAAAACAAGTAAAATAACAGTGCAAGTGGGAAATTCCAAGCAGTTGAAAAGCAACGCCATTGGTTAGACCAAATATGACGTCAGAGTATATCATAACAGAGCGACTAGCGATTTAGTCGCTTACTAATAGAGTCGTTATTTCTATGTATATCATGCTGTGACGTCACGCCAAGAGCGCGAAGTGTCGAACATTTAAAGTATCCGTAACCGTATATTTTAATGTTTTACACTAAATTTTAGTTTTTTTTGGAGCTGAAAATTTTTGACAATTATATGAAGATGTAAGCTATTGCGTATAAAAAACTGAAAAAAATCATGCATATATCCTATTGGTAAAATGTAAATATTGATTTATTTTACAATAATATATTTTTCTCATAATCATTAAAGTAGTCATAGGTATATAATCACTTTCTTTATTACAAAAATTAATAAAAATACTATCAAATAATAATCTATGCACTGGCATCACCATAATTAAAATTTAGAAGAGGAAGATTATGATGCAAAAAGACTATTTTTTCTGCTTTTACTGGCAGTAGTTCTTACCTAGACTATGGCCAAATTCAGAGAAAAGAGACTTGGAATAAATACTATTTTCTGGCACCAAACAAAAAAGAAACACGTAGATACACGTTTTCCCGCCACGCGCTGACCGAATACTTTTGCCAGTCTAGTTTAAATTACATTCTTTACATGAGAAAATTTATTGAGTGTGCTTTCTTACACGTATATTTTAAAATGCAAGGTTGGTAAAGGCAGGAAAGCAGAAACTATTGTTGTAAATTACCTCGATACGGAGTTACGACACATAACTAATAGCTATGGAAACTTTGTTACACTAAACTTAAACACAAGCTATATCTAATTAAGCTCATCACCTACTGCTTTGCCGCTGGCAGAACTTTATAAAATAATGTTTTATATGGCAATTCATGGAAATATGTAAAAAATAATTTATTAATAAAAAAGAACAATGGTTTATTTATCTACATTAAAGTATTAGAATTTAAAAAATATGATTTAACAATTTTTACTACTTGCCATTTCACACGTGACAATAACTGCAGAGCCTATCGCTAAATGAGTTTTAGCCAAATCCTGTACTGGTACAGCTACTAGGATTATTTCCAATGCAATAACACCCAATAATCCGATAATCGAACATGTTTTCCGTAGTCCTGAAAAATAATTGTAAAAACTTTAAATAAGTAGATACAATGTACCATTTTATATATCTTTTGTAAAAGATATTAATTTAACAATGAAAACGCTGAAGAATAAGATGAGTTATTGTATGCTTTTATTCTTATTTTAGGTATTTCTGATTCGTTACCGTTCTCAAAATTATAGTACAACTATTTTAGTTATTGTTACAAAATGGACGTGTTTAATTTAATGTTGTACAGGGCATTGATGCTCTTCTCTAGTGAAGTGTATTTAGTAGTTCGTTGCACGTGTATGTGAGCATCCACGTGATTAATTAGCAGTGACATGAAGCGCAGTGGCCTCTTGAAACAAAAGGTCCTCTTGACGCCTAAAAGACCACTCGGCTATGTGCATCCCACGCCTAACATTTATGTGTATATATAATACATATACCTAATTATATTGTAACTTAGTATTTTCATTAAAGCTATTTCAATTATTCTTAGAATATATTATATATTTTTTCGTTTTAACGTGAATAAAGAACTCAATTATACCACTCGTAGGAGGAACCCTGTACGAAAATTCATCATTCATCAAAGACGAAAGAATAATGAAAGATGATACTTAATTGGTGGATATATTACGTAACATGCTTTGATGTCAAATATGATCTTATTATCGTTATGGTAACATTTTGCGCGCATAATATAATGGCACACGTTGATTGTGTACGTAGAAGTAAAATAAAATATTTGCGAATCAGGCATATTTATTTTGTCGTCATATAAACGTTTGTATTTTATAATATTACCAGCGACTCACCTTCGCTTCGCTCGGGTTCGTCCCTATCTTGATTCTCAATAAATATTCTTCAATCTTGGTTGATACAAACTTTTTTCCCCATTTTCACCCCTTTAAGAGATGATTTCCGGGTAAAAAGTATTCTATGTCCTTAAAATTATTTAAAATTACTAAATTTCATCTAAATTGGTTCAGTAGATCCAGAGATTACGCCCTACAACGTCACAAACTCACAAAACCTCTTTATAATATTAGTATAGATTTCTTAAAGACACTGAAAACAAGTGTTTTTCCCCTACGAGTATTGCTTATTGGTACGCTACATTCCGCCAGTATCGAGATTCGAGACTTACATAATATGTATGTATGTACTTTTTCGGCAACTGTACACTACATCACGCCTTGCTCAAGTAGAGAAGACAGATATTTATGCGATCAAAAAGTAGGTACAGGTTAGCATATCACAGAACCCGAGATTAGCAACATCATTTGTATTTACTAGAATTATGTCCTTACACCAGACTAGACCCATATAAATAAATTTGTAGCTTTTTTACTGCTGTATAATCAATTAAAATAGTAAAAAAGAATAATATTATAACAACATGGAAATTTCGCCAGGAAGAGTTGAATAATAAGAAAGGTGATGAATGGATTATGGAGAAATTAATATAATCATTAACAAAATCTTAACATTTATCATAATGTATTTAAAGACCTTTTGATTTCACAGACAACAAACATTGATGATGTAATAAAACATTTAGGTCAAAGTTGGGCTAATAAATAACGATGCTCTACTTGGCGAGTATTTGATAAATAATCTAGATTTCTGTTTTCTAGAATAACAATAATAATTAATGATCCAAACAATTTTCACCTAAGTTCTTTTTGAATATATTTTATTTGAAAAAAGCACTAAAAAGTAAAAAATAACTGATTGGTAGTTTTCATTTACCATACATACCTAATCAAATATTTTCGAAGTCGGTGTGCTTTGCTTTGTATGGGCTGGCACCGATTTCGAAAATATTTGATTAGGTATGTATTTAATAGGTAGGCTTTAATTACTTAGCCAAAGCACACCGACTTCGAAAATATTTGATTAGGTATGTATAGTAAATGAAAACTACCAATCAGTTATTTTTTACTTTTTAGTGCTTTTGTTTGAAGTCGGTTTTTATTTTTTTGTTAAAAAGTTTTTATTTTTCCCTTTTTAGTGTAGACAGTAGTAGCATAGTAAGGATTCTAACGTGTTAGGCTTGTCAAATCAAACAAAATAAGCCCAAACTCAAAGTATCTACTATTAGCCGTTGAAGAGTTCCACCGATCCACCTTCTGGCCTTGCCATCAGATCAGGTCAACAACACCGAACCACTGTACTATCAACGGAAATAGAAATACTTGCAAAGTTTCAAGTCAATATGACAATTAGAAGTAGGTTAAATTCATCATTAGTTGTTTTTCCACCCTTAGGGGTGGTATTTTTTTTGAAATTTAAATGGGACCAATCTGGAAGTATACCCATTTCAAACAAAATAAAAATTGTCCAAATCGGTTAATAAATGACGAAGTTCTGAGGTAACAAACATAAAAAAAACATACAGTCGAATTGAGAACCTCCTCCTTTTTGAAGTCTGTTGATAAGTTTTGCTTAGATTTTATATTTCAATGTTACTTTTACTTTAAATAACAATTTGTGACTATTGAAATAAGTTGAAAGGATTTCAAATATATCCAGTATAGTATTATATGATCTGTGCCCTTATATATAAACTAGCATTGCCTGCGGCTCCGCCCGCGTTTAAATGACCAAAAACCAAATTCTTAGGTTTTACATATTAGTATAATCTTACATTGCAGTTTTTGTATTTTTCTCAGAAATGAGATATTTTCCCGCGGTAAAAAGTATCCTATATGTTGACCCGGATAACCAGCTATCATCATACCAAATTTCATCAAAATCCCTCCAGTGGTTTTTCCGTGATGCGGTAACAGACAGAGAGACAAAAATTCTAAAAACTATGGATTCGGCCTCTGTATCGATAATCTATACTAATATTATAAAGAGGTAAAGTTTGTGATCTTGTGAGTTTGTGGGTTTGTGAGTTTGTGGGTTTGTGAGTTTGTGACGTTGTAGGGGGTAATCTCTGGATCTACTGAACCGATTTTCAAAATTATTTTACCAATAGAAAGCCACGTTCTTTCTGAGTGTCATAGGCTATATATTAATCCGAAGAATGAAAAGGCTTTTTCATGGTAGTCGGATTTGCAAAGTAAGTCGGAGAAAAAACGGTCGAACGAAAACGTTTCTTACGAACGCAGCCTTAACGATGAGAGATATATGATTATATTCTAGAGAAAAGTTGTAGAGCTTAATAATGCCTACAAAAAAGTCAGCGACAGCATATGTCTAACTTTTATATTTAAGTCACAAAAAGTAGTTTTTTATATTAAAAAAATCATTTAAATCGGTAGGTCATGTTTATTGGTCATATTATCAACAATTATGAATTCTTATCAAAATAAGTAAATTTATCGTCTAAAATGCTTAAAACAAAAGACTTTTCCCTTTTACTGCATATAATTTGGACAAATGGTTAAAGAGATAATACAACATATTCGCAGGTATGGACGAACCCGAGCGAGCTGTTAGTCTGTTTTCCTGTTTGTACAGGCTAATCTCCGAATCTATTGGACCGATTTAAATGATATTTTGCGTGGTGGTACCTTATATCCCCGGGCAACATCTTAGATACTTTTCATCCCGGAAAATTAAAGAGTTCCCGTGGGATAGTTAAAAAACTATAACAACTTATACAGTGTAGTACACAAAAACTACTGATTGGATTTTAATGAAACTTTACAATAATACAGTTCGTACATGACAAAATCAAATCAGCTACTTTTCATCCCGGAAAATTAAAGAGTTTCCGTGGGATAGTCAAAAAACTATAGTAACTTATACAGCTTAGTACACAACAACTTATACACCTAATTTAGTACAATTTGGCATGCTGATACCTCATATTGCCGGTCAAACAACAGGTTACTTTTCATCCCGGAAAAATGAACGGTTCCCGTGGGCTAAATCTGATTGTGCTTTGCTAGAGGCGAACCCGAGCGAAGCAAGGGTGAGCCGCTAGTAATATCTATTTCAATAAGATTTTACAACAAAATATTTAATGTACAGATTTAGCTTAGTTAAAATTTTATTATATGTATAGATAACGATGCCAAGCCAATTATAAGTGGGTTAATGTTTTCATACATATAAAATTAAAATCTGCTATTTTTGGGCTCCTGTATATGAATGTAAATTGTTCCTTGACAGAGAGAGTCCCCGATTTATAGTGTGCCGTATTATACACGTATAAAGTTCGTTATTGGCATAAATATATAATTACTTATTTAATTAATTAATAATTATTATTAGCTAGCGAATTACACTCGTTTCACTCGGGCTTTCCTAAGTACGTTTTAAATAGATAAAAATATTATTGTGCGTGTATCTTAAGAAATACACGTGTAGATCTTTTTAAGATATCTAATTTTCTAAGACATTTCTTTTGATGTATCTCTTATGGTTATGGTCATTTACTAAAGACGACTCAACCGTACCATTTATTGTGTTTTTCCGTGGAAATGAACGATTTTATTGTAGTAAAAGATATCCTAAATGTTGACCCGAGTAATAAGTTATCAATCACTACACAAAATTTGGTTAAAATAGGTTTAGTACTTTTTGCGTGAAATGCACATATATACAGAAAAACAGATAAATATTCCAATAACTATTGTTTTGGAGTCTATTTTCTATACAAAATACGTAACAGTACCTATTTTTTTTTTTAATATTTCATTTATATATACAGATTTCGCTTTATTAATATTTTATTACATGTATAGATAGTTTAATTAACAGCATGAACAGACACATTATATACTGAGTCAAATTATATTTTTCTTTATATTTAAAGCATTTATGCCGATTTCACCGACGTCACCTAAGTTTAAGGGATCCCCTAAGCATGGTTAGGGGGCTGTTAGGGGACAGTTTCTGTTTCACCGACAGTTAGGGGTCACCTAAAAATATAAATAAAAAATGCCACCTAAATATAGGTACTAGAAATACGGGCTCTGACGATGGTAAACGAAATTTAATTTAGGGGCTAGTTTAGGGGAGCTTTTAAGATAGGGTCCATACGTAGGTGGTTGCTTAAGTGATGTTGGTGAAATCGGGCATTAGATACCTGGGTATGATTTCGTCGCCTTCTGAACTTCTGCATACAATCTCATGCCTGGATAAAATGCCACGGCGATGAGTAGTTCGAATAACCATAGTTTAGCGCCACGTTTGATGTCACCGAACCCATACACAACTGAGCCTACACCGATATTTATTCTAAAATAAAAAGCATACATTAACACTTCATATATAACGATATAAGCTAAGATAAAATATTGAGAAGTGTAAGTATTTCAAAATTATATTATATATTATTTAATTCTTTGGTATTAAAGTTATGAATACCAGATCGGTTGTTAGATGATTAATATTTTAATGTATAAATAATTTTATAAAAATATCCCTTCGAGTCATTTTCCAAGACGTTTAGTAACGCTATCATCCCTGTAAACTTTCATTACCATAAAGGCGGACGTCGTCTTGACAGTTTTAAGTCTCTATATTGAAAAATAAGCAAATATTTAAAATAATAATTCAGTATGTCCAATTTTATTTATTTTTTTATGTATGTAGGTATAAGTATTTTATTTTATGACCTAATTTTATTCTATAACCTTTAAGTACCTATATCTGCTTTAAGCTTTTTGTCTTTAAATTTTGCTGATGTGCAGAAGTAGGTACTTGATTAATTTTAACGTACATAATAATTTACTTTATGACAAAAATCTTAAATAAATAAATAAAAAAATCATGATTTTTTTTCCGCATACCGGCATACGAAAGATACCTACTCGAAATAGAAAGATACGCGAAAGGTACATGTCCGGAAATAATTCTCTCCGGATGTTAAACAATGTATATCCGTATTCGGTTTTTTTTAAACTATCTTTTCGAAATTTAATATGTCTGTATCAATATATAATTTAACCTTTGAGACGTCTAAAACTTCAGTCTCTCCCGTGACCATGATTGCTGTAAAGCATTCGAAACGTCGCGTCGCGAACCAAAAGTTAAAATAAATCAGTGAAAAAATCCGAAAAGATAGTTTTATTTAAAATAGCAAATATTCACGTAAATAAAATATTAGATATTTAAAAATCTGTTAGTGCGATGATAATGCGTTACTCGTGTTAAGTACAGTTAGAATAGAAAAGTAAATAAGCTGGGAAAGATAACCGGAATGTCTGATATTTGTAATCTTTACATTTGTTTATTTGTACTATTTTTTTTTGTTTATTTATATAAATAGCAGAAATTCTGAAATTAAACCCTAATATAGGGTAAGTTCTCTTGTAGGGTAAATTCTCTCGAAACTTGGTTATAGTTACTATGACATATAATAGGGTGTTAATATCGGAAAGTATCAAATCAAAGTGAGTTTGGACATGGCAGAGGCAGTTGTAATGCATTTCGTCGTGCTGTCGTGTTTGAAGTGATTTCATGACAGCCCACTATGACGGGAAGGCTCCTTTGGTTTTGAGTGGGCTATATTAAATTTTCCTGGTGAATCTAGCATCCACCTATTCATAAAAAACATTTTCTAACGTTAAAAATATAGATTAAGATTATTATTTCATTATAAAAATCATGCGTTCGATAAATAATATCATGTCTCATTTACAATTGGGCCACGCGTAATGACGTTCTAAGATGAGAAACATAATATCTTCTCAGTTTATATTTCTAATTATGTCGTAACTTAAATTAAAGTTGTTATTAATGTTTAAAGTCTTCATAAAAAATATTAATTGTTTGAGTAAATTATGTTTTTTTAAGTTCTCTTAGAGGCTTCAAAACTTGGAACATGACGTGCTAATGAATTAATTTATGCAGTCAGGGCCGAATTAACCATGTCGGGGGCCCCTAGGAAACGCAATTCTCGGGGCCCCTTCATCTTTTTCTAACTTATTGATAGAAATTTTTTTCTATCACAATGCAATTATATTCGTTATTACGCTATTAGGTAAATTTCATAAAATTTACAAACATTTTCAAAAAAAAAACTCGATACGTGAGGGTCCTAGTTGATGCGGGGCCCTTAGACAGTCGCCTAAACTGCCTTATGGATAATCCGGCCCTGTATGCAGTAGGTATTAATACCTGTGAAAATAGGACCTCTAATATATTATAAATATGTTTTACTTACCTTCCGCATTCTATAAGATCGTACACTACGGTATCACATAACAATATCAATAGAATGACAACAAATATGTGATATATGGCCTTTATATGTAGGGAGTGCGCTATAAGATCTGTCAAAGGTGACTCCCGATAAGCAAATTCTGGGCTTTTTGTCTTCTCTTCTTGGATGATTGTTCCATTCTGTAATGTAGCCGCTGCGGACCTTCGTAGACTCATTTTTCTAAAACAAACATATTTCTTTATTTATATCTTTTTAATATATCTCAACAATTTTGTGTTAAATTAAATATTTCAATAAATAATAATATTATATTAAAATCGAAATAATTCGAGTTTTTCCTTTTTTCAATACCTACTCCTACTAACTTTCAAGTAAAATTTAGTATTTAAATAACATAGCTCTTGTAGCATCTATCCCATTATATCCCAGGTAAAGTTCATTGAAAGATTAATCAAGTGATATTAATCTTTTGATTGAATTTCTACCCATAAATTTATATTCCGTGTTGCCCAAATTGTAACTATTAATTAAATAAAATTTATAAAAAATTGTACTTTTAATTAAACAATCAATAATTGAGTAAGCAATAGATAGTAATATTTAACTATCCACATTTAGATTATTAAATTTTACAAAATGAATTATAACAAAATTAATTTCTATTAATAATTACGTACATATTTTATTAGGTATTATATTATCATCTATAAAGGCATTTTGAGAATTTAATAGAACATATTTATTTTTACCAATACATTGTAAGTTATCATACTAACCTTTCACTTTTGATATTTATCAAACAACACTAATATTGAATTAAGTATATATAGGCACTTTTTATTTTAAACACATTATCCATACAGTAAATTAACTTGTAGTAAATTTAAAGTTAAATATTGATATATGCACAAGGTTTGTAATAACAGTTCATGCTTTAAAAACCATATGAAGTATAATACAAGATTCTGTTTTATTTATGCAAATGGTCATTATCTTAATAATTATTTATACGAAATTCAACCTTATTCGCGGGTAGTTATATAAAAAGCAAATTATGTTTATTGCTTTATACTGACAGTTGATGAAACACTTGAAAATAATTAATTTAATTAAAACTGATTTTATACACAAATTCTACCACCGCAAGTGGCTCTGCCCCTATCACTTTAGTAACTGGTACTTTGTATTCTATTAATGTTTTTATCAATCCCGGGAGCCCAAGTATACCGAACAGTAACTATCGTCCAGTTGCCCATGTTATAGATTATATGGAAAAATTATTATGATAAATACATGTTATCAAATGATTATACGAGTATGTAGTAATATTTTTGTGTTTTATTTGTTTTAAATAGTATTTCTTTATAGTAGGTCATAGAATAATTTTTTTTATGCATATTTATGGTCAAGCAAAAAGGAGTTCCAAGGGCAATGATATTACCAACTATATAGGTACATATGTACCTACCTATATGGTAAGTTCGTAGTAAGTGGCATTTGAAATTTACTCGCGAATTAAATCCATACTAATATTATAAATGTGAAAGTGTGTTTGTTTGTTTGTCTTTGGTTCTCTGTAGGATCACTTTCTTTTCGGATCCGATCCTTCAGAAAAACCCCGAGTAAAACCCTCTCCATAGCTCGCTGAGCAACCAACTAGTGAACTAGTTCAATCTAACCGTCAATCCAATAAAAACTTTTTAACAAAAAAAATAAAAACTGACTTCAAACAAAAGCACTAAAAAGTAAAAAACAACTGATTGGTAGTTTTCATTTACTATACACACCTAATCAAATATTTTCGAAGTCGGTGTGCTTTGGCTAAGTAATTAAAGCCTACCTATTAAATACATACCTAATCTAATATTTTCGAAATCGGTGCCAGCCCATACAAAGCAAACCACAAGTATATCAACATCAAAATCTGTCCAGTAGTTTTCTTGTGATGCGTTCCCAGATAGACAAAAATTCGAAAAACTATAGATTTAGCCTCAGTATCGATAATATAGTATAAAAAAATATTTATGTACAGATTCGACTCAGTTAGAATTTTATCATACCTATGTATAGATGTGTTCAATTTTCTTGTTAATGGTTTCAAAGCGTTCCAGTTGAGCACAGATTACTTCGCCAACGTCACGTAGAATGGAAAAGACATGTAGGAGATTGTTCGGTAAAATAAGATTATTTAACTGTATTAAATTTTTATGTGCAAAAAGGGATTAAATCCTTGGGCATGCAACCACAAAAAAACCCATTTTTTTATTGTATTATTACTTTAATACTATAAACTATTGTAAAGTCTTTTTATTACTTTATTTTTACAGATTACCAACCGGTAATCTGTATAATTTTTATTTCCCAATATAGGTAATACTTTCTTAGATTCACGCGAATATTTGACATTATAACTAAAACTATCTTTTCGGATTTTTTCGCGGATTTATTTTGATTTTAGGTTCCCGACGTGCGTTACAGCAATCATAGTCACGGGAGAGACTAAGGTGTTAGGTGTCTCAAAAGCATTATATATGTAGTTGTCACGAACAGCTTGCCCACAAAATAACAAAAAAATGAAAAATGGCACCACAGTGCCTTACAATATTAATATTTGTTAATTTTAATTTTAAACATTTTTATAAATTTAAATAGTTTTATAATTGATTATGGAATATTATTTATTTAATGTTAGCTATTATTATTATAATTATTACACTTTTTTAGAATTTTTAAAAAAAATTCATTAATTAGTAATCTACATATATTTAGTGTTGCTATGCTTATATTTATAGCATAAAGAAAAATAAATATTAATTATTCAAGCCACATTATTGTTCTATGTGTAATTTAAAAAGCTAAAATTAATTAAGCACAATAATTTTTGTTTAGTTCTCTATTATTTAAAAAATCTAAATATTAATAAAAAAATAAAAAATATACATATTTTTACAATAATGTATAGAAGTCTGCCCGATTTGTTGACATTTATGATTATTGAGTAGTAGCACGATGATGTATAGCAGTATATAATTCTTCAATAAACGGGCTATCTAATGAAAAAACAATTTCTCTAATCGGATTAGTAGTTCCTGAGATTAGCACGTTCAAGCAAACAAACAAACAGACATACAGACGGACAGACAGGCAGGCAGACAGACAAACAAACAACCTCTGCCTGTTTATAATATTAGAATAAATTTTCCTCTTATATATGGAATTTGTTTCATGAATAAAAACTTTTTAACAAAAAAATAAAAACCGACTTCAAACAAAAGCACTAAAAAGTAAAAAATAACTGATTGGTAGTTTTCATTTACTATACATACCTAATCAAATATTTTCGAAGTCGGTGTGCTTTGCTTTGTATGGGCTGGCACCGATTTCGAAAATATTTGATTAGGTATGTATTTAATAGGTAGGCTTTAATTACTTAGCCAAAGCACACCGACTTCGAAAATATTTGATTAGGTATGTATAGTAAATGAAAACTACCAATCAGTTATTTTTTACTTTTTAGTGCTTTTGTTTGAAGTCGGTTTTTATTTTTTTGTTAAAAAGTTTTTATTTTTCCCTTTTTAGTGTAGACAGTAGTAGCAAAGTAAGGACTCTAACGTGTTAGGCTAGTCAAATCAAACAAAATAAGCCCAAACTCAAAGTATCTACTATTAGCCGTTGAAGAGTTCCACCTATCCACCTTCTGGCCTTGCCATCAGATCAGGTCAACAACACCGAACCACTGTACTATCAACGGAAATAGAAATACTTGTAAAGTTTCAAGTCAATATGACAATTAGAAGTAGGTTAAATTCATCATTAGTTGTTTTTCCACCCTTAGGGGTAGTATTTTTTTTTGAAATTTAAATGGGACCAATCTGGAAGTATACCCTTTCAAACAAAACCAAAATTGTCCAAATCGGTTAATAAATGACGGAGTTCTGAGGTAACAAACATAAAAAAAAAAAAAAAAAAACATACAGTCGAATTGAGAACCTCCTCCTTTTTGAAGTCGGTTGAAAAATACAGGTTATTGTAAAAAGGCAGAAAGTGTGGTTTTCATTAGAATTCATTTAGAAACGGAAGTGTGATTTCGAAATGGACAGGCTGTCTACAAAATGTTTCAAAATTATACTTCAGTCTAAATTGATCCCTGATTTTTCTTGCCAATTGACCCAATTTATTTTATATTTGAAATTCTTATTATAACGATACTCGTGATGGTAATAACTAAAATTGGTCTCTACACAGCTAAAAATTAAAAAATGAATAGTTTTCGAAAATATTTTTTTCATCCTAAGCATAAATATTATTTATATATAATGCTGATATTATTAAACTCTAAACTTGGTGTTCAAAACAATAATTAATTGATGTCTATTCTGTGACTACTTACTTTAAAGTAAATGCAGTAAATTTTATTATTCATGGCAATGTTCAGGCTGAGTATATTTAATTCTTTTTATAATAAAGTTTCTTTTTATATTACTCGCACGGAAAAAATATACTTACTAAATACACTGCTTTTTAAAATTAAAGAGTTTTGGTGTTAAATAATAAAAACAGTCAACATTGCTTACGTTTTTAACTTTAACTAATAATTTTAAACGTTAAAATTTCCTTCTTATGATGAAGCTAAAAAAGTAGTATTTTCATGAATACAAATGAATGAAAAACAATTACTATTTATGACATATAATAAAAAAATACATATTATTAAATTAACATTTAGCTTAATATCGCAATGCGGCCATTAAGCCTGTAAATTTCTACTAGTGAAACTAATTTAAGACTAACAAATTTTATTAATAATGTTTACAAAACGAATTTGAAACCAACTGATCATTAGCTACTAATATTTCATTGCATCTTCTGTACTTTTTATAATCATTCACTTCATCATTTTCATTAAGTAATTTCGTTTAATTTAAAAAACTTCAAAAAACTTTAAAAAACTTCGTTAATTAAATAGATAATAGAAATATAGACACGTTTCTATTTACATATATATTTCTACTCTGACAGCAAAATATATTTATGTCGTGGATTGTAAAATGAATATCCGTGATATTCGTTTTATAATCCACACTGCTTAAATGAGGAATAGCGGACTTTATACGTCTTTCGAGAACTAATTAGATTCTTTTAGACATGCAGATTTCCTTACGATGATTGTATTGAGCGATTTTTTTAACGTCCCACTGCTGGGCACGGGATTCCCTTCAATACGAGGGGGATCAGGCCATAGTCCAGCACGCTAGCCAAGTGCGGGTTTGCCACGATGATTATCATGCTAAAAAGACTTTAAAAAATATGAGTTGTGCGAGACTTGCGGTGTGAACCCGCGTCACTTAGTTTTCCAAGCGAGTACGTTACCACTGGGTTAGCCACTGTCTTAAACAATATAAGATATTATAAATTAATTTGGACAATAAAATTGAAAGCTTCTGTTTACGTTCCATTATAAGTATTATCTACAATAGGGGCAATGATATTAAGTGTACGAAGTCCAAATTTTGGAGTCAGCTTTTATTCCCATAAGAAAAATGTGTGATTGTTTTAATTAATTGAAAGGAGGAAGCAATTTAACAAGAGCCTTAGAGGATTACGTTTGTGATGAGGCTATGATGTTTTATCATGAAAATTATTTGAGGTATAACTTGTATTTAGAACTTACGCATTCTGTTTGAAGTCTCATTGTTTGTCATCGCTGTCTCGTTCAGATCTGTCATTAGGGTGGTAACGAGAATAAATAATAGAGGGTTGGCTGCTAAATAAGATCACTTTAAATATTTCTTGCTTAAAGCTTTAAAGCTTTCTTGGGTAGAAAAACAAATTAGGAAATAGTTACATTTTATTATTTAAAAGAAAGTTAGAATTGTATGTATTATTTAATATGGTAATATGTATAACAGAATTCCTCTTTAATGTTTGTTAAAATGGGACTAACTTTAACCTAGTTTGAATAGATAATATTTTTTAAACAGTTTCAAATGAAAATAGTTTGCTTGATAAATTTTATTGTAATTTTTATCTAAAATATTATGAAGGTAGGAAAATATTAATTTATCTTCTGGGAGCGACTTTAACGCAAACTCCTGTAAGGCACTTGAGGGGTTCCTTGCAAACAGCAGAAGGAGTCTCTCCTAGTTCCTTGCTGTAAGTTTTGCATGCGGCTCCCTCAGCTGAAATAATAATTTTTAGTTTTTATAAAACTGATTACGATTTCAATGTTGTTTTATTATACACTTGAGGAAACATTAAGGCTGTTATTTTAAAAACTATTACAGTCATTGCCCGCGGCTCCGTCCGCGATCAGATAGCCAAAAACCAAATTCTTAGGTCTTACATATTAGTATACTCTTACAATGCATTTTTGTATTTTTTTCTCAGAAATGCGACATTTTCTCGCGGTAAAAAGTGTCCTATATGTTGACCCGGATAACCAGCTATCACTATACAAAATTGCATCAAAATCCCTGCAGTGGTTTTTCTGTGATGCA